GAATACCTTCTCAAATGCCTGGCGGACATTTTTCTCGCAATCACATCATGCCCGGAGGGTCCCCAATCCAATGTCACACCCACATCTTGGAAGCAAGGGGTTGCTTCGAAATGGGCAGCCAGGATGTTGGTTTCGGTTCCCAGGCGCCTGAAAAAGGGTACAAAAAGCAGTTCAGGGTCTCGAGTCAATGGATGGTGCTTGGGACATTGGGTAAGCTCCGAACCAGCTGTGAGCCACAATCAAAACCCGACTAAGATGAAGGTGAGTCATAAACGGGTGCCGCATTTCTTTTCATTCCTTGACCTGGTTCTGGGATTACGACCAGTGTAACACCCATCGCTTTTGATGACTCAAGTGCCAAACTTTCTAAGAATTTTCCGGCCAACTTTCTACCGGGGCAACCGAGCAGATTCACGAGGGGGTCGCGTTTGGTCTACACGTTTTTTGGTGACCCAAAGAAGGCCGTGACTCTTTTTTTTTTTTTAAGACGACCTTTTCGCGGCCTTCCGATATTTGTTGTCCGTTTTTTTTTTTTTTTTTTTTTTTTTTTTTTTTTTTTTTTTTTAAATATATAAATCCATTTGAATACTTGTGCCGAGATGGATCACGTGGTTTCCCTTGTAGAGGAATGCCCCACTCGGATCGGATCAGGATTCGGGATTCTTCCGTTTTGGTGGTATGTTACACACGTGACATACATGTATAGTGGCATTCTGAGTATACATACATTGACATAGGTATATAGAATACAAATAAACATACATATATATATATATATATATCCATGTATATATATATATACATGTGCGATATACATATATGTGATATATTTGTATAGTCAGGCCCAACCATTCTGTGGACATCATATTTTTAGACAAACACAAAAAAGCTTGAGGAAACCCACAAAAGCAAAAAACCTCGAGAACACAAACAAAAAACACAATTCTGAGGAGAATCTTGGGTTTTGCTCATTTAACTCGAGGAACACTAAAAAAACAACTCAAGCAAACAAAAAACACCAGAATTCCGAGGAGAATCTTGGGTTTGGCTCACTTTTTTTTCCTTGAGTGTTTTTTTTTTTTTTAATTATCAGAAAACCGGGGGGGGGAAAAGGCTTTTTTGGTTTTCCAAGTGGGTGGGCCCAGAAAACCCAAAAGCCTTGTGGTTTTTTTTTGGTTTTCTGATAACAAAAACAAAAAACAACTCGAGAAAAACCACAAACAACCAAAAAACCTTGAGAAAACCAAAAGACCAACAATTTAAGATTCTCCTCATATTTGTTTTCGTGTTTTTTGGGTTTCTCGAGATTTTTTGTTTTTTTCCTCGAGTTCTTTTGGGTTTTAGGGTCAAAACGAAAAAAGCCTTGGTTGTTTTCTATAAAAAAGCAAAACCAACTCGAGGAAAACAAAAAACACTCGAGCAAACCAACAAAAATTTGAGCCAAACCCAATATTTTCCTCAGAATATGGAACGGACATCATACTTAAAAGCTAACTCAACATAGACAATTATGTCCTTCTTCAGTTCTATCAGACTTCTAATTATATATTTATTCAAATCTCATTAAACAGGAGTCACAGGTGATTTGTAACTAACATAGTACATCGTATTTGAATTATTCCCTTGTTAAGCTCTTTTCATGGAACGGATGCCTTTTTAGATTCTATTTGAAGATAGAAAGTACAATGGAACTCTTTCCTTATTGAACTCCATGTCTATTCTACTAGTTAATATTGATTTAATGTCGAAAGGACATTCCTTTTACAGTATCATAAGAAATGTAATTGACTTGTTTGCTGTTTACAGTCCATTTAAATTCTACTTAAACCTCAATCATAATCCAATTTGGCATAAGGAGCCTTATAAGGACCCAGAAGCTTATAAGGAGCTTTACCAGGAGCTGTATAGGGAGCCTTATAAGCAGCTATTCAAGGAGTATAAGGAGCTTTATAAGGAGCTTTACAAGCATCTTTACAAGGAATTGCACAAGGAGCCTTATAAGGAGCCTTATTAAAACAGAAAAACCTCATAAGGAGCCGTGCAAGGAGCTTTATAGGGAGCTTTGTATAAGCTTTTCAAGGAGCTTTATAAGCTTTTCAAGGAGCTTTACAAGCATCTTTACAAGGAATTGCACAAGGGGCCTTATAAGGAGCCTCCAAAAAAGCTTCATAAGGAGCCGTGTAAGGAGCTTTATAGGGAGCTGTTAAAGACATAGCAAGTGAGCTGTAAAATGCTTAGAGACGGGGTATAAGGGCAACCTCTGCACCACCACCTTGAGCTCACTTGGGGACACTTCGCCAGACACGAGAGCTGCCGTGATGATTGGAAATGAAAAGGGGGCAGTTTAATCTCGAGTCAATCTGCTGGCTGCGGGCTACTCCAATATTCAGACACAGCCTGTATGTATCCAAATGGAGTGAATCCTTGCCCTTCAGATAAGCGGAATAATTGCCCTTCAGATAAGTAGAATTATTGACCTTGAGATTGCAGCAGCACCCCAAAAGGCAGTTCATGGGGGGGGGGGTTGAGAATATATATATATATATATATATATGACTGTACTTTTATAAGTATATGATTTTACAATATACATATACGTACGCATATATAACACCTGGCACCCACGTGTTCTCACCGCCAGGAGGAGGCCACTGTGCGGGTGGCTCCGGGCTTGAGCTCCGCGCCGGAAGGTGGGGAGCGGCGGCATTTGGGAAGGGTTGGTTCGGTTCTCAGCTGGGTTTGGGGGTTGGAAGTAGGTGCCCCAAAATGAAGCCCTGGTAAAGGACTAAAACCTGCAGTCCATATCCTGGTGGTTTCATTTTAACCCATACCCAGCTGGGTTTGGGGGTTGTTGCACGGCGATTTTGGTCGTTCCTGAACGGCTTTGAAGTAGTAAGGCCTGGATAAACCTCAATGCAAACATTTTGGTAGAACCAAGAGTCAATGGGTGAAACGGGCACTCAATTGTTGGTAGGTTGCTACTTAGGGAAATGGTGATAAACTTGCTCAGGTTGGATGGGATCCAACTTTGGTGTTGCAGAAAGGGCTATGAGACTATCTTCCACTGTGGTCCGGAATCAACGACTTCGCACTTCCGCCGTTTCTGGACTTCAAATACTGCACTGGAGCACCGTTTTGGTGGGAAATGCAACTCAGGTGCTGGACCTCAAGAAACTGTTATTTTTTTGGCATCTCCTTTTCGAAGACACCCCTTTGTTGGGTCAGGTTGATTTTGAGAGGAAATTAGGCCTTGTTGGGCTACTCAGGTGAGGTTCCCTGTACGGTTTGGCATGTTGTCCTGCTGGAAACGTTTCTTGGGACCTGCAAGAGGGCTTCTGAATCAGGGGGTCCATGTTTCAACCAGCGTAGAGAGACTGGCGTGTCTTTTGTGAACTTCAGGTGCCTCTTTTGGTGGTTTAGATTGGCGGTTTGGGGGTTGGAACTCCAGTTCCTGTTGAGGCGAACTTGGGAAACTGGCGACCGGGGGCCACTTGCACCATAGCGATCAGGCCTCCTTTGAGAGGGATGCAGCGTTCGCCTGGAGGTGATCCGTTTGCTCCTTGAAAGTCTGCTGTTGGGCTCCAACTGTTGTTCCAACCCAAACGCATCAACGGGTTGCCCCCCAAAAGGTGATGTTGGAAAATCCCCCTCCCTCCCCCGGAAGAGAAAACGGCGAGCAAAAGCAGGAGCCCTGAACAACAACCACCACGAGTGCTGCCTTTCGCCTGCGCGGGAGGTTCCGGCGCTTCCGGCGGTTCCGGCGTGCCGGACACTCAGCGCCGGAACTTCAGGCACTCGAAAAGCGAGACGTGGCTGGCGAGGGAAGCTGTGCAGAAGGCGAGGATCGCATGCTCTGGGCGTCATCCCGCTTCCAGTTACCAATGGACGCTAAGCAGTTACCAGAATACGAATAGTAGATAACCAAGACTGTCTGGTTTTTGAGGATGAGCACATGAGCAGAGGTTGTCCTATTTGACCACTGAAAACAACGAGCACACGGGAGGTTTCCATGCACAGGCCAGTAGAAGGCAACCAGCATTTTCACTGTAAGTTGAACAAACACTGGAAACAGAGCCTAAGGGAATCCAGGCAGATGATAAGTAGAACGTTGCTGAAGAGTTTCCTTGGTTGAGGGGCCCTTGCGCAGGGATCTTGGAACCCTGAAGGCGGTGAGTCAGAAGGTTCGGGAGGTGAGTGGATCCACGGCCTCAAAGGTGACTCGCCCGTGTGAAGAGTCGAGTGCCAAAGGATGCGCCGGGGCGAGGCGTCGACCAGGCGAAGGCAGCAATGGTCCGCTGGCTGGATCCAGCAGAGGGCGAGGGCGAGGGCTCAAAGGACCAGGTGGCCAAAACCAAGCGAGACCTGGCTCTTTCGGGGATGCCGGCTTCAAACCAGGCAACGGAGGCACTGGCCGCGGACCTGGCTATGGACCTGGTGGTCATGGCCCTGGCTGTGGCAGGAACGGACAAGGCAGCGGACTTGGCTATGGCCCTGGCGGACCTCGTGGTGGAATTGGCTATGGCCTTGGCTACCCCGGCCCTGGCGCTGGCTTCGGCCCTGGTTATGGACCTGGCAGCGGACCTGGCTATGGCCCTGGCTATTGCTTTGGCGATGGACTTGGCAATGGACCTTGCTATGGCACTGGCGATAGACGTGGCAGCGGACCTGGCTATGGCGCTGGCTACGGCCATGGCCTTGGCTACCCTGGTGATGGACCTGGCGATAGACCTGGCAGCGGTCCTGGCTATGGCCCTGGGAACGGCCCTGGCGATGGACCTGGCAGCGGCCTTGGCTACCCTGGTGATGGACCTGGCGATAGACCTGGCAGCGGTCCTGGCTATGGCCCTGGGAACGGCCCTGGCGATGGACCTGGCAGCGGCCTTGGCTACCCTGGTGATGGACCTGGCGATAGACCTGGCAGCGGTCCTGGCTATGGCCCTGGGAACGGCCCTGGCGATGGACCTGGCAGCGGCCTTGGCTACCCTGGTGATGGACCTGGCGATAGACCTGGCAGCGGTCCTGGCTATGGCCCTGGGAACGGCCCTGGCGATGGACCTGGCAGCGGCCTTGGCTACCCTGGTGATGGACCTGGCGATAGACCTGGCAGCGGTCCTGGCTATGGCCCTGGGAACGGCCCTGGCGATGGACCTGGCAGCGGCCTTGGCAACGGCCCTGGCTATGGCCCTGGCGATGGACCTGGCAATGGACCTGGCTATGGCCCTGGGCACGGTGCTGGCGACGGACCTGGCAGCGGACTTGGCAATGGCCCTGGCTACGGCCCTGGCGATGGACCTGGCAATGGACCTGGCTATGGCCCTGGGCACGGTGCTGGCGACGGACCTGGCAGCGGACCTGGCAACGGCCCTGGCTACGGCCCTGGCGATGGACCTGGCAATGGACCTGGCTATGGCCCTGGGAACGGCCCAGGCGACGGACCTGGCAGCGGACCTGGCAACGGCCCTGGCTACGGCCCTGGCGACGGACCTGGCAGCGGACCTGGCAACGGCCCTGGCTACGGCCCTGGCGACGGACCTGGCAGCGGACCTGGCAACGGCCCTGGCTACGGCCCTGGCAACGCCAGGAATGGGCCTGGCAGCGGACCTGGCAAGGGACCAGGCAGGGGATCAGGCAGCAAAGCTGGAGGCAGGCATGGCAGCAAAGCTGGCGACAGCAGTGGCAACCGGGTTGCTCCGGGGGACGAAGCAGATGAGGATGATTCAGCAGGCCGGTGTTTTGTTTGGGTAAATTTGCCTAGATCATCCTCTTCAACGTGGACATGGCCACCACTGTGGGGTTATGTACGCAGTACCCAACACCATTTGCCTTTTGGGCCTCCAAGATGCTCCATGAAGTCTTATAGAAGCCTGACCAAAGGCCACTTTTCATAGAGCAGGTTGTAGCACCACTGACTCCACACATTCGTAAGAGAACCACTGAGTAACATGTCCAATGCGGGCTTTGGGCGCTGCTGTGCATCAAGCGTCGCAGGACCCATTCCACCTGCCAAGTCGTTTTCGAGCCCGAAGCGGACTGGGAAGCGAGCGCAGCAATCCGCGCAGCTCACGTCGGCACCTGGGCTTAAGCGGCATCGCCGTTGGTTCTTTTTTTGCCTCAACTAAGATCCTTCCAGATGGATTACAAGGTCTCCCTGGTGGTGTTTACCGTGGTTTCCTACGGGTTGCAGATTTCGCAATTCTGGACTCTCTATTTTGAACACCCAGTTCGTTCCCCAATTCTTGGACACTGTGTTTGGTTTCATTTGTGCAAATAGAGGGGGGGGCAGAGGCGGAAGTCGGAAGCGCCCAGTTGCAAGAATGGGCCTACCTCCTTCTGACCAGCCATCAACATGTCGGGGGCAACCCATTAGTTCGATTCTGGAACAACGGAGAGGACGTGGCCAAATGGGGGAGCTTCCCATCTTTCGGATGGTCTCCCAGGTTGTAAGGTCCCTAAATGCCTAAGAGTCGGTCCCTTTCACTTGCAACGGGCTCCTTTCTTTCTTTCTTTCTTTCTTTCTTTCTTTCTTTCTTTTTTGGAATACTCATCATCAGCCTCCCTCGAATTGCAGCTTTGGATTTGTGGTCAAGGAGGGGTCCCCCATGTATTTTCTACAAGAACCAGCGGTTCAAATCCCAAACCACCAATCCAAACCACCAATTGGAGGGAACCTGAAATAAGAAGTCAGCTTGGGTGAAACAGATGGTTCCCCTGGTGAAATGTGTGGTTCGATCGTCATTTGCCAGCATGCCACGGGGCTCCTTCAAGGATACATTTGGGCCAGTTAAAGAAAACAAAGAAATCAACAACAACAACTAAACAACTTGACGGGCTGATTCGGAGGATCTGAACCCTAATGCAGGTGGTGTCGAGATGGAACTCCCCATCTACCTATTCTTCCAACCTGCTCAATGTTGCTTTTTTGGAGAAGCCAACAGCAACAACCACCCATTTCTGGATACCCCTATTTTATTGTGGCACGTACCCAGCTGATTCGTTCGGGGCCCCGTGTTTGAAGCCACGCTGCAGGCCAAGCGGATCTCCCCAAGCCCCGGCCCGACGCGGAGCCCGCGGGGACTTTCGCGGACGCGGAGCCCGCGGAGCCCGCGGAGCCCGCGGAGTCGCGAGCGGCCGGTGCGGGCCAAAAGTCTCAGCCCCAAGGCGACTCCCAGGTCCGCCGACACGGACGAGACGCAGGTGGGCGATGTGTACGTCTGTGTGTGTGTGTGTGTAAATCCTTTTTTATGGACAAAATTAGGAAAACATGGTTGTGTGTGTGTGCGTGCCGGCGTTTGCCCACCTTTTTGTTGGTTCCTCTTTTGCCTGCCAAAGAAGGTGTTTTCCTCCCGTTCGGCTGCGAAAGGACGTGGAAAAGGCGACGATCTCCGGCGTGAAGGCGGCGCCGGAGGCGGAAGAAGCGGCGAAAGCAGGCAGGCGGCACCGGTGTCGAAAAAGGGGCCATCTCTTTTTTGGACTCCCCATTTCCATTTCTTTTTATCTCCAAAAGTGACGGTTTCAATGGAACTTGATTTGATCAACAGGGATTGAAGCAACAGTGTTCTTGACTGCTATTGGGTTGGATCTTTAGACTTTAACTTTTTGGTTGAAATAAAGGTGTTTTCCACTAAACCCCCAAAACATATTCACTTTTTGCAGGGGGGTCAACAGCAACCAAGCTTTGATGAGCTTTTTGTTGTTTTGTGGCTTTGATGAGACATGGCTGCGATGCTGCCCCCAAAAGGTTGCCAGACTGGGATGGAAACAGCTGGAGGTGGGTTTTGACAGGTTCAAAATCGGGTTCCTTGCCCAGCAGCCCTGTCAAATGTACCAGTCAGATGGGTGTTTAAAACGCGTCGCTGGGGGGTTTAAACAAGTGCTTCCAAAAATACTCGAAGTTGGGGATGCGACTGACAATCCGGATGTGCCAAAACGAGCTCTGCATTTCCTTCGGTTCTTGGCACCCCTGAGCATTGGCTCGTTTGGTTCTGTTCATTTTTCGCGGGCCGGAAGGAACGCGCGCTTTGGGCTGACACGTGCTTTCGTGAGGCAAGAGTAGGATTTTGGTGTGGATTTACATGCTCGTCGGGTCTGTGGCAAGACGAGTTGCTTTTACAAAAGAAGGCGACGGTACATAAAAAATGAATACATCAACATACATACGTACGTATGTATATACATGCATACATATGTATATATGTGTATGTACATGTATATGTATCCTCATATATACGTAAAGCATACACGCATGTAGCATCTTTCGATGGCTCGGGCTCGGAGCGGATTTCTGCGCCGCGAGGTGAAGAAGGCAAAGGCAAGGGCAAAGGCAAGGTGGCTCCGCCGCCACCTCCGGCGCCAAAAGAGGCAGAAGAAGGCGCGAGAAAGGAGTATCTAAGGTAAAAACCACAACTTCAGGCACAGAGTCAGGATCCAACACCCAGAACGCTCAGATTACTCATTTGAAGATGCATTTGGAGCACAGCGTTGGGCCAATCAGGAAACGCACCATAAGCAGAAGGTTTTTCAGCCTCCAAGCAATGGGATCGGAGAGCCTGGGGGAGGGAGGGTCTGGGAGGCACTACTTTGACGCTGCTCTAATCACCCATGATTGGTGGGCAACATGTTAGTTGCATTTCAGAAACGGGCCCAACTTGTAGATTCATTGCATTCTGGAATGCAGCTTCACGCCTCTCAAAGCCCTGGCTGTGGCGGACTGGCTTTCACACATCTAAGGATCTTCTAGCCCCGACACTATCCACGGGCACCAGCTGGGATTGGTGGTGTATCCTGGTGTTCATAGGGTTTTGTCCGTCCCAGTGTGTGGAGTTTGTCCAGCCGTGGTGCCAATCTCAATGAGGGCTTTAACAATTGGTTATGCGCACAGCACCCTCCAAGATGGCTGGTAGGTGGGGTAAGTTCATTCATTTTGGGTGTGTTGAGTCAGTGAAAAGCCTGTACAACGGTTTTCCCTTTGTGGAGGGAGGGCCCTTGCTGCAGCTCAGACGCAGGACCCTTAAGCGCATCCAAGTGTGGCCCCTAGGTTTCCCCAGAAGCCACTTTAAGCAGGACCCCCCTCTCCAAAGGGGAGGCACCAAGGAGCACTTGTTCGGTACCCCAAACTGGGGCTCGAGCTCTTTTTGAGCCGCCAGACCACATAATAAAATACCTTTAAATTCCCATGGGTGTGGCTCAAAATGAAACAGCAGGGGGTACGCAGGTTTTTGTCTTTGGTTCCATTTACCAAGGTGCCATTTTGGCGCATTTTTCTGAGCCACAGCCATGTTTCGAGCACGCAGAGATTTGGCGGCTTCGCAGGAGCCAAAGCCAAAGGCCGGACGGGACTTTGGGGGCTTCGGGGCTGTTGCTCAGACTGCTTCTCAGGGAACGGTTTGAGGGGTTTCGGGCATGGAGATCTTCCAAGGCATCATTCCAACTCATCGTTTGGATTCAGATCGGGGTCATAGCTCATTTTCGTTTGTTTTTTTTTGGGGGGAGCCTCACATGGTGGTTGTTGGGACACATTTTACATTTTTGCTCATTGTGGTTTAGTGGTTGAAATCCCCACTTAACTGCTAAACTTCAATGTTTTGCACCCCAAACCCAACGTCAACCAAGTGACTCAAGCGTTGAAGCGCTTAGCTCTTCGACGCTTCGAGTCGAAGGGCTCCAAATTGGATGCCCTGCAGCCGGATACAAATGCCAAAGTGGTTTCCAGATTTTGAGGCACGCGCTGCCGTCCGGTCTTTTGGCTTGGTTGAGACCCCCGAATATTTCTGCTTGGGGCCAAAAAAATCAAGGGAGCCGGCTTCATCCTTCCGTTTGAAGGGGAATACCCAGAGAGTCACCTGAATTTGGGCTGTGCCAATTCAGTCTGCTGCCCTTTTGCGGGAGATGAAGCAAGAACTTTGATTTGTTTCATTTGGCTCTTTTTCTCTTGCCCCCAGTTGGATAAACTGGTTTATCCAAGGAGAAACTGGTGGTGCGGATTTGTTGAAGCCATGGGATTCGGACGTTTTCTTTTTTTCTTTCTTCTCCGTTTTGCTTTCAGCTGTGGGGAAACAACTTTGACTGTGGCACTATGGGCGTGCGGCCGTGAACAAATTGAGACTTTGTCAGGACCGGAACAAGGCTAGCTTAGCAAAACACGACTCATGGGATCAGTTCCCTGAAAAACACCACCTTCAGGTCACCCGCAAGTGGATTGGATTGGATTGGTTTGGATCTGGATCCGAACCCTCGACTTTTGTGGGCAAATGGAACACCAAAAACCGCCTTAACCAAAAAAAGCCGCCAACTAGGGATACTACGAACTGAAAAGAAAATAACAAGCATTATGTCGTAATCAAGCATTGTAGCCGTTTAATGGGAAGTCGAACCAATAAAACAACAAATATGAATGTTCTTTTGTAAATACTGCCAGCACAGTTATAAATCAGGGTGAACATTAGGAGTCACGAGGCAAGGGCAAGAAGCCCCCGCCGGCCTTGCCAGCCGCAAAGCCGCGGCCCCATCTCCGTTCCCGGTGCGGCTTTCCCGAGCGTGGTGACTTTTTTTCTCCGAAGAAGCGTTTTGTTTGTTCTTTGGGTTCCACGGGTCAGAAATCTGAGCTTTTGGTGCTGTTTGGCGAGTTCCTCTTGAAACCAAACGGGGGTACCAACACCCAACTTTTGGTGTGAGTTGCTCTTGAAACCAAAAAGCGGGGTTTTGGTGCCAAAACCCTTCAAACCAAACCAAATGCCAAAACCCCTGAAGCCAAACCAAATCAAATGATAAAAAAAAACCCTGAAACCAAACCAAATGCCAAAACCCCTGTCCAAACCAAAGCAAGTTGGATGAGCTGACACTTCACTTTCTGGAAGCTGGGGCGAGGGAAGCACCTCCGAACCTCCGGGGCAACGGACAAATCGACTCGCCACCAAAACTTGCGACACTCCAGGGTATATGGCTATGGGTCAAATCCCAATTCGTACCCCCGTTGAACATCCCAATCCCCACTAAAATAGGTTTTATAATGGGTGGTGCACCTACCCCAAAATGGTAGCATTCGTGTTGACCCACGGCCATATGAGGGTGTTGAAGCCAGAGTTTGATGGTTTAGTCTGGCGAGGGTCATGGACATTGGCCAACTAAGGCTATGCGGACGCTCCCGGAGTGGCTTATGAGGAATTTTTGGAATCCTTAGCATTCCATAGAACCCAGAAGTTAGATGGTAATGTTTTTTTCCACGTGGACTGCCGGCTTTGTGTTGCCTCCTGAATTGGTCAAGGGAAATCCCATTTGAAGTGATGAAACAGATCACAGATAGAGTTATTTCAAACCATGCTCAGGGTAAGTCCTTGTGACATTGTGGGCTTCTCAATTCTCAGTTTCCTCCAGCCTGTTTGTCACTTCTTTGCGAAGAAGAAGAAGAAGAAGAAGAAGAAGAAGAAGAAGAAGAAGAAGAAGCAGAAGCAGAAGCAGAAGCAGAAGCAGACACGGAAATAGAAGAAGAAGAAGCAGAATAGTCAAGACCCGTCGCCGGTTACCCAGGCAGAAAGGCGAGGGGAAAAAGGGCAAGCCTGGCAAAGGCAAGGGCTCCGAGGCCGGGGGTATGCGAAACGACAGTTTCATGGCGCGGGAGTCTCATATGCTTTTCACCAACGCAGGTTGATTCTCTTGGTTTCTCACTTTTCTTTTTTGTTTAGATAGAGAGACTCACGTTTTCTTTTTCTCACAAATGGTTTGTTTCAAAGTTGGTTCTCTTTCAAGCCAGGGCCACTTTTAGTTTTGACGCTCCGGTTGGCTTTGACAAGCTGATGGCCATCTGCACTTGGCTTTGTCCACACTGCCGGCAACAGGACATGCTGTCTTTCGTTTGCAGCCTGCGGGCATGCCGGCCGCAACGGGTAGGCACCTTGATGACTTCCTGAACCTTTCTCTGGGGTGTGGATCCATCGCTTGTGAAGTGTTTTGAGTTCTAAAGTTAAAATCCAGAAGGACACCCGAAGCCATTTTGTGCCTGAAGGGCCACATACCGTTGTTTTGCAGATTGTATGTACAACTAAGATCCAACTGGCTGTTAGTTAGGAGAAACCGACGTCCTGACAAGTCTGCAATGGCATCCTCATAAACAAAGCGACCCATCTCACGCCACAGATTTGGAGGGGTGCCCGTTTGAAGTCAACCAAAGCCGTTTTTCTCAAACGGGACCCGTGACAGCCCCTTTTGGACTACGCCAGGTGTATGGGGAACGCTGGATAAGCCGAGGATAAGCTTAGGGAAGCTCTCAAGGCCTTCTGAAGAGGTTGAGACTCCAGCTGAAATGAAGGGGAGCGACCTGATTGGTGCAGTCCTCGTTACATTCATGCAATTGGCCGTCGCCTACCCAATGAACCCTTCTTCAGGGTGGACCTCGACCCCCTTCTTATCTGAATTCGATCAGAAGGTTCCTTCGGACCTTGGGGTTCCTTCGAACCTTGGGGTTCCTTCGGACCTTGGGGTTCCTTTGGTTTGTCTTTTGAAAAAGGCAGTCCGGTGGCACTTTGGTCTTCTTTTTTTTTCTTCTTCAAACAGCAGTCTTTTTTGCACCTCGAGAATGACTCAAGGCGATCCCGCTGCTCAGGAGGAGGAAGCCAGGATGTTGATGCGAAAGCCAGAGGCCGTCCAAACGAGACGTCGCTTTGACCCACGGTTGCCTTTCGACTGCCCTCGGCTGGTGCAATATTCCGGGATCCTACCAACCTTCCCCACGACTTTGCCCTCCCAACCGGTATGGCCTTGTTGGCATTGAGCCCGAACCTTCGTGGGGGTTGCGATTCAGGAATATTCAGGGTTCTTTGTTTGCATTTCTCGAACACCACCCTACAGATTTCATGCCAAGGAAATCGGATGGGTGTCCTCGGTATCCTGCGATTTCCCTCTGCATGGCCTGGTGAAAAGGGCAGTACTTTCCAGCCTCCTTTTTGCCACAGTTCATCATTTTCCCACTGGGACCGCATTCCGGAGCTCCGAAAAAGGCTTGGCTTTCATTCCTGGGTCCTACAAGTGAGTCAGACATGAACAGACTCTGTTTCAGGTACTCTTCGGCTCCTTTTTTTTCTGGCGGGAGGACTCCTTGTTGGACTTGACAAACCAGAACACCAGCATACTTTACCCTGCACTGAAAATGGGATTGCCCCCACCGTTTCAGGATGCTGTTTGTCACTGGACACTCGAAGAAATGCTCACCAGACGGAAAGACCCATTGTTTGAGTGTTTTTTCAAGGGAAGTGAGAAGGAAAGACCCGAGTCTTGGATGTGTTTTCAAGTGACGCCAAAAGGATGTGTCGTCAAGGGACACCATTTGTTTCCAGCGCCACCAGAAGGACAGTGTTTTTCAAGGGACAAGCCGGAAACACCCCTGCATCGGATGTATTTTCAAGGGAGACCTTTGTCCACAGGAAGCCAGAAGAGCAAACCGTCACCATGCCACAGGGGTTGCAATTGCGTCTATGGCAAGCTGAGATCAATTGGAGATCCAACCTCTTGCGTCGGGGTCTTGAACATATTGTGGGGTCTCGAGCATACTTCAAACCTTGCAGAATGTTGTGGAGGCTTTTTCAGAAGGCGCAAATGCCTAGGTGCATGAGACATGTTTTTTCCGGGCTTCCTACGTTTCCTTGGCTGAAAATCCTTTTGGCGAAAGCTTTTGGCGGTTGCATGCCTTTTGCTTTACCTCTGTTGGGATTCCTTTCCCACTAGCATCTAACCATCCGGCTCCGAGGCTCGTCTTGGGCAACAGCTTTGCCCAAGACACGACGTGAACCAGGGCCCCACTACAAAAACGACACTCCACAGGAGCAACATGCAAGGCCCCTAAAACAGATCATGAAAGCATACCGAGCACCCAGGGTGAAACAAGAAGTAGCTGGCCCAATTCATCAAATCAAAAAGGGAAACTAAGAGGACAGCCGTCATTTGTAGGGTTCCCTCAAATAATTTTACACAACCCAAAGTTGCTTTTAGCGTGTCTTACAATAGGGGACCCCCGTCAAGAAGCAAACAACTATGCAAAGAAAGTGGTGTTTGCCTCGTGTTTCCATGTGGCTTCCCTTTGACCCACACCCAACCGTACCCTCAGGGCACCCACCCATATGCAGAGGAGTTTGGACCATGGCAAGCCCCGAGCAGAGGTGCACCCTTTTGGCTGAGTTTGGAATGATTAGCTCTGTGGAACAGAGCTGGGCTCGAGCTTCAGCCGGAACGGCTCATGTGTTGCTGCCCAAAATCGGGCATGACTGTGAAGCTGAAGTGGTTGGTTCTCATCCAAGAAGCACATCTGGCTGTGGGTCAAGAATAGGTACCGAAACTGGAACCCTAGTAAATGAAACCAGGGACTAAAACCTGATCCAATTTCTCTTGGATCAATTTTGACCCGTAGCAATCTGAATGTCACTTCAACCTCGGAGCAAGCTTTTCCTTCCGGCGCTTCCCGCGAAAACTCGCCGCCAGGTGATCCCCGGGGTCCAGGTGAAGCGACTCTTTTGGAACCCCATCCACCTAAGGGCCAACCACTCCAGCTACACCGTGCCCGGAAGCCCAGCCTGAAGCGGCTGAGGTGTGTGCATGTGGGCAAGCGTTGGCATGGCTGCTTGTTTGTTTGGTTTGGTTTGGCTTTGGTTTGGCTTTGGTCTGGTCTGGTCTGGTGGGAACCCTCTTTGGGTTGGTTTAAAGGGAAACCACAAAGACAAGCATGACTTTTTGGATTCCCGCTATTTCAACACACCCCCTGGGGCTCCTAGTCACCACGCAAGTGTACAACCGTTTACCAGGGGTTTTCTCGTTTGCAAACTTTTAATGGGTGTGTCTTCTGTTGGGAGGTTTCCAACATGGCATCGGTTTTCCGACCAAACAACGGGCGCCTAAAACAAGACACACCATGGCGGTTACCTTTGGAAGCTGAGAGATGGCCAATGGCTGGAGATAACCAGTGAGCCCTCCCCCAAAAAAATCATCGAACACCATCGTTGGGATCGCGGGCCTTGGAAGTACGACAGCTACGGGGGGTTTGGTTGACCGGAAGCTTGGCTCGGTGTACCTTTTGACTTCCTTTTCGGCAACGGACAATGCTGGGGTATCGGTTTGGGCCCATGTCTCGGTTTCTAGCGACCTTCCAGGCATCAAAGTGGGACTTGTGAGGGGAAAGTTTCTGGTAGCCTACCTAGGTCCCCCAGTCGTGCCCTTTTACCCTTTTTTGGGGGAGGGTCCCCTACTAAAATAGACTACAAAACAATACCCTTATTCTAACCTCTCTACTTGAGGACCTAGCTATAGTCGATGGGCAAAGTCCACTTTGCACCGGGGAGAAATGAAGCCTACCTGGTGCCCGAGTTGTTTCTTCAACAGGAGCCTCGGGGTACGATTGTCGGCTCATCTATGATCATGCCCCGATGCCTTGATCGGCTTCGCGACTTCGGCAATTCGGGCTCAACACATGGACAGGAATTGAGTAGAGACCCAAGGGCCACCGATTGAACACCACACCCGTGCTTAGGATGCGACACATGGCAGGTTCTGCCAATTAAGGACCTTTTGCCCACTAGCTTGCTGCGATGTTTGGGTCGTAATGACCAAGAGTATGGAAAGCACCAGAAGCCCGGTTGTTGTTGGGACACATTTTGCATTTTTGCTTATTGTGGTTTAGTGGTTGAAATCCCTACTTCTCTGCTAAAATTTACATTTTTGCTCCCCTTCAACGTCAACCAAGAAGAGCCGAGGTGGGATGCCATTGACGGCGAGGGCTACCCCATCGACTTGGAGGTGTGGCGGGTTGGGCGGCGTGGCTTGCGCTGCATTGCATGCGGGCAAGGAGACGGTCCCCCCCAAACTGGGGTGCGGGTTTCCCGAGATGCGAGACCCCAAAAAGGTCCCTCAAGAGAAATCCACATTTGGCATCTCTTCCTTTTGGCAATTACTTTTCCGAATTAAAGCCACAAAGGGTCTAACGGCCTTTTGGTCAGGGGAGAAGAGCAGCGCAGTTGTCAGGTCTAAAGCAGACCCTGCGGCTCCTTTAGGTTACCACGGGTTACTAGGAACCTTCCCTTTTGTGACTGGCGATTTCCCTTGGTTGGCTATAGCCGGAATTGAGCACTCTGGATCAAACAAGGGGTTGTCCCATCCTTGTTGTTCAGCACGTCTGAAGCCGCCAGAGATCTTCAGCTTGACAAAATGGCCGCGCCAGCAAATCTTTGAAGGGGCGCCAAGTTTTGGGGATGGTTGCGACGGAAGACCCCATTCTTGCGATGGTGTGTTTTCTCCTTTGGTGTGTAGAAACCAAGCAACATGGAAATCTTGTGGGGGCCGTTTCCTTGTTTTTATTTATTGTTGGACCTTTCTGGGTGTGGTGCCCCAAAAACTAGGCACCCCGCCCCACACGGGCTGTTTCGGTAAATGGACACGACCAAAGCCTGGCCCATGGTTCTTGAATGCCAGGAGCTGGAGTGGCTTTTTGCGGAGTCGAAGAGCCCAAGGGGGCAGAAGACTGAGCCGGAGAAAGGCCGCCAGCGATCGAGCACGCGGCGCTGGTTTTGCATGTGTGGGGCTGGCTGTTTTGGAGGGTGCCCCTTGGTCTGTTTGAAGGGAAGCCAAAAGAACCACCACGGGGTTTTCGCAGAAAAGGTTCCCCTTGTCTTTCTGCGGTTAGGGCGAACGATTCGGGCTCTCGCCAGAATGGGTTTCTTTGAAGCCTTCGATCAGAACCCCCGGGGAAGGCTCTAAGAACCGTGATCACGAAAGAAGAATCTTTAAAGTCACAGAAAGAGCTCCGAAAGCGGCTTGCTGTTGGTTGGGGGGGGGGTCGGCATTCGAGGTTGTTGGTAGCATGTGGGTGGGTCCAAATTAAACCACCAGGCGACCGTGAAGAATCTTTAAAGTGACGAACAGAGAGCGACTTTTCCGACAGCGGCTTGCTGTTCGGGGCGGGGGGCGGGGGGGGGGGGGGCTGCTGTTGGCATTTCGAGGTTGTTGCCAGCATATGGGCGGGTCAAAATTAAACCCAAAAAAAACCGCAAGTCTTAGTCCACGTGTCCATAAACCGAGTTTTTGTCCGTTTTGCTGCCTGAGCTGTTTGTTTCTCAGACTTCTTGGGATATCCGATTTCTGCTCCAGTACTTTGTTCACCAACATCTTTTGCCACACGTTTCTGTTGGTCCTCGTTTTGTGGGCTGGATGTAAGGCCCCTTTCTAAGATACGAGGGTCAGTTTCCTCAAAAGCTGCAAAGCCGCAGATTTTGCCCCCCACCCCTCCCAGCTTACTTTTTTTTGGGAAGACCGTTTCACCTTCCTTTCTTGGCGTAAGACTCAAGGATGTAGCTTGATTTTTGGGTGGCAACCCTTATCAGGATTCGGTTTCCGGGAATCAAACTCATGGCTGCGTAAGGAGTTTGAACCATGGCGCACTTTGGGCTGAGTTTGTTGGGGTGAGCGCAACCCTGCTTGTCGGAGGCCCAATGGACAAATTGCTTTGGACAACTGATTTGGGCTAGCGTCCCCCGTTTTTAGGGAGGTCTCTTCTGGCATCCGCGTGGTTTGTGCATCAGATTTGTGTTTTTGTCGAGCAGAATGTAGGGAGAGACTAGCTTTTAGCACGCAGAAAGCTTCTGAAGCTAAGGTTTCCGACCCCTTAGTTTTCCCTGCGCAAAAAATCGCAGGGACCCCCAAAAGGGGTTTCCCAAAAGAGGATTCCTTTGGGAATGATGGCTTGCAGTGGGTTCCATGTTGGTTTGCAGGGGAGTGCTGGCGAAGAGATGCTTGCCAGCGGGGGTTCACAGCTCAGCGGATCTAATGAGGACAGACTTGCTCACCCTAGACCTAAGTGCAACTCTGCCGTTTGACGGGTTCTACCAAACGGCTTCGGATCGCTTGCGCAGCACCATCACGTGTTTTTCGCATCCCAGAAGGGACTCATGTGATTGAACCCATTGAACGGGTCACCGAAACACGGATGCTGGGGCAAAGTGGCAAATGAGGAGGTCCTTTCGGTTTCTCTTCCCCCAAACTGGGGCCTGACTGGGGCACCGTCCTTCGGGGGGCAGGGGTCCAGTTGGCAGGCGAGGTGGGGAAGCGTGTGATCCGGGTGCTTGATGAGCAGCGGAGGAGGCGATGGGGCGATCGGCGATCGGGACGTGGTCTGATTTGGGCAAAATCCGGGCCCCAAACAACAGGGTCGCTTGTCATCGCAACTTCTGAACGAATCCTGTGGATAGTGCTGATGCTGTCATGGCAACTTCATCCTGTCTGAACTAATTCTGTCATCCATCGCACTTGTCATCCATTCCTGGGGGTTGGGGGGGTACATCGGCGCCGCCGGTATCGGCGCGGCACGGGATTGAACCAATTTGGTTCCCTTGGGGCAAAAATCGCAACCTCCAGCCCTCATGATTTCCAGTTGCCCTTTTCCAGCTTCAGTTGAGAAGATAAACACCACCCCGCACAACGCCCAGATGGCCATCCCCAACAAACCCAAACTTTTTTTCTTCAGCTTCTCTGGGACATCTGGCCCGAAGCTTCCAGTTTGCCAGAGCCAGGGCTTCGAGGCCAACTCTTCGGATGGTTTTTTCCAACTGGGGCCGTGGGCGCCAGGTCGTTTTTTTTCCTCTCGGAAAATCTGCGCCTGGTCCCGTTTCCTGGGTTTTCGCCGGGCCCGCTTGGGCTTGTTTCGAATGGGGCGGATCCCCCACCCAAAACCTCCCCGTTTTTATTCGGGTGGACGGGAGCCCAAAGTGTGGGCAAGCGAACACGGGTCTGGCCGACTGATCCAGAAACTTGGTATCAATCAGGTAGCCCCTGAGCATTACCCTCAAGATTCCTTCCTGGCATTTTTTGTGTGTGTGTGTGGCTCAAAAAAGGGGAATCGGTCCCCTGACATTGGCGGGTGTCCTTGTGGCATCCTGTTAAAACCAACCGAATTCGAAAGGGCTTTTTGGAATGGTTCAGAGGCGTGTGCGACGTCGATGGGCGTGGGTAGATCTGGGCAACTATGATGAGGTTTCCTCTGGCCACGGTTGGGTTACTCTATAGAAAATAGGCGTGTCTTAAAATAGGGGATTTTTCTAACAATGCAAATGGCTTCCTTTTAGGTTCTCTTTACCAAACAAGAAAAATGGTCTCAACAAATGGTCTCCTCAACAAAAGAGATTCTCTTTACCAAAGAAGAAATGGTCTCAACAGAGACACCCAAATTGGTGTGTTTTTCCGAGACTAGGGCACCCCTCTCGATTGGGTTCCGCCAGGTTATCTCGAGCCAGCGATCCCCATCTCATCCCCATCTCAGATCCTGCTCTGCGAGGCAGATCTGCATCATGCTGGCGCGACTGCTGTGGCCTCAGAAGGCGCCATGGGGACTTTTGAACTTTGGGTTGGTTGCATCATGCCTATTTTCTGGCAACCGATTTTGGGGGGAAACTTGAGTTCACTCACTTCCTGAACTTTTGGTTGGTTGGTTTTGATATAGGTTGGTTGCATTCTGCCTATTTTCTGGCATGCTCACCGATTTTGGGGGGAAATTTGAGTTCACTTCCTGAACTTTTGGTTTCTTGGTTTTGATTGAGGTTGGTTGCATCATGTTGCCTATAATCTGGCGTGCTCACCGATTTTTGGGGGGTAACTGTGAGTTCACTCACTTCCTTTACTTCCCTTGCTTCAGGATTTGGGAGTGTAGAATTGCGGATGAGCTCAATTCAGCCAGACCCTGATCTGCGGATGGACCTGTTTTTTTCGCTGGACCTTGTTGCACCCTGACACCTGTAGTAGGAATACCAAGAAGAGTTGCCGCTTCAGCAATGTTGGTGTTGCGCCAGCCGGGAATGGGCATATTTCCTAAGAAACTCCTATCCCAGTGGAGATTGGTCCATGCCAAGCGTCAGAGTTCGGAGTATATTCCGCAACCATGCATAACATGTGGGACTTCTAAAATAAAGGCGTTAGTTTTCCTTTTGGTCGGACCTATTATCGAGAACCATGGCCTCGAAAACCACCATTGGCTTTCCAGACAAATCGCACAAAGGGCTTCAATGAAAAGGAGCCACGCAAATTTGGTCGGTGTCCCTGTGGGAGTGTTCAACGATTTGGGACTGTCATAAGGACATCAAAAGCAAACCAGCCTCCTTTGACAATCAGTTGTTTACTTTCTAACAGCAGGTTACCTTTTGTCTAGTTTGGTTGGTGGGAGAGGCGAACGTTTGACTTGACTGTCAGTGAGGCTTCAACGTGTAAACTTTGATTTTGCCAATAATAATGTTTCCTTCAATTCTCCTTTCAATGTCCCTTTACTCCAACCCAAAAAAGGGTACAAAAAGCATGGCACCCATATGCACATGCACGTCTTTTTCGAGCCCTTTTTGCGGTGGGCCATGGATTAAGAGCCCGTACCCCCAGTGAACATCCCAATCCCCACTAAAATAGGTTCTAAAATGGGTGGTGAGTTCACCTACCAACCAAAATGGGATCCCAAAACGGTTTTGACAACCACACCCCTTTGGCGGCCCCCTTCTTTCCGTCGGGGCCTTTCACGCCGAGGCCCGGCACGATGGGGGACGTGCTGCGCTGGGTCAACGAGATGGATGCCAGCAAGCTGGGCAAGGACGAGGCGGGCGTTGCACGCGTTTTTGTTTTTTGTTTTTTGTTTTTTCCGGCTTGGCGGCTGCCAGCCGTCTGCTTCAACTTAGCTTTTTAGATCTTTCTGGTTGGTTTAGTGGGGGGTTTGCGATTTAAACCCCACAAGTCAGCCACGTTTAGCAGGGGATCAGCTTGGCCAGCGCAGGTTGCAGACCCAGGTTTTCAGGCGTTCCTTCGGGTGGAAACGGACCCAGAGGGCAAATGGGGAGCCCACTTCCCAAGGGCGAAGGAGGCGAGGAGGCGAGGGTCAGGGGCGGAATGGGTTCCTTTCCAAGTCCGGGAGCTCGAGATGCGCGTTTTCTTGCTCCCATGGCCCATGGAGGTCCAAGCACAGGGGGGTTGGAACAACGCTCCCGAGATTTGCTCGAACGGGAGACAAGAGAAGACCCAGAAAACAAAAAGATGGATTAGATCAAGAGTGCGCACAAATTGATTGCCCCCCGCGCGCCATGAATCCAAGCACCCAAAATTCAAAGGAACGGGTTTGTCTCATCAATGGATAAACCATATGGGAAGCTCTGAGCCCCCCGAAGAAGAGGTCTGCAGGTGAGGCGAACCCCCCAATCTGTCGGGCCTCCCCAAGTCGCCGTGGGATCATCATGCTCATCTCTTCAGACATGTGCCTTCTTCTTCTTCTTCTTCTTCTTCTTCTTCTTCTTCTTCTTGTTTCGGCCTTGAGGCTCCCAGTTGCCACAGTTTACCTTGGTTGCCTATTGTTTTTTTGGTTTCCATTTTAGGTTTGCCTTTGCGAAACTGGAAGCTCCGAGATCCGGAACAAAAAAGACATGAAATCTGGAGGGACTCATTCCACCAAACACCAGTATTGGTGTTTTTGAGGAATCCCTAAACTTCAGGACGCCTAGGGAACTCAAAGGAACCCGAAACGGGGGTACAAGACCTAGCCGGACCACCAAAGTTGGGGCGGTTCAACCACCAACACCGCGCAAGCCGTGGTGTCGGTTTTTTCCTTCGAGGTGGACCTGCTGCTGCAGAACAACCCCTCGGTGGAAGAGATGCAGCTCCTTCGCCGCGCCCAGGAGGCGGCAGAGAGAGCGCTGGGGGGAAAGACCCATCTGGCGCCCTGGGGAGGGAGGGATGGGGGAGGGACGGAAGCCTTAAGTCCTAAAAAAGCCCCAAATCAGCCCTAAATGCGGCGGACGCAATTGGACTGGCTGGTGCCCATGTTTCCCTCTCATGCTCTCTCCTACAGGGGCCGCTGATTTTTTTTGGGGGATTCGGCATGCCATCACCCGAAGGTGGTTGCAGCAAAGGGGGAGAGGACATTGGCAAGTTCTGCGTATGATTGGGCTGCTTTGGAATGGCATGTCGCAGCCCCCTTTCTTTCCGTAGCTGGTCTTCGTGCTTTCTTTATTTTTTTCGCCAGGAGCACGTCATGGACGAGAACACCGTTTGGGACACGGCAGAGGAGAGCCTCTGCAGCCGCTACGCCACTTATCCTGGGCCAGCAGCCGCACTTCCCTGTCGAAGGTTGCGTTGCAGTTGATGGTGGGCCCAACAGAATTTCTATCAAAGTCACCCCCCGTTCAGTGGCAGCTTACACAGCAAAAGCAACCCAATTTCTGACTTTGAACCCTGGAAACCGTCTGCCCCCAGTTGATTCGATGGCTTTTGGAGATGTGTCAAGGCCAAAGATCCTTTTGACCGCTCCAGTTGCAATCCTTGTGGATGAGCACGCCGTGATTAAAACCCGACTGTGGATGGACGAAATCCTGCACCACCTAGGAAACCCAACGGAACGATGCTCCCCTGTAAATACCAACAAACAATGGTCTCCCACGGCTTCAAAGTGGTGCAGGATTTCTTCCATCCGCAGTATGAAGGCTTTTCTTATTGTTTTTGAATCCTGTGGCCTGTCGTTTTTTCGTTTTAGGAGCCCCAAACCACTACCCGGACCCCCAAAGAGAAATGGGGTCATATACCCTTTACATAGTGGCTGGTGGTTGTATATCCCAGGACTGTCCCCTGGATTTTGCAGTTTTTGCCAGGACTTCATGCTGTCCTTGATCGCCATCCCGCGGTTCCAGCTGCGGCTGAAGATCTGGGACTTTGTGAACTCCTTCCAGGAGATCGTTTGGGCTTCAACTGGGCCACCCTTTCGGCAACGAAATTTTCAGGGAAGAAACCATGGTGGACACCCATGAAAAGCCAGGGTGGAAACCATGGAGTTAAAGCCAGAAACTCTCTGTTGCCCAGTGGGTTGCTTCCTTTTTTCCAACTTTTTGGGGTTTGGGGTTACGATTCCTTTAATCTCAAGCAACCAAAAAGGGGGCCGATCCTTTTTCCCCATGGACATCCACTGGGCATCTGAGTTGTTTTTTTGGTTTCAACTGGGCTGCTCTTCAACTAGATATTCATTGGATGCGGTCAGCTCAGCCGTCCGGCTCCTTAGATTTTTAGGTTTAGCTGGCCTCATTATGTTACCATGATCAAAGTCGCCCCCTAAGTGATGGGTTAAAGGGAAACAACCCCATTTTCTAACTTGGAGAACCCCTAGAAACGGTCAACATAATGCCCCCAGTTTAGGACCACTGAATCTTGCACTTTTCGCAGGGGATCTGAGGACTGCCCAGGAGAATCTCTCAAGGTCCACAAGCTGGGCGGTTCATGTCGTTGCACTCCTCAAGAACAGGTTAGGACAGGATTTGGCTTGGCCTCCTGGGTGGTTTTTCCAAAAAAAAGAGATGGCTTAGGATTGGACGTCCAGCACTCCATTTTGCAAAGGGCGCGCGTGTAAAGGAAACCGACAACCAGGGAAACCAAAGGGCAAAAGGGACATCGAAAGGGAAGCTGAAAGGGGAAACCAACCACTCAAAAGGAGACAGCATCGGTGCTTGAGCATTAGCCGGATTCGCCCAATCCTTGGACCGAAAAGGAATGGGGGGAGGGAGGGGCAGAGGGGCAGTGTGGTCAAGATCTCTCGTGAATTTGCTGTCTGGGATCGTTGTCTTCAGAACACGTGGAAGAAATCTAGGGGTTGATTCCCCATTCTTTTCAACCATCGTTCTTTTCAATAACCGGCTGTTTCCCCTGGGTTTTTGATGGTTTCCTGAAAAAAGGATCCCTGGAAAGAATGGGCAAGGTACCCCTAGAAGAGAGCGGACCAGGAAGCAACCCTCACACGGAGGAAATTTGGGAAAGGAGGCAACGGAGGCCTTTCGGGAAGACGATGGCACCCCGACAACAAGGCGAAAGAAGCGAAAGGAGTCGATTCGCCGAGCTAGTAACAGTCAGCAACTTGTTGGTAACCTAGGCCTCTTGCCCACTCATGAGTTCCCCCAAGTGAAACCAACAGGGCTTAGTGGGTTGGCTAAAGACTTACGAACTTAGCCGAACATCGAAGTGGCGTTTGCCCAAATATCCGCTCGGTTGATTCATCAATCTCGCGAGGATTCGGATGACTTGTTGCATGAACATGGAAGCAACTGGGCTACTGTGGGACGAGAAGGGGCCACAAGACCTGAGAGCGGGCCCCAATGTGTCCATGCACCTTTTTAATGTCGGTCACGAGAACCAGCAGGCATCTTTGGGCGAACTTCCCGGTAGAAGTCTTTTTCCCGAAAGCATGGCGAAGGGTTCTTCCGCTGGGTTCACTTGAATTGTTCTCATGAGAGTCATTACAAGGTGTCATTGCAAAGAATCATCATCATGAAAGTCAATGCAAGGAGTCATTGCGGGAGTCATTGCAAGGAGTCATTGCAAGGAGTCATTGCAAGGAGTCATGGCAAGGATTGCAACTTGCACTTGACTCCTTGCACTTGCAACTTGCACTTGACTCCTTGCACTTGCAACTTGACTCCATGCACTTGCAACTTGCACTTGACTCCATGCAGGCTCCTTGCACTTGGCTCCTTGCACTTGGCTCCTTGCACTTGGCTCCTTGCACTTGCAACTTGCACTTAACTCCGTGCACTTGCGACTTGCACTTGACTCCATGCACTTGGCTCCTTGCAACTTGCAATGGCTCTCATGACTCCTTGCAATGACTCCTTGCAATGACTCCTTGCAATGACTCCTTGCAATGACTCCTTGCAATGACTCCTTGCAATGACTCCTTGCAATGACTCCTTGCAATGACTCCTTGCAATGACTCCTTGCAATGCTTGCAATGACTCCTTGAAACAAGCAAGGAGTCAAGTGCAAGTTGCAAGTGCAAGGAGTCAAGTGCAATTGACTTGCGAGGAGTTAAAATCTCTTCTTAGGGCGGCGGGGTAGTGCCGACGACACTACACGAAAATCGACCCTCTGCGGGGATCGGCGTGGTCGAGGTGCAAAAACCCATGGTTTTTTGCGATTTCTAACCTGCTCGCGCGACCCTCTGCGGGGATCGGCGTGGTCGAGGTGCAAAAACCCATGGTTTTTTGCGATTTCTAACCTGCTCGCGCGACCCTCTGCGGGGATCGGCGTGGTCGAGGTGCAAAAACCCATGGTTTTTTGCGATTTCTAACCTGCTCGCGCGACCCTCTGCGGGGATCGGCGTGGTCGAGGTGCAAAAACCCATGGTTTTTTGCGATTTCTAATGTGCTCGCGCGACCCTCTGCGGGGATCGGCGTGGTCGAGGTGCAAAAACCCATGGTTTTTTGCGATTTCTGCTGCTCGCGCGACCCTCTGCGGGGATCGGCGTGGTCGAGGTGCAAAAACCCATGGTTTTTTGCGATTTCTATGCTCGCGCGACCCTCTGCGGGGATCGGCGTGGTCGAGGTGCAAAAACCCATGGTTTTTTGCGATTTCTAACCTGCTCGCGCGACCCTCTGCGGGGATCGGCGTGGTCGAGGTGCAAAAACCCATGGTTTTTTGCGATTTCTGCGGTGCTCGCGCAACCCTCTGCGGGAATCGGCGTGGTCGAGGTGCAAAAACTCAAGGTTTTTTGCGACTTTTGTTGTTCGAACTGGTCCTCGGGAGTTGTCTCGTGGTTCGCGCGCCTGCTCCCGGAACCGGCGGGTCGCGGGTTCGATTCCTCCCTGGTCCGCGGGCGGGCGTCGCAAGATGCAACTTGCATTTTACAGCAACTTGCGCAGAGCAACTTGCGCAGAGCAAGTTGCACAGAGCAACTTGCGCAGACCAACTTGCACCGACCAGTTTGCGCAGAGCGCCTTGCCTAGAGCAACTTGCGCAGAGCAACTTACGCAGAGCAACTTGCACAGAGCAACTTGCAGCAGAGCAACTTGCAGGGAGCGCAATTTGCACAGAGCAACTTGCAGGGAGCCACTTGCAGGGACCAACTTGCCGGAGCAACTTGCGCGGAGCAACTTGCGCAGAGCAACTTGCACAGTGCAACTTGCGTAGAGCAACTTGCGCAGACCAACTTGCACCGACCAGTTTGCGCAGAGCACCTTGCCTGGTGCTGTCTCGCGCTTGCTTCACGAAGTGTAGGGAAAAAGAACGCATCCTGCAGCGTTGGGCCGACCTCGCTTGCGATGTTCTGCTTTCGGGCCAACCGTGGTCTAGTTTTTCTGGTTTCTTAACATGCGAACCCCGAATGGGCCCTCTGTTTCTCCTCTCTCCCTTTCAGGCACCCGTCCCCCGAAAAACAACACCCCCCTCTCCTCGGGCGAACAAATACACATACAAAAACACCCCCCCCCAAAAAAGAAAGAAAGAGCGAAAACAGGACAAAAGAGGAAACCACAAACACAACAATGAAGAAGCAACACCACAACACAAACACAAAACAAAGCAAAACCAAACAGCACAACGCATGTCCTCCCAAAGGAGAAGTTCGAGCACCTGGCTGGGGATGTGAAAGGCATCTCCTGGGGCTGCCACTGCCTGCTCACCTCCATGCGCATGAGGTGCTTCGCAGGGGGTGTCTCCCTGAAACCTAGAAGTGGGAGGTGGCTTTTGGATCGGGAGGTGGCTTTGGACGTGGGTGGGGAGGGGGGCGGGGAGGGGGGCGGGGGGGGAGGATGATGAGCGGCTCGTCTTTTTTGGGAATCGCACGCCCCCCAACGTGGCGCGTCGGTTTTGCTAGTGGTTTTCCTTTGCCAAGCGAAACGAGGTACCAACACCAGAAATGACACACGCCACCCGCAATGGGAGTTTGGATCGAAAGTTGAGTTTGACCCAAAATGACAACCGCCACGCCTAGAGTTTGTCCAGCTGCTGACGATTGAAATGGTTTTTTTCCAGATTGCGGCCGTGGCGGGGTGGTTCCCGGACAAAGACTGGGCTTTTTCTTACGAAAGGATTTGGCCCCCTTGGTTTTTTTCCACTAGGGACTACTAGGATTGGAATTCCAACATTTCTTTGTTTTTAAGCGGGCGCGTTTGGATTCCGTTAAGCGTGCCACGACCCTTCCCAGAATGAGACTTTTGGCCAGTAAGTGCCAGCCCCCAGCCCGATTTGTTTTTCTTTCCGGGTTGGTTTGCAAGACATGGAATGCAGCAAAAAAATCCCTTTTGGAGGAACATGTTAGGAAGCCCCAGTCAGGTTCCATGGCGCGAGAAGGTTCGCAGGATCGAGATTGCCCGAGTGCTCGACCGTGGGTTTTCTTGCGATCGGTGCGAGAGATGCAGGGAATGAGAAATGCAATGACCCCGAGAAAAACCATCCAACTGGTGGTTTCCTTTAAGGGAATCCCCAGGTTCATTCCATTTCTCATTCCCTACTGAGCAGGGTTGTGGAATCAAGGGGTTCAGTCCCACTTCTGTGATACAAGGGAACCTCCCCCTGTATATGGGGTGTTAGTCTTTGGGGTTAGGCCCTTTTTGTAACGTATCACAGAAGTGGATTCCATTTCCCACAACCCTGCTACTGAGCACCAGCAAGTTTTTTCCTCAGGCACTTGCTGGGCTTGGCCTTGCATGCCGGCAACTTCCTGAACGGCGGAACCACGCGCGGGCCTCGGATCGGTACCCTCGGAACCACGCGCCCAAGCGTGGGCTTTTGGGAACGGGGGGCGGGGCAAATGCGCAGGGGTCATACGGCGGATGGGCGAAATCCATTTCGCGCCACTTTGCAACCATGGCTGAAACCATCGTTCCTTGGTATTTACAGGGGAATCAACATTCGAGGGATTCTTAGGTGGTGCGAAATGGATTTGGTTCATCCACGGTATTTTACTAGGAAACAACCAGCACCAACCCTAAACCAATCCTAAATCAACATAAACCAACCCTGAACTAACCCTAAATACACCCTACTAAACCAAACCCTAAACCATAAAGCGTAAACCTACCATAAACCCTAAGCCCAAACCAACCCTAAACCAATCCTAATTCAACATAAACCAACCCTGAACTTTCCCTAAACTAACCATAATTACACCCTAGACCAATTCTAAACCAACCCTAAACCAACCCTAAACCACCACAACCCAACCACAGGACCACAACCACATATGACCATTGGGGGTGGGGGGGTGACCGGGTGGCAACGCTGTACCATACAAATTCTCCAGGGCCGTGGGAAGCTCAGACACTCGAGCCGTGCAGGTCACCCTCCCCTCCCCTCCCCCCCGAGGCGCGGCCGGGCGGACGGCTTCGCCATGGAGACGCTGCTGCAGCTGCGCACCGTGAAGGCCACGCAGGCGGCGTCGGCGCCGGGGCCCGGAGCCACGGGGACCGTTCGCCGGGGCCCGAGGAAATGGAAGAAACATGGCACCAAGGGGTAAATGGACCAAAAGCACCGAATTAAACCCGGGGCTGGCCCTGGCTCTTGATTTCCTTCTTTTGAGCCACACCCATGTTTTCATCAACCCCAGATGAATTTCAACCCCAGATTAATTGACGGGGGGTGCTTTCTTGGCCATCCGAAAGTGGTCATTGTGGGTGTCCATTTCTGGGTGAAATGTGGTTGGAATCAAACCACTTTTGGAGGGGCCAAGAAACCCCCGAATTTAACAACTGGTTGGTCGATTGATATGGGGTCAACATTCTTTTGCAACCTGCTTGTTTAGGATGTTAAGGTTTTCAAGGGGACTCCTGCAAAGCAACTTCTAAGTGTCCGCATACAATTTGGGAAAGGGGCCCCTAGTCAAAACCAAGGTGCCGTATTTTGCACCGTACTTTCCCCTGTTCGGGAAACAACTCACTTGCCCACAACCTGACCTTTTGTTTTTTGCTTGGTTGATCCATGTTGTTTTTGATGGCCCAAAAAGGGCGGGCCTTCGATTTTCGGGTTTTGTAAGGCGCAAGTGAGGCAAACGACTTGAAACGCCCCTCGCCCCGTCTGACGTCGCTTTTGTCGCGCAGGCGTCGGACCAGACCTTGGTGCACTTCATCGCCAAGCAGATGGAGAAGAGGCGCGGCCGGCGGCGCGCGGGGAGCCGCGCGGCCGGGGAGCGCCTGGCCTTCCCCCCAGAAGGGTGGGTTTTCCCTGGCGGAAAGCTATGGAGTTGTTCTCTGCCCAGAATGGTCGTTTTCATGTATATATATATATATGTGATGCTATGAGGCTCCTTGTAGGCGGTTTTGGAGCAGCTTGGGAGGGTTCTGGAGGGTTCTGAGGTTGCGGGCTGTTGGGGATAGGGATCACCGAAGGACCAAGAACAGGGCTCTTGACCCTAAGAACTGGGCTCCGGAGCTCCGTCTTGACGTCAGGGAAGACCAACCCGTAAAATTTCCCTTTCGAGAGTGCGTCTAAGTCTGTAGGGGTGCTTGGCTGGTGGGCTGGATGGTTAAGTTTAGGTTTCTTAGTCATGACAGAACCAACAGGAGTTTTTTGGATTCTTGAACACCTTCATTCAGCGAATGGATTCGTCAGAGCTCGAAGCTGCCGTTCGTCCGCAGTTCATCGCTTGTTCAGTGATAGTGATGCCCTGTTGCCCTTTTTGCTTCAGTGGCTTCCCTGCTAAAATATGATACGCCCTAGGCTCATCGGGCAACTTGGGTTCAGAGGCTGTGTGCGGCCCGCCCGAATTCGTTGCTGGATTTGGTTTGGGCTCCGTTCCGAGCTCGCTTTGGCTACTCACAGACTCGCGGGAGAAAGAGAGCCAGCCTTGGGGAGTTCTCAAAAAAGGATATCGCTTCGACATGCTTTTGGCTGGTATTTGCAGGGCATTCCAAGGAAACCATGGCCATTTGAGGACGCTTTTCTTCCTATGTTAAGATTCCTCTCCTAGGGAACCCCGAGGAAATGGCGCGATTCCAGAAAACCACTTCCTATGTTGAGAGGGCCAACCTGATGGCAGGTACCCCGGCGAGCTGGCAGGCCTGCGGGGTGTGAAGGAGGCTTTCGGAAAGCTAGGAATCCCCACCCCATTCTTCCGGCGAGGCGGGCGGGTCAGAGGTTTCTACAACGTGAATTCCCAGGGCTCTGAATTTTCTCCGTTGAGATTTTTTATCGCTTTAAGAGAGGAGCTGACTACGGACCGGAAAAGGGGGGGGGGAAGGAGCTGGTTGGAGAGTTCTCAGTGCACACGCAAAAGGTGCCGAGGCATGCTGGTTTTTGATTAAGATGGTGTGACACAAGCTCGAGGTGGGAGTTGCGCTTTACACCTCTTGGGCAAACAACAATTTACTGGGGATCCATATAAGCACATATCAAATTTATACCTTCTTGGGACAAGGGGAGATCAGTTGAGTGGCAAACAATTCCCCCTGTCCAATCCGCAGCGCTTTCCAATCCCAGGAACACCCTCTGGTCAATTTGTGAGTGGCAAACAACAAGTTCCTTTGTCCAATCCACAGCCTTCTCCAACCAGAACCCGGTGATGTGGTGAAGCTATCTCGGCTCGGACCAAGGTGAGTCACAATCAAAGCCTGGGTAGAGGAAGGTTAGTCAGGGACAATCCCAACCAGAAGTAGCTGCGGCCGTCTTGACTCTTTGCATGGTTCTGGGAGTACGACCATTTTAACACCGGGTTTTGAGCAAGCGACTCATCTCTGCTTGGACCGAGGGTCCCACAGACCTTGGCACTTCGCCGGGCAGACCTCCGAATCTCCGCAGGGCCCCGTGGACAACGTTTTCCGAACAGGTGCGGGGATCCCTGCCTCTTGAGTTGTGTGTTTTCTTCGCGGCTGTTGGCATGCTTTTTTTTTGCCGGCTTCTGTTTTTTTTGGTTCCGTTCTTTATATTTTCTTTATTTTTATTTTATTTTTTGAGGGGGGGGCATTCTTTTTGCTACCATAGCGAGGGTTGGACAGTTTTTGGGGTGGCCTATGCCGTTTAACCGAGCTTGCTTGCATTCAATCTGAATGGCGAAGCGGCCAAAACGTGGCAGCCACATACTTTCACGGGTTTTCATTGGGACTCACGTGGCGTCAGATTTCCCTCTCGCCGTCGGGCTCTCGAGGCATTTTCGGTGACGGCGAGGAGGCACATTGGATCCGCGGTGGCCCCAAGGTTCATGAGGGGTGTTGCGAAACTCTAGGGGTTGATTCCTTTTCCATTCTTTTCAACCATCCTTATTTTCAAAAAACCAGCCGTTTTCCCCGTGTTTCTGAAGGTTTTCTACAAAGAAGGATCCCTGGAAAGAATGGGGGAGGTACCCCTAGAGAAACATGTTTTTCTCCCCACCAGATGGGTCGGTCTCTTTTCAAGGATACCCTTTTTTGGTTTTAAAGGGACACTAATTGGAAACCCACCATTAGTTTAGTCTTTGTTTTTGTGGGGGGTCCTTCCCCTAAAACAGGACACACCCACATGTTGCCCCCAGATTTAGCAAGCTGGTGGATCCATAGGGTGTCCAACCTTGGCCGGGCACGTTTGGATTAGTGGCTTCGGGGGTTGGAACCGTACGTTTCCTAGCCTCCAAGCCACCAAAACATGGTTGTCGTTGGGACACAGTTTTCCCGTATTTTTGCTTGTTGTGGTTTAGTGGTTGAAATCCAACCACTTAACTGCTATAATTTGAATATTCGCTCCCCTTCCAACGTCAACCAAGAAAACAAACTACCAATTAGGGGGAAGCCGATTAATTGTCGCCCTCAACTGGGTTTGTTGTCTCGTAGAGGGATCCCCAAAATAGTTAGACTTTCGTTTTCGAACTTGATTGTCTTCTCAACATGTTCAGTGCGTCGTTTTCGTAATACCCATACCTACTTTGACGTTCTGAACTCGTTTGGTGAGTTTTCCATGTTCTGTACACTCTAACCAACCAAATCAGGGTGTCTGAGTTTTAACTTGTCAGAGTGTACGAACCAACCCACAAGCGGCAGCTTCAAAAACAAAAACGCGGCCGCTGGCGCCACTTGAACCGAGGCCACGCCGCGCGGCGCCGCATCGAGGATGCAGCGCAGGAGAGTCAGCCGCTGGTGGCGAGTGGGACGCCGGAGGATGTCAATCCGCGCCCTCTACAGATGGGTGGCTCGTGCGTTAGTACCCTTTTCTGGCTGGGTTTGAGTTGGTCGTTTAGGGGAACCAAGAGGAAACTCCATCAAGGTGGGAGGGTACCAAAAAACCACACACCCATATAGAGCGATTGTTGTCTCCAACTCGTTAAAACGAGATATGCACTTTCCAACAAAAGCGGGGAGGGCTTTGGGAGAAGACCCAACTTCCAAAGTCCGTCCCTTCCAGTGGAAGTGGCTGCATTCTGGGGCTTGGGACAATTCAAACTTCCGGGTTTTGGGGAGGGGTGGTTTTTGGGTGGGGGTTGGGTCCTTCTGCAACCGTTTTCCCTCGGGCTGGGGCTAGTGGAAATGAGGTGGGGCTTGTCAAGCCCTTGTGGGGGTGGCCATCCAGGTTCATAGCAACCAGCAAAGTCCACAACATTCGCCAAACTCGCATAGGGGTTTGGCGAATTTCCCGTGAGCATCCTGTAGCTGGGACCCCCCCCAACTCTCTCCCCCCCCCAGGAAACCAGGAAACAAACAACACCCCCGAAGCTGCTTTCTGGGACAGGCGACTTTGCTTTCCCGTTGGACTTTCCACGTGTCTTCATCCGCTTTGCAAGGAGTGCACCAGCCTACTGGGCCAAGCGCTGCACATGGTGAAGACCATCCGATTCGTGTGGCTTGACGCAGAATCTTTGGCAGGGAAAAAGACACGCATGTGTGTGTGTGTGTTGTGTGTTGTGTGTGTTGTGTGTGTTGTGTGTGTGTTGTGTGTGTTGTGTGTGTTGTGTGTGCTGTGTGTGGTGTGTGTGTGTGTTGTGTGTGTGTGTGTGTGTTGTGTGTGTGTGTGGGTGCGTGCCTGCGTGCCTGCGTGCCTGCGTGCCTGCGTGCCTGCGTGCCTGCGTGCCTGCGTGCCTGCGTGCCTGCGTGCCTGCGTGCCTGCGTGCCTGCGTGCCTGCGTGCCTGCGTGCCTGCGTGCGTGCGTGCGTGCGTGCGTGCGTGCGTGCGTGCGTGCGTGCGTGCGTGTGCGTGCGTGCGTGCGTGCGTGCGTGCGTGCGTGCGTGCGTGCGTGCGTGCGTGCGTGCGTGCGTGCGTGCGTGCGTGCGTGCGTGCGTGCGTGCGTGCGTGCGTGCGTGCGTGCGTGCGTGCGTGCGTGCGTGCGTGCGTGCGTGCGTGCGTGCGTGCGTGCGTGCGTGCGTGCGTGCGTGCGTGCGTGCGTGCGTGCGTGCGTGCGTGCGTGCGTGCGTGCGTGCGTGCGTGCGTGCGTGCGTGCGTGCGTGCGTGCGTGCGTGCGTGCGTGCGTGCGTGCGTGCGTGCGTGCGTGCGTGCGTGCGTGCGTGCGTGCGTGCGTGCGTGTGCGTGCGTGCGTGCGTGCGTGCGTGCGTGCGTGCGTGTGTGCGTGTGCGTGTGTGCGTGTGTGCGTGTGTGTGCGTGTGCGCGTGTGCGCTTGTGCGCGTGTGCGCGTGTGCGCGTGTGCGTGTGCGTGCGCGTTCGCGTGCGTGTGCGCGTGCGCGTGCGCGTGCGTGCGTGCGTGCTTGTGGGGTACCTTTTTTTGGGTTGGTTGAAAGGGCAACCACACATTGGTTGACTCTCCATTTTTTGACGCGCACACACACACACACTCATGCAGGCAAAATGGAACTGGGAATGGTTTGGTTTTCTGTTGGTTCTGTTTGCAGCCACACCAAAACAAAGCCTCTCTTTTGTTTTTTGGGGGGGGAGGGGTGTGGCTGAGCAACAAACACTTGACATGGCGCGGTTTGCTCACTTTCATCACGCCAAAGGGAACAGTTGATTGATTGATTGATTGATGGATGGATGGATGGAGGGATGGATGGATGGATGGATGGATGGCTTGCTTGCTTGCTTGCTTGCTTGATGGATGGATGGATTGATTGATTGATTGATTGATGGATTGGATTGGATTGGTTTGGATTGTACTGGATTGGATTGGACTGGATTGATTGATTAATTTCATTTCACTTTGATTGATTTGAATTGACTTGTTTTGTTTTGAATTGAAGTGAATTGATTGATTGGTTGATTGGTTGATTGTTTGGTTGATGGATTGATTGATTGATTGATTGGTTGGTTGGTTGGTTGATTGGTTGGTTGGTTGATTGATTTGGGTGGACATGGCATGACTGAGTGATGTGAGCAACCACAATATTGTTAGTTTGGGGCCAGTGATGCGAGGAGCTTCCATGGAATCGTCTGGGGAGGATAGTTTCTGCGCATGCAGCCAACACTTGGGTCTCTCATGCGCTTGCTCTTATGCGCATTTCCAGCAATTCGCTTGGCCCGATTGAATCGGATGGTTGCCACGAACTGGGCGGCTCGGTCGATTCCCTAAACATATGCCAAGAGGGTGAATTCTAGGGTTGCCCTTGTTCCCTACTTGAAACATTTCGACCAATCAAGCCTGCTTCAGAGGGCTTGCTGGATGTTGTGGAATCTTGTACAGATTCGGGTTGCTCAATCGCCGGCTTTTTCTAGTGTCCCCAACTTCATCGCTTTTCCAGATCCACGCAACCATGTTTTTTCACACCCAGAGATTTCAACGCAACAAGTGCCCAGGCTGGATGACGATGCAGACTTCGAGTCCGACTCCTGCAGCAAGGCCCGCTCGTGCGGGGGGTAGAAATTGACGCACCAAAGGCCTTGTGGTGAGGGACCCTGACAACATTGGTAGTTTACTGGTGATTTGGGGAGGACAAATCCGGAGAGAAGCCTCATTTCCCACCAAAACCCGGGTGAGGGACCCTGTTTCCCAGCCCCAAACTGTTTTTTTCTTCTTTCTGACCTCCATGGTCAGCTTTTGATCTATGGGCCGGCCCCAAACTTTTGGCTGGAGCAACGAAACCGGATTTCTCTTGCGGTTTCTTTAAGCGCATTTCACAGGGCTCCTTGAAAGAAAAACATTTGGGCCGTTTGAAACATGGCCTTTTCCTCCGGAATAAAGGGAAGCCGCCATTTACAAGTTGCAATGTTCAGGTGTATAATGTAAGGATCCCTGTTTCAGTACGCAGATACCATCATGGGATAAGGTTGCCTGGCAAATCACGCAATATCACAGGTTGTTTCGGGCCCCAGAAAGATTTTGAACCCTCTCGTGGATTTAGATCATTATCAAGATGAGCAATTCTTCGAGGATGAATATGGAACCCTGAGCCACATCATCGTGCTGCGGAATCTCCTTCTTGGGGCCACGCTTCCGGGGCTTTATGTCAAGTTCCTGGGAAGGACACGAAGGGACACCTGCAGAAGAAATCAGGCTTGTGTCTGGGTGCAATCCATATGTTCAGTTTGCTCCGTTTCGCAGCTTTTGCATCGGATTGCCTAAACTCGGATCCCGAACAAGGATAGGCCCTTTTGCTGGGATGGCTGACTGGACGCAAGAACACCGCTCAGAATCAGAGAGGCTTGGTGCCTTGCGCACACGGGCTCGAGCAAGCCGCAGTCCGGTGAACTTGAGGTGGCTCTTGTCCGCGCTATGGATGTCGTCGCAGTTCTCAGCGAGGAGTTCGGGTGCGACGAGTTTGACTTTGCCTTCGGCGACAGACTCAATGTGCGAACGCACGCTTGGTGTCTGATTTTTTGTGAGCATGGAGAACCTACCTCACGGTTCGAGCATCCCGGACGACCCGGGCCTTGACACTGGTAAAATACAGGGAGTGGACCTTCTTGGATTCTGATGATAGGTGCAGCTCGCCGAATTATTCGGCCAATTTTTTGCTTTTCACCTTCGCATCAATAGTTCATAAGCGAGGATTGTCAAACTGCACTTCCCTGCAACAAGAACAGCAGCTCAGATTATAATGTTGCTTCATCCACCCGATGCCGCTGGCTCTTTAGGCCAAACGCTTGGCAGCTTTGTTGTTCTTCCATCTTTTTGGGGGTGTCACCGAAATACTGTGAATGGACGAAATCCTGCACCTAAGAAACCCTGGAATGATGATTTCCTCGTAAATGGCAGCAAACAATGGTTGCCCATGCTTTCATTGCGTGATGCGAAATGGAAATTGCTCATCCACAGTATGACTCTTCTCTTATTGTTTTTGGGCTTTTTGTGTTTTCGTTTTGGGAGCCCCAAACCACTACCCCCAAAGAGAAATGGGGTCATATACTCACTCTTTAGCAAAAAAAGCACCGATTCCAACAGATCCTGCTTCGGCTCAGATTGGCCGGGGCGGTTTTACCCCTCAAGTTGGACCCTTCCGCTTGGTGTGTCTTTCAAAAAGGGTGTCCCCATTTTGTTGGTTTCAAATTTCAGAGGAAAGCCAACAGGGCTTGGGGGGTCCACCCCCCAAAAAAAGGCAAATTTTAGGGTCTATTTTAAGAGACACCCATATGCTCTAGACCGTTTCGGTTCTCTTGGCACGTGTTCTCTGAAGGGAATCACAATTTTTGTTTTTTTTTTCAATGGTGGCTAACCATGGCCACCAACTTACCCTTCAAGTAGACCAAGAAGCATTTGAGGAATCTATCAGACTTCCAGTACCCCTGTCTTCTTTGTTGGGTTTCCCAAACAACCTTCAACCAGCAGGAAGAAAAACAAGGGTTCTTTTTCAGCCTTGTGGAATTCCTTTATGGTTGCAGGTTGCTCATCCCTACCCACAAGGATATTTTTTCAAAACTTGTTGCCCGTCTGGCTATAAATTTTCTTGAATGCACTCCAACATCTAGCTGGAAATGCACAGGCGCCTGGCAATTAACTCCATTTCCTAGGGGAGAAGGGGAATTGGGGGTTGCCCTCCTTTGCCCTGCGGAGGTAGCACGCTTTTTTTCTGCAGGAAAGTGGAGTTGTGGGTTGCCCCCCACCCCCCCTTCTCCCTCTTTTTCTCAAGGGGGCCATAAAAGCTTTGGTGCATTTTGCCAAGGGATGTTAGGACTGAACCACTTTTTTTGCCCACTAATGAATGGGTTTTCCGAGTTAAGCCACCATTTTGCTTGAATGATAGGACCGAACCACTCTTTTTGCCCACTAATGAAAGGGTTTTCCGAATTAAGCCACCATTTTCCGAGTTAAGCCGCGAAAAGTGAGTCACTTCTGCAGGGCTTCCACTTCCCGAGGCCAAGCTGTGGCACGCCACGGAGCGGCTGGCCATGTGCATCGCGGAGCTCGAGGCCATGTGGCGATGGACTTTGAAGCAGAATGCCCTCCAAAGGGCGTGTCAGAAGGAGGTTTTCCGGGTTTGGTTTCCCTTGAACCCCATGCGGTGGCTGGAACCACACCACCCATCTTTTTCTTTCTTCTGAAGTTGGTGTCCCTTTAACCCACCAAACAAAACTGGGGGGGGAAGCCTCAAAAACAGCATGCCCAATCATAAACCCCCTAACCTGAATGATGTCCACCTCCCCAATGAAAATTCATGTGTTTCAAGCGCAGGGGACACAGTCTAGATTGGCCAGGGAGACTTAGGGACATCAACAGGTGATTTGCCGGAGTTCTCAAAACGGGTTAGACGCCCGCTTTCGATGGTTTGCAAGGGGAACCAAAAGGAGACATACACTTTAGAGGTCGCCTATTTCAACAAATGGCTGTGGGTCAAAAATAGGTACCCCAAAATGGCACCCTAATAAATGGAAACAATGACTAAAACTAGTGGTCTCCTGGTGGTTTAAATTTGACCCATACCCAAATATCCATGTTGGCAACGGTTTTAACATGTTCAACCGACCTGGTTGGCCCACCCCAGCTGGAGGCCTTGCAGTCGCGACAAGGCGCGGCTTCCGCGTAACGCGGCCCGCTGGGGTTTAGGGGTTTTGGGGGTTTTGGGCTCACCCCCGAAGTTCCTGGACTTGAATCACTTTTGAGGAAGACCAACTCCGTGGCAAAGAACAAGTTCGGATTTTTTTTGGCCAATTTGCGGAAGTGAGTCGTGCTGGGCCATGTCGGGAAGACAAAGAAATTGGAAATCAACTTTTTGGGACTTGCTTGCCAAGTGCAAAGGCTTTCCTCTTGGTATGGGAATCCAACTTTGCCCTTTTTAAAACAAAACGTATCGGAGCCGAGCTCTCGACCGAAAAAAGGCAATGTTGACTTCGATTAGGCGAGAGCTTTTTAGATCTGCTAGCTGGTGGTTGGCTCGTTGGCTCCGGGAGCCGTGACGCCGCGGTGCTGGAGGTATCCAAAACTGCTAAAGTGAAGAGGGAGCTTTTTGGTGCCGATACGAGCGAGTTCTGGTTAGGGACACGGTAGGTGCAAGACGACGGGCTGAACATTAAACTCTGTCGCATTTTAATATGTGAGGTTCGGTCAGCATTTCTGGATTTGTCCATGGTTTATTTGAGAAGGATATGGGGGAAAAAGGCGAACCTCGCGAAAAAAAGAAGGCGAGGGACCCGTTCGTTGTCTCATCTCTTGGGGAAACAAAAGTCCTTTGTCTCATGTGGGAGCCGGTCACAGCCTGCGGGAGTCCGTCGGGTCCAAATTTTGCGGGCGTTCGAAAGAAAACAAAGGGGCACTTGTCATTGGACAGGGCTCCCGATATTTCCCTTTTTGGGTGGTTTGAAACATCACGTTTGGGCCACTTTAAAGTGAGTTTCCTTTTGGTGGGGCGATGTTCAAAAGGGAGATCTAGGGAGCCCTGTTGGAATGTGCACCTAGTTACGCTCACACAGCCACGCAGAATGATCACACCCCCAATTATCAGCCATAAGGATGGGTTTGGGGGAAGGGTACCCTCGGTACAACCCATTTGTAGGTGTCCATTTGGGGTGTGAGTCCATTTGGGGGTTGCCTTCTTTTTCATTAGGTACTCCTTCTTTGTGCTTTTTAAGGGGGAGCCAAAGGAAAGCCACCGCTTCGCGGGTGTAGGGCCGGCAGCCTTTGAAGCTACTCCCTGTGAAAATTTGGTTCGCTCTTGGTGAAGAATTGCCTTGTTTTGAGGGTACACCTTTGTTGTGTCCTAAGAGGAAAACTGAAGGGCAGCCACTATGTGTTGTGGGGGAGTCCAACCTGAAAAAGAGACCCAATTTGCAACCAGCCTTGTTTTCAAGATGCCCAACTGTGAAAACGAGGTCGCATTAGGGACGTAAGTTCTGTGCTGCATGTCAGGGCAGCTGAGTGGGCAGTACGAGAGCCTCTGCTTGTGGTGCCGCGCTCAAACTCCGGCACGGACCTCCTTCCCACAGCCCTGGTGTGCGCGTGTGTGCGTTTGTGCGCGTCTGTGTGCGGTGCGTGTGGTTGTTTTGGATGGTTCCCCGCTTGTCCGAGTTTTTGACGGGCTCCACGTTTCGAGAGCCCGCATGAGCCATCACAACTGGCCGCTGTGCGTCAGCGGGGTTTGGTCATGGAGCCCGTAGTAGAACATTTGGCATGAGTTGTCATAGGAAACCGCCTGAACAGTGGAAGGTGGAAATGCATGCCCAATGATGTCCACCATCTCGGGTCCCAGTTTCTCTTCTTTCCTGCAACTGCAAGCATGGGGTTCCCAGGTTGCAACAGATCGCAACTCGAGCCTTGGACGGTGGATCATCAACGCAAGCGAGATTCTGTAGAGATCAAAGCATGCCTCGTGGAAGCTTTTTTTTTTGTGAGGTGTTCGTGAAAGGGGCAGAAGGAATGTGTCTGTGTGTGTGTTCTTTTTTGAGGGCACCCTTTCCAAGCGGTGATTTGAAGGGAAACCATCAGAAAGGGCCCCCTGATGTTGGGGTGTGTCTGTTTTTAGGGGACCCACCAACACACTGGCAACACACTGGGGTTTTCCCAAACCCAGCAAATTTGAGGGTGCTGGGGGGCCGTCCCATCCATAAACAGACGCGGCCGCCCTGCATGATTTTGGGTTTGGCTGATTTACCCCTGAGGTCAGAAATCAGCGCGTTGAAGTGGGTTTATCAAAACTCCCCAAATAAATTGAGCCACAATCAAAACCTGGGTAGATGAAGGTTAGTAAAGGATAATCCCAACCATACGTTGGGTGCGCCCGCCTTTTAGAGTCTCACATGGTTCTGGGTAGGCCATTTTAATACCGGGTTCGATTATGACTCACTTGTCGCAAAGATGGCTATGGCATCCAAGCAGTAAAACATGTGGAGCCAAATATCGATGCACACAATATGTTAGGTCAAATACTCGGGAAGGATAGAGGATCGTTTCTTTAGTACCAGTGATTGTGCCTTTGTGGACAAAGTCAGTTCAAACGATTTGGAGTCCTTGTGAATGATATGTCTCAAGCTCGCTCATCATCCATTAGGATGCTCATAAGATTTAGGTGGTGAGCGAGAGAGACAAGGAAGTGGTTTTAGATACAGAGAGAAAGAGAGAGTGAGATATGAAAGTGCATGAGAGCTCATATTTCATGAGTCTTACCTCAATTGCGAGGACACACACTAGTAGGACATATAATCGTCATATTATTATGTTTGTCAGCTGTTTTATTTTACCGTTAGTATCTTCTTCATGACAAGGGTCTCACTTTGTTTCGGAATGTTTGAGATTGTCCTGGCATGTCTTGGAATGGCTTTGGAAGGCCGGACCGGAACCAACTGCATGCAAGGCTTACAGCCCGACTTGCTGGTCTTCAAACAGCGCTTCGTAGGGGTCATTCCCTATCCCCCTTTTTGGGTTGGACATTTTCCCGAAGCCCCGAAGCCCCGAAGCCCCGAAGGCTCCACATCGACGTTGACAAGCCGAAGCCCAGCGATGAGCCTGCCCTGGCATGGGTCTAATCGATCGCTGGTTCCTGTAGTCAAGGTTGTCCATCCCAAATGCGCCGGGGAACATGTTTTTTTCACAACCCTGAAACGTCGCAATCCCGAATACGCAATACCGCATTTATAGCTTGAGGTCCTGATAGAAGCACAGGAGGCGGCGGTACCAGGGATGCCCCAGCTGCCTGCCATCCTGGAGTGTTCCAGTCCCGGTAGTGCCAGGTGTAAAAGGTGGCACGGGAGACGTACAATGCAAAGCAATCCACACAAACTCAAGAGACACCGAAACACACATGGGCAGCCACATGGCAAAGCAAGCAAACCCACGTGCCAGCATCTGCTTACAAACGGCCAGCTTGCTGAATGTTTAAGTCACCATTGTAGTGCTGCCGACGCGAACTCAATGATACTATCCTCGGGTGTGGTATGAGGAATACGCCTAGAGGCACTCAAATTCGCATGCCTCAAGGGCTCCTTTTCTGGGCATGGATTTCGCTTGGGGGCGTTGCATTTGCCTGACGCAGGTGGTTTTCGGGTTTGAACCCTTGATTCTTGGAAAGGGTGCAGCGTATGGACCACCCTCTAACCTCAAAACCACCAGTCTCAATCCGGGTCTGTGTTTTTTTTTGAGGGTCCTCGACAACTTGAAAGGGTGTCTAGTTTTGAGAGCCAGTGGAGATGAGTTTTGATTAGGAACCGTGGCTGCACATCAGAATTCGGTGGGGGTTCATATGAGGCGGTTCCCTATTGAAACTCCTAGCCAACTGTGTGGCCTGTACATAGTCATAGAAACCAGCTACAGGAATATCTGCAGGACATTGGCCAAACACCCAAAACAATGAATGCATTGAATTACTTGCAGGTTTCTCAGATATGCTCATTTGGGCTTTCGTTTTCAACCAAAAACATATACGTCTGATTCTGTCGTCAAGCTTGTGCAGGGAAACTGAAACACATGTGTCGCGAAACTTTCCGTTAGGGTAGACCCGTTGCCGGCAAGGGGAAACCATATGCGTGTGTCTTAAAATATGGGACGCCACGGAAGGAGAAGTGTCCTTTCGGTGTCCTTTAAAGCCACTCCCAATGCCTTGTGTTTTCTTCGTACCCCAAAAGGGGACCCCCCCCGTTTTGAGAAGACCCTCAGCCCTGCCAGGCTCTTTGGCATTTGGCACACCTTCCTGCAGGAGCAAGCAAACGAGCCTTTTCGTTGGACCGCATGCCCCGAAGATGGGGGGTTGCAGGTCTCTGCTTCACTAAAACAACCAAAAACAAAACACGTGTCGAAATAAGGGGAACCTCTTTTTCATGGTGGTCTTCTGTTGGCTTCCCTTCAAACCAAGCTGATGTAAAGCAGAGGCACAGCTTTGGGTTTTGTGTTGCAAGCCAAAACCAAGCCGGAGAATTGAGAGGGATTCGAAGGGGATCGCTGCAGGAGAATCACTCCCCATGCGCCCTTAGGTTCTCGGTTTTTCGGGTTCAGTAGGGGTTTCCGTTGAACCCACTAAAGTCGAACTTTTTGCAGGGGATCTGCTGACAGCCCAGTCATTTGCTCATGCCCACGCGAACCGCATACCGACTCAGCGTGGCTCACAGCTTTGCTTTGCGGACCTTTGGCAGTTTTGGTTGAACCTGTCCGCACAGGAAAGGAAGCACAAGGATCTGAACATATACACTTTCCCGGGGGGATTGAACCTCATCACCTTTTGGGCCATCATAAAGTTCGTTTCTCTTCGGTGGGATGGTTTTTAGAGGCACCGCATCTAATGAACACTGCGGTAGTCAGGGAACCCGTTCAGCTTTGTAGTTGCTTTTTCTTTTTCTTCTTCTTCTTTTCTCTCCCGGGCTCTAGCTTGCAAGTTTGTTTTGTTGCATCCATTTGAATTCCCCAGTTGCCAAACCCCATCAGATGGGTCGCCCAATCGAAGGCCCCAAATTTGCCACCACGGCGCCTCCGCAGGATGTGCAGGCGGCCAGGCGCGCCATCCGGGAGAAGGAGCCCGCGGGTTTCCGGAAAAGAGGCCACGGGGCTGGGAATACCACCTGGGCGCATGTTTCGAGCTTCATGCTGATCAGGTTACCCAACTAACTGGGCATGGACAGACACCATTTGGTACTTCCCGGTGTACGCAGGATTTTATCCATTACCAGGAAATTGTCCGGCCACACTGGAGTTTGTGTGGAGGTTCCAACCATCTTTCCAACCTGAGCCTTCGCCCTGAACTTTCCCAGGAGCAAGCTGCGCGGAAAAAGCGGCCGGTGTCACGTCCGAGAAGGAGCGAGCGGTTGGATAGCCATGGGTTGCTTGTAAGCACGCACACACGCGCACGCGGGTGTGTGTGTGTGTGTGTGTGTGTGGCGGGGCGGCGTGGGTGCGTTGGTATGCGGGTGCGTGCGTGCGTGTGGGTTCGTGCGGGGTGCGCCCTCGGCTGTGCACTTTCTTGATGCGTGACTCGCCTGTGCACTTCCGCGGTGGGGGGTGCACTTTTTGGATGCTTTGCCCAGCAGCACCACCATCTCCAGACGGAACTATATACCTCGTCTGTGCACTTTGCCTTCCCACAGCCTCGTAGGGGTGCGCCCTTGATGCCCGACTCGTCCCCAGCACCACCAACCACCAACCTCCAAAGACCCTCCAAAACCACCGCCACCACCACCACCACCACCATGCAGCACTTCTCTACTGCCCATTTTTGAGCTTAGTACAATGGGAGGCAACACGGGTCAATTTTGAGCTCCATATGTTCACAGCGCGAGTCAAGATTGACCAAACGTAGTTGCAAGGACATCCAGCAGGCTTGCTTGAAAGCCGTAGTGACGAAAGCAATTTGGCTTAGCGCTTGACTCCCGTTTGGATTTTACACCTTATGGACCAAATTAAAGTCAGCAGCTCCAGCCCTTTTTTTCAGGTAGTGCGGCAGACACATGTTCTGACTTGTTTTAAATGGCAGTGCTTTCTCCACGTGCTCTTCTCGTCATGTCAACGAACCGCTCGGCAGGCGGCTGGAACCCAGGCAACATGCTCTCGCCCAGGCAGTGGCTGTAGCCCTTGTTCTCCAGAAAGGTCTTCGTGGAAGCTTTGCGGGGGGCTGGCGGGCTCCAGGCTCCACCTTGAGCACTGGGTTGACGCGATCTGGTACTGCCGGTTCCACTGTCGGAGCGGTGAAGCGATCCTGCAGCTTGGCGCGCTCACTCTGTGGGTGAGCGCCTGCCCAAAGCACGGGAAGCAAACATTCCATTTTTGTGCGGTCCAGCCAATCCCCCGTTTAAAAGAGTGCCTCTGGCGGCCAAGGCGCTCAGCGCACACAGAGCTTAAGGACGCAGCTGCGCGGACGCAGGGATGAGCGAACGTAACTGACCTACCTCAACCCCTCCCGCAAGCAGGACACAGCTACACGACCATGCAGTAGTGAGCGAACGGAACTGTCCTCGCCACGCAGTGACGAGCGAACATGATTCCCACCCCCCTGTCAGGACCAGCAAGAGCTCGTGTTTGGAGCTGGATTGTGTGGCAGGCGCAGTACTTTGAGCGATAGGGGCGAGCAACTTTCAGGCGTACAGGCGAGTGCCCGCGACTGGAGACACGAAGGGCGCAGATGAGTCACCTATGGACTGCGCAGCTGTCCCTGCCCGTTCGTCGTTCGTGCCTGCGTGCCATGCGTGCGTGTTTGTTTGTTTGGTTTGGCCTGTTTTGGTTTTAGCTTGTTTTGCTTTGTTTTGTTTGTCTGTTTGGTTGGTTGGCGGGTTGGTGGGGCTACCCATGTGTGGGCCTTTTGAAGGGATCTTCTGAGCATGCTCCAAGCCTACGGTTTCTTTTCAGTGCGAAGGAACTTTGGAGGCTTTTCAGCCCGAAGCTTTGGGGACCCTTGAGCGGGATGCCCTTCCACCATGGTTGGTGTGCAGTTTGCAGCACGTTTTTTCAATAAAAGTCTAAAGGAGTTGTCCCCATCCTTGGTCATTTGCGAATATATTGTTTGGAGCGAGGGCGCCTTTTGGAGACTTTTTTGTGAGCCCCGGAAAGGGGGCGGCTAGGAATGGCTCCGGTTGGGTGAAAACAGATGGGACCATCTACCATCTCCGCTGCGTGAAAGCAGACCCCGCCCTAAACTTGTAGCGCCTCAGTTTGGACACCTGGTGCGCTCTGGCGCTGGCCGCCGGTCTTTCTGCCCCTTTGGGAGTCTTATGCACCTCATCCTTGGTGCAGGGTGCGCTCCACGACGGTGCCGGCTATGTCTGCATACGCTGAGGCCAGGCCCTGGCCCGGCTAAACACGAGCACGTGTTTTTGGCTTGGCCGGATTGAGCCGACATGAACGAGTTGCCAGTTCGAGGTGTCTGCTGTTTACTTTGAAGACAGTCAGGCATTTGTATGGTATTTTGAGTAAGCGCATGACTATTTTATGGAAAGGGTTGGATTCCAGCCACCAAAACGGGGATTCCCAGAGCGCCAATTGGCCCAGACGGAAAGGCGAAGCTTTCGCAGCTCCCTGCCCCCAAGCCGCTCCTGTGAGACTATCGCAGCCACAGACAGATGCTGCATGACAAATGTGTGTGTGTGTGTGTGTGTGTGTGTGCGTGTGTGTGTATGTATGTGTGTGTGTGTCCGTGTGCGTGTCCGTGTGTGTGTGTGTGCGTGTGTGTCTGGGTGTGTGTGTGTGTGTGTCCGTGTGCGTGTCTGTGTGTATGTGTGTGTGTGTGTCTGGGTGTGTGTGTGTGTGTCTGTGTGTGTCTGGGTGTGTGTGTGTGTGTGTCTGTGTGTGTCTGTGTGTGTCTGTGTCTGTCTGTCTGTGTCTGTGTGTGTCTGTGTGTGTGTGTGTGTGTGTGTGTGAGTGTGTGTCTGTGTGTGTCTGTCTGTCTGTGTCTGTGTCTGTCTGTCTGTGTCTGTGTCTGTGTGTGTGTGTGCGTGTGTGTATGTGTGTGTGTGTCCGTGTGCGTGTCTGTGTGTGTGTGTGCGTGTCTGTGTGTGTGTGCGTGTGTGTCTGGGTGTGTGTGTGTGAGTGTGTGTGTCTGTGTGTGTCTGTGTGTGTCTGTGTCTGTCTGTCTGTGTCTGTGTCTGTGTGTGTGTGTGTGTATGTGTGTGTGTGTGTCCCTGTGCGTGTCTGTGTCTGTGTTTGTGTTTGTGTGTTTGTGTGTTTGTGTATTTGTGAGTTTGCATGTTTGTGTGTGTTGTGTGTTTGCGTGTTCGTGTGTTTGGGTATTTTGGTGCTTGAGTGTTTGAGTGTTTGCGTGTTTGCATGTTTGTGTGCGCGCTTGTTTGTGTGCATTTGTTTGCATGCGTTTGCATGCGTTTGCATGCGTGCGTGCGTGCGTGCGTGCGTGCGTGCGTGCGTGCGTGCGTGCGTGCGTGCGTGCGTGCGTGTGTGTGTGTGTGTGTGTGTGTGTGTGTGTGTGTGTGTGTGTGTGTGTGTGTGTGTGTGTGTGTGTGTGTGTGTGTGTGTGTGTGTGTGTGTGTGTGTGTGTGTGTGTGTGTGTGTGTGTGTGTGTGTGTGTGTGTGTGTGTGGGTGCGTGTGTGTGGGTGTGTGTGCGTGTGGGTGGGTGTGGGTGTGTGTGTGTGTGTGCGTGTGCGGGCGTGCGGGCGTGTGTGCGTGCGTGCGTGCGTGCGTGCGTGCGTGTGTGTGTGTGTGTGTGGGTGGGTGTGGGTGTGGGTGTGGGTGTGGGTGTTTGTTTGTGTGTGTGACCGGCACCGGTGTCTGTTTTCGTGTCCGCGTCCGCGTCCGCGTCCGCGTCCGTGCTTGCCTGTGCCCGTGCCCGGTATATGTGCGTGTCCGTGTGTCCGTGTTTGTGCTTGCGTCTGTTTTGAGGACCCTTCTGCCGGTTGGCTCAAGGGGAACCAAAGGGAACACCACCGCTTTGGGGGGGGAGGGGTTGAAGCTGGTAGGTCCGGGGTTGGCTTGGGTTGGATTGGGCCCTGATTCGAGCGGCTCGGGCTTAGCCCAGGGCTGATCCCGGGTGCACCGTATATACAGGCTGGTGCCCCTCACTTGAGAAGGACATGGGTTATGCACGGAAAGCTCAGGGGAATGGCAAGTCATTTCTTTGGAGAGTTGGCTACAATATGAACACCTCATTTGTTTGGAAAGACTTTTAGAGTTTTGAATGGAATTTGGGAGGGGTGTGAGGCTCTGAGCACCTCAGTCATAAGTTCTTCTTCTTGATAAACACTCGGAAAGCTTAAAACTTCCATTTGCTGAAGGGGAGGTTTCGTTTTCCCTTATTGGTGTCAAAAGGGAGTCTACCACCTATTAATCCCTGGAATGATGATTGCCCCCGCAAATACCAACAAACAATGGTTTCCCATGGCTTCGCGTTGGTGCGAAATGGATTTTGTCCATCCACAGTATGGCTTACCTCTTCCAGGGGACGTAGTCGCGCTCACGGAGGCAGACGTGGAGCCGGAGGAGAAGGAGAAGCAGAGCCACGGCACCAGATCTGTGCCCGAAACGGGGAACGGCACTGGGAGCGTCTGAAACCTGGCCCCAACAAAGCCAGCGGAGGATCTCCATCGAGCTCTGCCAACTGGCTGTTTGTCAACCGTTTTGGGATCCCATTTTGCTTGGGATTGGTGAATTCACCACCCATTTTAGATAGCCTATTTTAGTGGTTAGATTAGGAGTACGGGCTTTTGACCCATGGCCAAATGGAAACCCGCGCCTTTGGAGAAGGCCTCCAACCCGCAATGATTCTGGGTTCAAAGGAGCTCGCTGCTGACGCTCCTTCGGGATTTGTGAATTGTAGCTAGTGCTGATGATCTTTTGGTTCCAAATTGATATGCAGTAGACACACCCGATACCACTCAGAATCGGCCTTATCAATGACAAGAACAAACTACTTCATCAAGGCTTGCTTGCCCAAAGCCGACCTTCTGACCTTTCAGTTTCCCTTTTTTTGGCCCATTTTTAGTCATTGAACCAAAAAGGTTAAACTGAGCAGGGGGTTCGCTGGCATCCCAGTGGAATACAACTTACAGCAACCCTGAATTGAATCGCCCTCCAAAAGGTGGGTGAAGCTCATTTGGAATCTCTTGCCCAACCCGATTCGTCCCATATTTTTTTTTGCAAACGCATTGGATTTGTTTGTTCATCCCGCATTTTTGGTGAACCTCAACCCCCTTTTGCTTAACAATCTAGCCGCTTGAGCGAAGCGAACCGGTCGAAGCGTACTGTGCGTACCAATTGGTGGTTTGGATGGGTTTGGGGGTTGGAACTTGAGGGTGAATGGAAAATCACATCGGGCTCCAAACCACCAAGAAGCTGAACAAAAGTAGGTAACCTGGAAGACATATGCGAAGCCTCTGGAAAGGACAGTACCTGCTGGGTTTCCTACATGGGTGGGGCTCGAAGGGGGAAGTGGTTTGCCTTTGGTTTCCTTTTTACACCAACCCCTCAAACGGCACCCGTAACAATGCGCATATTTGTGTGAGTGTGCTTTTGTTTTTTGGGACCACCCCCCAACAAAGCCATGCTTTCCTTTCGTTTCTCCTTTTCTTTTTTTATCACAAGCAAACCGGTACATTAATTTCAGAGATACACCCAAACATCCCCTTTAGTGATGTTGAAGCTCACCTTTTAGATCTTGACATAGGCGATCTTTGAAGGTGAGGTTCGGTCCTGCTTGGCCCCTGAACAAAAAGCCAACGGACTCACTGACAGTGCCCTTTGGTGGGAACTTTTGTAATTTTGAAACCGAAGGTGTGAGCTCCCATCCGGGTTTTTGGTCCCTTGAGGCGGAAAAAAAAGGGAGCGACCTTTTTCGGGACTTGGAAATCGACGGATTTGGGAGCCACAGAATGCTTTGATTCCTTCCTGCCTTCCTGGTCCACTTCTGATTTCAGGTTAGTGCAGTTTGTATTTCTCGCCCGCATCCAAGCTGGCTTTCCGGATGAGCAAAGTGGCAGCAAAATGCCTGGGAGGTTGCCATTGGCACCAGCAGAGAGCCAGCCCTTGTCGGTTTCTTCTTGCTTCAGGGCTTTAGAGGCTCCACGGACAGGGTGTTTCCCCCGTTCTTCCCATGCAGGCTTCGACTCAGGGGTAGCGGAAGCCAACAGATTCTGGATCCAGTTCAGTGATAGAAATCCGGGCTTCGCAAACTTATCTCAAGGGCTGGGACCGTTTTTTCAGCCGAACGTTGGGGTCATTTTGGCCTCGGAGGCCCAACATGGGACCCCTTTCCCCGTCTTCGCCGCAACAGGTTGTCCGGTCTCCCGGCTCTCCAGAGGAGAAGGCGCGCGCGCGCCTGCGCGCGCGCGTCTTGGCTGGAGGTACCCTTGCTGCGCTTGGCGCGGATCGGGGGCACGGACCCGGCAGATGCGGTGGAGAACGAGGCGAACGAGTTGGACGAATTGCCTCTAATTCGGATGTGGGCCCCCAAAAAAAAAGGGGCTAAAGACAAGACAGGCAGGGTCATGGCTTAATCTTATTTTTGCAAAGTGCCCAACTGCGTTCGAACATTTTTGGGCCCTAGGTTTGAACAATGGGGCGCGTAAATGATTGGAATCAAACAAGCTTCAAGGACACACAAGCTGAGGGGCACACACACACACACATCGATTTTGGATCAGCATCCCTCGTTTTTGGCTGAGGGGTAGCTTCCGTGGCGGCAGTTTAGCAGACCTCATCGGGGCACAGTGAGTTTGTAGTCGAATTGGACTGCTACCAAGGTTTTTTGTTATTTATTTATTTTTACATACTGCATATATATATATATATATACAGACTATTATATATATATATATATTTCTTAGTTGCCGTCCCCATTCCTACTTGCAATGAGGGAATCCATTATGCCCCTGGCTTGGAAGGTGGGGTGGCGCCTGTGGGTCTTTAGTTGCTCTTGGGAGAGGGGGGGAGAACCTGGACAACACGTTCTTCTGCCGCTCGGGAAGCATGGCTTCGTTCCAGGGGTCCTCCTTGAAGGAAGCAAAGCAGCTTGGCGAGTGCCTAGGAGCAAGTGACCAACCAAGAGAATTTGCCAAATCATGGTTGTCGTTGGGAAATATTTTACATTTTTGCTTATGGTGGTTTAGTGGTTGAATTCCCCACTTAACTGCTAAAATTTATTTTTTTGCTCCCCTTCCAACGTCAAGCAAGACATACGGGGCAAAAAGTCACCCGCTTCGCTTCCAAGCTGGCAAATGAGATTTGCGAGTTCGGGCCTTTCCAGTGTCGGCGCTAGGCAGTAGGCAATGAAGCTGCAGCCAATGTAGTTGGTTTCCTGACGCTGCACCAGACACTTCCGTCGCAAACCTCCAGGTTGCTTACCTTCGCCGTTTTGGAGTGTCCTTTATCCCCTACGGAAACCTGAACACCCACTGAGGTAGAGGAAAGCAGTGGAAACCCTGCGACTCGAAAGCGCGGAAGAGTCAAAGGGTTTCAAGAGGTTGCTTAAACAGATCATGAGAAGTTTTGCAGGCACCCAGATGAATGCGATGGAAAGACATGCAACAACTTTCCAAGCCAGGGACTCGCCAACATTTCCTATCATTGCGGTCACCCCGCAGATTTATTTTGACCGTTCACTCAACCGCGAGGGAAAAACCTGAATCAGCATAAATATCCTAAAAGCCCATAGAGTAGGGCCACAGAACTCTAAGATTATACGGCAATTTTCGGGTGATTTGTTCGCTGGGCTTCAATTCTTTTTTCCCCGCCCCCCCCCTTCCTCCCCCCTTGAGCCTTTGAGCTTGCATACCGCCGGTCCAGGCAGAAATCCTTCTAGAAAACCTCCGGAACCCCGCGGAACGCCCCCCCCCCCCCCCCCGGCCTTGCACGGAGTGTGCAGCCCCAAAAACTCGGAATTTTGGGGCAGCTGGCGGTCAGTTGGCGCCTCACTTGTCAGGAGGCGTCGGCCGCAAGCTCCACGGAACCTGCGCAGGCGCAGGACCGGTGGACGGGGCAAACCGAAGGAACACCCCCCCAGTGGAAGCTGAAAGGAGGGTCTTGGGCTCGACGACTTTCTCCGAAGCTTTGAGCCTTTTGGGTTTGGACCATGGGTGGCGCACAAAAGGTTTGGTGCCTTGGTTGCTTCCACTTCACTCGATGGGAGTGAGAAATTCCTTTGGGGGAAGACTGAACATTCTATGGTCCCTTGGAGGTATTTGCAACCGAAAACAAGCAAATGGGAGGGACTGAGCGGCTGGAATCTGCGCCCGTCCTTGAGTGTACCAAAGGGCCCGGAAGAATCGGAAGGGGTGTCGGATGTCGTGGGGGATCTGCTTGGTGGTTTGAGCTGGTTTGGATCGGTGTTTTGGAGGTTTCATGTTAGGGGGTGGTTTCCCACTTACCCGCTACAAGAACCAGGGGTTCAAATCCACAAATAACCTTTTTTTTTTCCCCCGAAAGTGCTAGGGGAGTTGGATCTCATTTGCAGATTCTATGGGACCCGTGCGTTTTTTTTTCAAGATCTCGCAGTGAACAAAGCGGGCTTTTCGGGGATTCAAAGAGGGTTCTCGTATATGAAGACAACCCGAAATGGGGAACGCCACCATGAGTTCGGTCCTTTCTTCCAAAAGCGGAGGGTTACACAAGCTCCTTGTGTACCAAGAGGAAGCCACTATGGCCATGATTTTTTACAATAGGGCCCCCACCTCCAAAGTGGTTGGTGGTCGTGAATCCCCACCATGATGTCCACGAAAGGGTCCCCTGGTAAGAATCGCATCAGGCAGGTCAAAACGCATATCCTGGCCCCATCCGCTACCTGCTTATTCTTCCAAATGTACCCCTTTGGATGCTTTTACACCCATTAAAGTGACATCCCCAAAGTTAGCCTTTAACTGATGGGTTCAAGGGCCTCCAACGTGATTTGTAGTTTTTCCAGACTCCCTATTCAGCACCCAGAAGCCGTTTGAACCCGTTCAAGAAGCCCTGTGACCGTTATGGGACCCCGCAAAAACAGAGCAAGTAATTATCAACAACAGGATGCTTTGCTTTCCCCCCATGCAAATCTGGAGGTTTGGGGCTTGAAATCTTGTGTCCCCGTGATTACTGGTGGTTTGGATGGGCATGTAGAAGCATTGGGAAAAAAAATCAAACACCCTGACCACACCAACAATCCAAAGCACCAGCTGGAGGGAAGCTGCCTATATATGAGCTGACAATGTCAAATCAATAGTCTATACATATTCTTTCGGATTAAGTCTACGGAAATCACAAAGGGTATACGTTGTAACACAACTTCTAGCATTAGTCTCCTTGGTTTTGATCATACCATATGTCCTGATTGCATACTTGAACTTTCCAAGTCTTACATACAGCCGTGCTAGTTCTACACACGCTTCATTGTCTCTTGCGCCTAAATTCCGCCTCGAGCAGCGATGAAGTATTGCCCAAGTGCCCTCTTGGGGAAATAAGTACCGTGGTCCGGGGCTCCTACACTTCAGTTTGAAACATCAGGTCTTAGGGGTCCAAATCTTCGTTTTGACGCATACCAATTGGAGGGAAGCTGAGAACATGGCGAATTGGCGGTCTGAAAGGACTCTAAATTACAAATCGTAGGTAAAGGGGTGAACGCTTGATGTCACCTGCATGGGCCTCTTTTCAGAAACTGCGCGGTTTGGGCCACACGAATCTGGCCTGTCTCTTGTGGACCCCCCTTGTTTTCGGGGTTGGTTTGAAGGGAAACCAAAAGGCAAAACCACCCGTTGTGGGGGTCCCCGGGTCCCCCCAAAAAAGGAACCACCTAGATAGCCAAGTTGCGATCGCTTTTTTCAGTCACTGTTGCCGGCTTTTGCATGGCAAAGTGGATGGGAAAAAGAAAGCGGGCGAAAAAGCAACTGGCGATTTCCAGGCACTCCCAGCACCTGTTTTGGGGGTCCCCCCCCAAAAAAAAAGGAGCCACCCACAAGCAGCTCCGAGTCCCGGCTTTCGCCGGAGGACTCGGACTCCACCAGCTCCGAGCTCCAGCTGACGCCCCGAGGCCCTGAGGCAGGCGGTGATTGGGGGGGGGGGGTTGCGAGTTTTCGGGCAGCTGAGAGCTTTGGGGTTCTGGGGATGTTCTGAAAGCTTTTTGGGGTTTGGGGCCCAGATAGGCTCTGGGGAGGTTGGGGCTCTGAGGTAGAGGGTTTCGTGGGCTGATTGTGAAGGGGTTTCCGGGGAGCACTCGGTTCGGAGGAGGATTTCGAGGATGCTTGGGGTTCCGGGGATGTTTTGGGGATGCATGGGGAGGTTCCAAGGAAGGTTCTGGGCGCGTGGGGGTATATAGGGCGGAGGGGTCGCGGGATGCGTGGGCGTGGTTCTGCCTTCCACTGTTTCCACACCAGGTATCTTTGTTATTCTTACACTTGCGAACAGCAGTCAAATACGCCTCATGTGGGTGGGGATATCAACCGAGTGTTTTTTTTTTTTTTTTTTTTGGGGGGGGGGGGGGCGACTCAAGGTCAACTCAATAAGTTGATGTGCATCACCAAGTGCCCAGTTGATGCCCACCTTTTAGGGGTGCCAGAACCGCAGAGCTTCCCAACTTGGAAGCATAGCAGGCTGGTGATGCTGGTGCCGGCGGCAACGGCAAGATCGACCTGTCGCGTGATGGACTGATGAACTGGGCATATGTCTCACGTCTTTTTTTTATAGAACGGGCTCCGCCCTGATCAAGAGGTTTTGCAATTGGCAACCGACATGGTGGTGGTGATGCAATCCATCTGATTAAGCCAACGCTGTCAAGCACGAGCATCACGAGCCAAGAACCCTTTGAAATCCTGGGCTTGACTCACTATCCCGTGCGATGGGACTTGATGCTGCGCAAGTGGCAGAACGGGGGCGGGGGGGCAGGGCGGGCCGTTATGAAATGCTTCGCCGAAGCCACCCGTGGAAGTTGTGAATGGGGGGGGCCTGGGAAGAGGCAGGCGTAATGAAACGGCTTTTTTGGTGCTGTTTTGCACGGGTTTGCGCACGGAAAAAAAGACCCTTTTGCGTTTCGTTATGTACCCTGGTGGCGGCAGTTGACGCACAACCTGAAGTGACAATGACTGATTAGGAAGACCATCAGCCAGAGCAAGGACCGAGCAGTTTAAGGAAATTTGCGGACCCGATGCAAGTTGAGAACCAACATTGATCGAAGATGTCTTGTCGCGCTGGGCAGTTGACACAAGTTGCAGTGTAGCGGGGTCAACATCGGCAATGTGGACGAGTAAGATCTATAATTCGGAAGCATATGCGGAAGGCGGAAATGTAGCGGCCTGTTGTTCCACGTGCTTTGTGTGATTCCGGCGAAGGCAGTCTTCGAAGCGGTAATTGTACTACACGGGGGGGGGGGGCTGCGAAGAGGTAGGCAGCTCGCGAAGAGCTAGGTGTTATGAAAGTGCCTTTTTTGTGTTGTTTGTGCCGCGGTTGCACATGAAAAAAGGCACTTTTGAGGTTTGTTGTGTATGTTGCTTGTGTAGCCACCTGGGCCCGTGGGAAATGTTGACCGGTGGCGAGTCGAAGAAAGTGGCGCACACGGTTCGCGGGCAGCAGCCAGTCTGGGGCGCGAAGGAACACAGAGTCGACGGAGTGACAGTGTCAGGGAACAACCATGCCTTCCTGCACGGCAAGGAAAGCTGGTCAGGGGCTTGGCTGGACTGCGAAAACGCGGCATGCAAGGCACTCATGGAGGGCAAGTGTGAGAAAGGCCGCATTCGCACGCTGGAGTGCGCCACCTACCTGCGCAAAAGAACGTGCGTCCAAGGCCCGGGCGCTGCTGGAATCGGCAGGTCAGGAACTGCAGCGTGATGCCAGCAAAGCAAAGGCAATCTTTGCAACAAACGCGGTAAAATACCACGTGAACAAGTTGCGTGCCCAAGAATGGGCATCGAAGCATGGGCAGCAGCTGCAATGTGCCATTGCCCGGGACAGAATCTCGAGCGCCGCGCTGCAAGAGCAGCCAGACTTGGGTCGAGAGAAGCTAGCGTGGCTGCACCGGCACGACCAAGAGTGCGGAGGCTTGTACGGAGTCTTGCCGCTGTGCGTCGGGATGCCAGTGACGGCCACGTCCCACTTGGCTAGACGTCGTCGCATTCTGAAGGGGTGCCCAGGAGAAGTGGTCGGGTGGACAGCGCCGGAAGGCGGGGGACGACGCAGGGCATATTTGGAATAAATTGTCAAGTTGCGTGATTGTTCGATTTCAGACAAAAAAATGGCGGCCTGGCTTGGAAGCGCAAGGTCAAACGTATGCCGAGGGAGATCCAATGATGGCACACATTGCGTTGACGCGAGTCAAGAACAGGCAAGGTTTGTTTTGTATCGACCCTTCGATGCCACTCCATACCAAAAAGGTGCCAAGCCTGGGAGAGGTTTGCTGTTGCGTATTTGGCACGGGGAAGACATTGACTGGTCCAAGCTTCGCGCCAAGTGCCGGGAAGAGAGGGTCTGCGTGGAATGCCGGGAGCAAAAATCAATCGCAGCGTACACAGCAGGGCAACGGAAGTGGACAGACCCAGACAGAGTCTGCAAGGAATGCGTGCGTGGACACACGGAAGCCAACCAGGTTGGAAGCAAAAGGATGCTTTGGCAGAGAAGCACGCTGCCAACCAATGCGATGGCTGCAGGGTCCGCAAGGGGCAGGCCGAGTTTCCGGCGGATGGCCTGGAAAAGGAAGCGCGGCAAGGAACGTTTGTGTAAAAGCTGCGCCAGCACCTGGAAGGGTTCTGGACTTGTAGCACATGTCGGGGTCGAAACGGCAAGCAAGTGTGCGACGTATGTCAGAGGAACAAGGGGAAGCAGAGCAGCGTAGCGCGCGCCGCTGTGACGGTGCTGGCCTGGCACAAGCGGGCAGCAGAGCGGCGACGCACGCGTCTCGTTGCGGAAGTCTGGTCGGAAATTGCGCAGCGGCAGGCCGCGGCCGGCAGCAGGGAGGGGCCGTCGCGGAAGGTGCCGAGGTTAGCAGAAAGAACGAGAGGCAGGGTCGCTTACACGTCACCAGCACTTGCCGAAGCGGACGTGTGGATCAGCGCCGCGGCTGTGGACATCAGTTTCGTGTCCAGGACGGCGTCGTGGTAAACAGCTACCAGCATGCATGCCCGGACTGCAGCACGAGACTAGCTAGGGCCCGGGAGCGAAAGGACCAGAGCAGCCCAGGCACGGCCGGGGCGCAGCTACGCAGGGGCGCCCTCCGATACGCCCGCGCGCAGTGGCACGGCGTGCCAAAAAAAACCAAAAAAAGAGCGAAAATCGAGGCTCGGAGGGTGGTTTCGGAGCCCCTGACGAAGACTACTTGGATGACCGGCGCTGGTTGCGCTACTTATATATTGCTCCCTAGCATGTTCTAACCCAAGGTAAAAATTGGGTTAACTCTATCAAGTTCACCTGGCCTACTTGCTATATTGACGCTCTTGTGCTATGTAGATAGAATGTTGGTTATGTTGCTACGGCCTACTTAGAGAAGGTTTTTGTATCTAAGCCATGTTAAGTTGATGAAGTTACTAGACAAATAACCTACACACTTACATTGACTAAGTAAATTATCAAGTATGATATTCAAGTTAGTAAGTTGATCGCGGCCTACTTACTAAGTACTTACTAAGTATGCCGGGTTACTAAGTACGCCGGGGCCTACTTACTAAGCACGCCAGGGTCTAGTTGCTATGCGCGTTTTGGTCGGTGCGCAAGTGCATGAGTTTGCCTCGCAATATGGAAATGCTCAGATGAAGGAGGCGGAGATATGTTTTTGGTAGGTTTCGAAGTTGAAATTGAAAGGTTTGGCGTTCGTGTATGCTTTGTAATTTTGGCGCCTACAGTAGTTGAGCGGTGTTCTGGTTAACTTACATGCGGAACCATACGCATGCGTGTGCGAAATACAAGATGGGTTCCTTTTTTCAATGCGTGTTAGCGTGGCCGAAGGGATTCTACATAATAAAGCGCCCCCAAATTGGACAGCCACATGTGGAAGCTTTTGCCCGAACAAGTTGGAAAATGGAAAGAGGCAAAAGTTTTTTCCGGCTTTCTTGTTGGCTTTGCCTTGTATATACCTGGGCTGGTTGATGCGTCAAGAAAACCCAGCTGTTGGGTTACAAATTTGGTTTCAGTCAATGATTTTTGTTTATGACTGTGCCTTGTTGGTCGAAGCGTTCACCAAGCCAACATGTTTGAGATCGTGTTTGATTTTACCTCTCGCCGTGTTGTGACACTTTGAACATTGACTGCGCGTGTGAAGCGAGCAAATCTTATAACCTCTTGAACATGTGAGTTTCATGCACCATGCTTGTGAACTTGGTAGAGCCAATGGAACTCGCATGTCAACCATGATGGCGTTGATTCATGTCGGCTACCAAATTGACCAATTGCGTGAACAGCAGCCGTTCTCTGACTGACGTGGCTCAAAGAGTTTGGACGAAGCAGTGTCAAAACTTGGACAGCAGCAGAGTAATCGTTGCGTCGTGATGACGGGTCATGAAGCTCATTTTGAGGAGTCCATGGTTTGCATGGAGTACTGCGTGTTGAAGCGCCTGGACCGGTCTGTGAAGGCCAAAGCCTTCACAAAGTTGTGGCCGGGTCAGTATGCTCGAGTCTTGGCGCACCAAGACATCTTCCTGAGCACGTTTGCGCAAGGGGGTGGGTCAGCGTGCAAATTTCAATATGAGGAGGGCCACCTTGGCAGGCGTAAGGGCATCTCTCGTTCTGGCTTGAGTACTGTTCTGGATGAGCTGAAGAAGAAGGATTTTCCAGATGCAACATCAAGACAGACGATCAAGAGACGGCGGGATGCAGACGTTGATGTGCAGACCCGGTACGGCAAACTCCAACAAGACTGGAAGGTCACGCTGCTGCCGGTGGGGAAGACGAAGAAAAAATCTGGCTCGGTGACCAGACCCAAGGAGACGAAGACTGTGGAGTTTCCTTTTGTGCAGCCAATACCTTTGCTTTGCCACATCTGTCTTGAGTGCCCAGAGTTTTCAAACATGATGTTGAAGGTGTTGGATCTGTATACGCCGGGCCAGTCGTCCCCACTCAGCTTGATTTGCTACAGTGATGGCATATCGCCTTGCAACGTCCTGGCGCACAACCAGACCCGCAAAGTTGAATGCGTATATTGGTCGATCAAAGAATTTGGTGACTTGGCGTTGTCTTTGGAAAAGAACTGGTTTCTGCTTGGAGTAGCAAGAACTGATCACGTTAAAAGGATGGTAGGAAAGATGCCGCAGTATTTCAGACAGGCAGTGGAACGCTTTTTTTCTCCAGTGGATCTTCGACATGAAGTGCGGCTGGTATTCCCCAATGGAGAGCGCAGGATGCTGTTCTGTGACCTGTCGATTGTAATGGGAGATGAGGTTGCGCTCAAAGAAAGTCTAGACATGAAGGGTGCGAGTGGCACTGTTTTGTGTCCACTATGCCGCAATCTTGTCGACTGGAAGAGCAAGCTGGACCGCCATTCGACGGGTTTTGTTCCCAGCAACTCTACCACACTAGTTGGTGTGGACCTTTACTCGGATGAAACTCTTTTGGACACTGTGAAATATTTGGCAAGTAATGACAGTATGAGTAAAACTGCATTCAAAAAATGGAGCCTGCGTTGGGATTTAATCACAACTGTCATGGCCTACTGCATTCAGATATCTTGACACTCAAACCAGAGAAGTGTTGCAAGACGTGCTGGAAAAAAGCAAGCGCGTTGTTTTTCACGATATATATTCTTGATTTTGGATGCGCCGCCGTTTTTCGCGAAGCTACGTGTTTGTAAGCTTGCCGCAGCAAACGATTCACATGAACCGACTCCCGAACCAAATTTGGATGGTCATTTTTTGAAACACCCGTTTTACATTCGCGCATGAACAACTTGATGCACATGTGACAATTCAGTTTGGAACATACATTCATGCGTTTACACCTGTTTTGTCCAAAGCAAAAGCCACGGCAGCAGCAGATTGAAAGCGCACATGTGCAGCTATCGCCAAGTAATATGCGCTGCGAAACGTGCGACGTGCTATGTCAGCCATACGTGCGTAGCTTAGTTAGCTTTGTACATACCCAAGTTTACCAACGGCGCTTATCCTACTTAGCGGCCTACTTGCTAAGTATGCCAGGTGGACTTGGCAGACTTACGCAACCAATCTATCCTAGTTACTAAGTAGGCCCGGCGAACATAGCTTGCTTAGGTAACTAAGCCAAACTACTTACTAAGTGCTCCGCGGCCTACTTAGCGCCTATTCTTAAGTTCACATAGTGTAAGTTGCTCTAAGTTGCTACAAGTAGATAGCAACCAAGCCGGTCATCAGGACCAGACCAGCCCAGGCACCGCCGGGGCGCAGCCACGCAGGGGCGGCCTCCGATACGCTGCGAAGGTCTCATCGCAATGGGTCTGCCGGGCTGGTCTGGTGCTGGCTGCCATGCGCTTTGGCTGCCGGGCCCTCGCTAGTCTTCTTCATGGGTTCAGACACTGCCGCCCGGCCGTGCGTGGGCTGGTCTGGCGCTTTGGCCCTTGGGCCCTGCTACAGGGGTTCCGAAACTGCCGCGCCTGGGCTGGTCTGGCTGCTATGAGACCCGCCAGAGCACGCTCCTGGGCGGGGTCGGCGGATTTACCTCCTACTGGAACCATGGAACACAAAAGAGGAACATCGTCTGACTCGAAAGCCTTGGGGGAAGCCTCCCTGTTGCTGGGGTTTGATACGTTGCTCCTGTTGGGCTCATTTCCACTGGTTGCTGTCTGCAGGCAAAGCCCCAAACCAGCCAGTTGTAGAAAGCAACCTGACTTTGCAAAAAGGTAGACAAATGTTGCTTAGTATGGACGCGACACATCATGATCCAACAGTTTAGAAGGTGAAAGCCTACACCAAAGGGGCAACCAAGTGTACTTCCACTGAGTTTCCTGATCTCTCAACGATTATCATCGTCAGGTTTGGGAGGGTCCAAAGGGCAAGAGAAGCTAGTCAAATTATGCGACCCTTGTGCACAGGGGTCCCTAAATGTCCCCTTTTTGTCATCAACCCATCCAAAGAAAACTCACTTCTCAGGGACCAAACGGTGATGTTTAAAGCCAGTACACGGCCGCAAGGGGAAATACTGGTGTCCTTTGAGTTTCCCGCTCCAATGTTCGGACAGCCCAATTTCCTTTGGCTTCAGGTGGAAAAAGCAGCGGACATGCTCGAGAAGGCCTTTGAGAAGGCGCTCGTAAGATGTGAAAAGCTTCAGGGTCCATGGCTTTTGACAGCCTCAAAAAGTCCTTGATGTTGAGCTCATAGGTGTCCTTTTTGGTTGTTTTGCTCGAAAAATAGAGGGCGATTCCTGGTTTACATGGTGGTCTCATCATCTACCAGGGAAACCCATCTAAAAGGACACCCATGGTTGAGCTTCTGGGAAACCACCCCCAGGAGTCGCTCCGAGACTCTGGCAATCCGCATGATTTAGATGCTTTTTGCTATGATTCTATGTGCGGTTTGCGAATACGAAGTGGTTGGGGACCTAAGTCGTGTAGATGGAACTCAAAACGATTGCGGGAGAGGAATCTGCCCCCCAAAGCTTTGGGCTGAGGCCAGCATCCGAGAGACGCATGAGAGACGGTCGTTGAGGGTTACGGCAGGTAAGTAGGTAACCAAGGATGTAACTGCCTCGGGTACCTGGGGTTAGTTGGCTTACCAGGGTTATAGCCCACTTACCTGAGTTGGCAGTGGAACCCGGCAATGCAAGAGGCAAAGCACCGTTGTTGTTTTGGCTGGGGCGGGGGTGGGGGGTTTGTCTCAAATGCAGCTAGGGAAAACAAGCCAATGGCAGGTCCCGAACCTAAATGGTTCGTTACCAATCGGGTTTTAGGTTGCCGCTTTCTGGGATATGAAAGGAACAGAAAGTAAGGTCCTGAGCGGTGGGTTTTTTCATATAACCACGTTTGCCCCTTTTGTGCTCTGAAACCACAAAAAACCTCGAGAAAACCCCTAAAAAAACACAATCTGGTGGAGGACATTCTTGGCATACACCCATATCTGTACTCCCAGATTTGTTTTTTGTTTTTTTTGTTTTCTCGAGTTTTTTTTGGAAAAGTGCAAAAAACCTTGAGAAGACCAAAAAACCACAAAAACAAATCTGGTGGGGGATATTCTTGGCATACACCCATATCTGTACTCCCAGATGTGTTTTTTGTTTTTTTGGTTTTCTCGAGATGTTTGGGGTTTTCGGGAAAAGTGCAAAAATCCTCGAGAAAACCAACAAAACAATCTTGTGGGGGACATTCTTGGCATACACCTATATCTGTGCTCCCAGATATGTTTTTGGTTTTCTACTACCTCTGTTGGCTGCCAGTGTTATCTGCTCTTTAGCTCTGCATTTGTTCTCTTTGCAGTTTATGACGAAGGATGGGAGACGTTACTACACAGAGGCCCCACTCACTACCTTGCGGCCGGACGCTTCCGCGTAGAGACCGTAGACCTGCGAGTGATCAGCATGGGCATCTCCCGCAAGTTGGCGTTCCAGAAGGCAATGCTCTCGTAGACCCAGAACCGATGGCTGAAGGGGTTCATGCCGTTGAGCACAAAGTTCTTCCGGCGAATCCACGCGTTGAAGACTTCGGACATGTTCGTCCGGATTCCCTTGAAGCGCTTGCTTTCACTCTTGCTCAGCTTCTTCTTGGAGCATTTGTGGTTGCACCTGTGAAACTCGTCCACGATGAAGTGCTTGACCTTTTTGAAAGCTGCCTTCAGCTTCTTGCTCTTCTTCACGTAGGCCTCGAAGTGACGCGCGTCATCATGGATCACCGCGTTAACGCTCACCTTCGTCATGCCCATTGCTGCCAGCACCACTTCGGCCTTGTCCGGAATGCACTCGTTGACGATATGCTCTTTCGCCGCCACGACCTTCCGAGACTGAGGATCGATCACGAACTGCCATCCACCCGTGCGATTCACGGGCACATCCCTGCGCTTGTCTTTGTTTGCGCATGTGCAGGTACGCTGATCCGGGTGGTACTTCTTCTTCTTTGGTCGACCTCGAAGTGCGACAGTGCGTTTCTCCTCTAACTCTTTGTACAGCACGCGGTGCACTCCAAAATGCCCATCAAAGCTAAGAATCTTCACCGTGTTGCCTACGGGGAACAAAAAGACGCCATTCGTCAGTGGAATGTGCTGAGCTGGGTTCGCCACCGGGAACATCACCACTTCGTGCGGCGTCCTCTTGGCGAGGACATACCCCTTCAGCGCATGCATCAAGTACAGTCGAAACTGCTCTTTCGTGATGCTGAGGGGCTGGCCATTTCCTTGTAAGGAGCGCCCACTCGCTTCTTGTCCTGGGGCCAGATTGGCACGAAGGAAGCGCAGCAAGGTCAACTGAAGGTACTGCATGGTGAAGCCGAAGTTGCTCGTCACGAAGTACACGCCCATGACCTCCATCTGTGCGAAGGGCAACGCATTGACTTTCACCCCATCCACGTAGGCAAAGTTCGCCCGATGCGTAGTCCGACAGCCGTTGGCATTGCAGCAGGTCCGGCATGTGGAGGCTTCTTCGAAATGTTCGCTTCCGGCAATGATGCAGCGAACATGTGACCTGTGATTTGTTGTCAGTGGTTACACTGTGAGTGTTGGAGAGGGCAAGGTCCTGTGCTAAGACCACATCTTCGCACGCTTGAAAAAACAAGGATTTATATGAAAAAAAAACAAACACACCGCTCAGGACCTTGCCCTCTCTCGAAAGGAAACCGAGGGACACCAAAGGACACTCGGGAAACCAAGGGAACCGCATGGACACGGCTCGAGAAACCGAACGAATCCCCTTTCAGGTGATAAAGTGGTGGATCCCAGTTCCGTTTCCTGAAGGCTAGATTTTCCTGCAGTTTTCTGCCGACATTTCCCCTCTTTTGGGGGGTTTTAAACATCGCGTTTTGGCCCATTCGAGGTGAGTCTCCCTTGGTAGAGGTGATGCTTCTAGGTTGGACCTCAATTCGGCACCCCGGTTTTCTGCCGACGTTTCGCGATCGATCCCGTGGGACGATGGATTTGTCTTTTTTGGAACTTTGCTGGGCAAAAGAGCGAGCCAGTTCTGACAAACAACGCATACCCTGCAAGTAACATGGAATCCCCAACACCCCGCCATATTTTGGGTTCCTTCCGTTAATTTGCAAGGGAGTAACATTGCTTTGTGGACTCTCCGAAAGGGCGTTGGGTTCTCAGGTTTGTAGGAGAGGAGTGGCTCGTTTCAAGTGAGGAACCCGCCTTGGAACTTAAAAGGCCTGGCTCAATCATAGTTGATACACCTGGTGAACATGTCTCGGGAAGAAGCAAATTGACTTCTCTGTGTTTTTGGGATGTCGAAGATTCGGGTGCTTGGCCCAGGCAAGTTGTCAGATGCTAAACCCCAACGAAGTGGAGCCAGCCCTATGGGTTGTGACCTAGGTTTCTAACCACTTACTCGGCCGAACACCCAAGTAGGAGGGACAATGGGCCAAGTTTAGTACTCTTAGGGCCCCTGTTGGACCACCTCCCAGCCAAGAGAGTGGCACCGGCCCCTTACGTAGCCCTTTATGAGCTTCCTTCATGGACCACTTCCCGTCGGCCGGTTTCATCACTTTAGACGAAGTTTCGGCTTTTTCTGGCACTCCGGTCGGGAAAGCGAGACCCCTTCCTTGGCCGCCTCTTTCCCGTTTTTTTTTTTTGCTCCCGGGCGGAGCGGCAGGTGACGCCCAACGCAGAGGTAACAAAGAGCATGGACGAGGCACGATGCGATTGAAATCGAGTTGCAGCCAAGCCTTCAAAAGATGACCAAGCCTCAAGTGACTCAACGGTGGGAAATTGGTAGTGACATTGGTGAACGGGCTGCTTTGGTTTTCTTCTACCGGGGACCAAGCAATCCTGAAAAATGGTGGTGGGATATTGAACGAGGCAGGGAAACCTTTTGTTTGATTGCCCCGAGATAGAGTACAACTCAAGGTCGTTGATGTTGGAATGCTGGATCTTGGACGTTGAACCAGGCAGCTTCCATTGTTTGATTGCACCAAAATAGACTTCCGGCTGGTTTCAAGGTACGCACTTGGATTTACGCCTCCCTCTTGGCAATCAAAGAAGCAGCTGGTTACAATTCGCCCACGGCTTTGGTGCCTTTGACTGACCTAGGATTGCGCAAAATTTGCCGACTCCCCCCCCCCCCCCACCCGCATATGTTTTGGGCACGTTGGTTCCTTGCTGGTGGAAGTGGGTTTTCAGAAAGCCCAAGAATGCCATGCGCGTTCACAAGGTCCATGTTTGGTCTGGAGGGTGGCAAGAACCGTGGCAGGGCTGCTCTTGGGTGCTTCCCTGTTCAAGCATCCTTCTAATATTATCAATTTATATGCTAAACAAATACAATATCACCTCCTTTTGGTTTCCCTTCATCTTGCTTTCCCCCAAAAACATGGAGTTGCAACCATCGAATCGGCCAGCGTTGGCCCCCGAGTTTCTCGACGCGCCCTTGCGCGGCTTTTGGTTTCTGCGCGCAGGTGCTGGAGGAGTACAAAAGGCTGGGTCCCGATCGACGAATCGAGTCCAGGGGTTCGAAGTTCGAAGGCGTTGTCAACATGCCGAAGGGGTCTCGAAACCATTTTTTTAAAAAGCACCAGGGGCCGCTTTGATAGCCCAGGGTTTTTTTGGCGCTACTTTTGTAGGCCGCTTGGCCCATGTTCATGGGTTTCCTAAGGCCAACGGAGACCCCAAATGGCAGTGGCTCAAAATTAAACGATCGGAGGGGCAAACCGCAGGTTTTGGTCCATGTTTCCACTTCCCAGGGCAACCCATTTTGGTACCGTTTTTTTTGAGCCACAGCCAGGTGTTTTGTTAAAAGGACAAACTATGATTGACCGAAAATAGGTATGGGTCAAAATAGGGGTTGTACCGCAGGTAGTCCATGTGTCCATTTACCAGGGCAAGCTATTTTGGGTACCTATTTTTGACTCATAGGCAACTCAGCGATCTTTGACCTTCTGGATGGCCAAGATAGCACCCTGTATAAAGATTGTGCACTAACTTGAAATAAGCATATTGTTGTAGAGGAGTTTGCTCATGGGGCTCGAGCATGTTTTCTCGGGTTAGTGGGAGTTTAGTGGAATTTCTTTGATTGGTGTTGCCTTCCGAACTAATCCGAGATCAACATCCCCTCGCCTGTTGAATATTCCGTAACATGGTTTTCCTATGGGCATGACTGAAATTAGCTGTTGCGTACCCAGTCTAACGATTTAGTTGCCTCTTTTCCATGCCCCGGCCATAGATTGCCTTCCAGACATTGCAGCTGGGGGGCTGCCAGCTTTTTTTGGGGCTGCATACGGGCATGTGTGTTTCTTGGGTTTCCCTCCAGGTGGGTTTTCCTGCAAAACCATCCAAAAGAGGACTATTTCGAACAACTTACAAGTGCTCGACAACAGTCAGGGGCTAAATAATTGCTATATATAAGTGCCCCTGCAAAGATGACTAAATTTGCTTTTAGAGTACCCCGCACCCCATCCCAACAATAGCGGCCCCGAAAAGTTTAACGCCTACACGAACAGAGGGTTGTCCTGTTAAGCTGGGCCGATTCCGAGATTTACGGATGGTCAAATTTGGATTGCCACACCCACGCCAAAAATTAGCTCAGGTGGTATCCGCCACATGGGAACCCCCTGGAACCGAATCTCCTTTCGAATCCTCCCTGAAAGCCGCCGAAAACCACCCAAAAGGAGCCTATGGCAGAGACCAACTCCGCCTTCCGCTGGACCAGACAATCCCCGTCCCGAGGGCGGTCTGTGATGACCTCCCATGCCCAAAGAAGCCCGAGAAAAGTGCAAGAGACCCAATCGGAATCCCAATCCCAACTTTGACGCCCAACAAAAACCCGAGGGGGGGGAGGGGGGGAGGGGGGGCGGCAACAAAAACCCCTCTGAAGGGTACCCCAGTGCCTGTAGTGAGATTCCCCGACCTATCGGAGAGGCGAGGCTCGGCGTACCGGTGCATGACGGGAGAGAGGTCCAGGCGCGGGAAAGTCTGGCCGCGCGGAATCTGCGACGGCCGGACGGCCCCAGTGCAGCCCCATATGACTCGCTTTAAATCTTGCTCCCCGAGTTCTTGGACTTTGAGAGACATGAGAGGCATGAGAGACTTTGTGGAGTTGGATCATTTTGGTGGCAAACAAAGAGTTTGGGCCTCCCATCAGACGCCCAGGGTGCCCATTTGCCATTGAAGACACATGTGCTCGGGCTCCACTCGTCGAGGCTAAGGTCCGCGAACCCTTCTTTTGCAATGCTTTCCCGAGTGGGGATTGCAGGAGGCCATTAAGCTATCAATTACTTGAACACACGAGTGATGACACGCTTTTCGAGCGTGAGAAGCTGAGAGGGAGTCGGGCTGGCTGGAAGAAAGTGCAGAAGACTTCTTGCTGACTCATGTTGACCCCATATGGCCATGGGTCAAACCCCCGTACCCCCACTAAAATAGACTAAAATGGGTGGCGCGCCGATCCCAAAATAGTACCATTGGTTTTGAGCCACCAGGTGAAATTCTTGCCCCCGTTTGCTCAGAAACCAAAGTGGGATCGAGCGGAAATTCCCAGGCCTCAAGCATCATCTGCTTGGGTTTGGTGAGATGGCGTACTTGGCTGCCACTGGAGGGCACGTAGTCACGCCCCGATAGGAAAGGAAGGTGTCCCGCGCTCTTGGAAAGGCCGATACGCAAGCCGTGGGCAAGCATGTGATGCCACTTGGGGTGGGCTCAGCGTTGTTTCTCACCGGACGGATCTTGGGAAACACTCTGCTTTTCTTTCCAGCTTTGCTTGCCATTCAAAGACACAACATGTTGCGAGGCTTAGACGTTTGCAGAGGGCTTATGCTGAAAAAGGTGTTTTCCCACCCTGCGGACCAGTGGCCCTTATTTTAGGGCACCCCTAGTGCAGCCCCTTTTGTTGTGACAACCGTTTCCGATGACGTAAAGCAATGCAGCGGCTGGCACTTCTCAGTGGGCGAAGCGAATTAGGGGCAGCCGCTGTGCTTGTGATGGGATTTCCTTGGAGACATGCAAAGCAAAGCCAATGGCGCCTTTGGAGGTTCCCTAGAAAGCTTTCTGGCTCCAAAGCAGTAGCGGCCAGATACGGGAGAAGCTCACGTAGCGTATCGATGGCTCTGGGAAACTGGGTTCAAAGTTGGGCACCGGGGCAATTTGCGTCGTGCGACACGCCTCGCCAGGATCGACGGAGTGGTGGAGTTAACGTTCGCCATCCCCGCGCGGGAAGCCGCTGCCGAAGGCAGCGCTGCCGAAGGCAGCGACGGCGAGAGCGAGGTCACGCAAAGGCGTGAGTCCTTGTGGTCCGGAGCGGAGGTGTGGTGAGAAAAGAGCGTTTATCGGTTGGGTGGTTGGTTTATGTCCCAAGAAGGTATTTTTGGGATGAGGAAGCTGTGAAAAAAAGCATGAGCGCCTTCCTCCCACTAAGATAGTACTAGCCCATTGCTTGGAAACTCAGAGTTGCCATGGGCTGAAGGGCTGCGGGCAAAGCAGAACCTGAGTCAAAACATGGCAAGATCCTTACAAATGCATATCCGGCGGTTGGGCTGTATTAAATGCACTCCGGCTCTCCGTAAAAACGAGGCTAGGACCCACATTTTGCCATGCATTCTGGGCAAGGTGCCAAAAAGTCAAGCGAGACATATGCGGAATCCCTACATAACCCGTTTTGCCTCCGATGGTTGATCATTTCCCAGATGACATTTTCTTGAGAACCTTGGCAAGATGGCGCTCCTCAAGTCATTCCTTGCACGGAACCCGCTCTGTGAGTCAACTCTTTGAGGCACCAAAGGCAAGGGTTGCAAAGGAGAAGCCAAAGAGAAGCCGGGATTCCCAGTCCAAAAACCCCCCGAAATCCACGTCTCTCAGGTTTCGTTTGGTCTCCCAGGCTTTTGTGCAACAATCCCCTCTGCCCAAACCAGAACGAGGATATCGGCACTCTAACTTTGTTCAGGGTCATGCCTAACGTTGCCACGATAGGCGCCAGGCAACGAATGCACTCTGACTTTGTCAGGGGCCTGGCAAACGTTTGAGATACCTCTTGGCTTTGGCTCTGTGAATAGGTCGCAAAGATGGCATGGCGAAGGTTCCCACGACAGAGGGTGCCAGCAAAGACCTGCTGCTGAATGAGTGAGTGGCTTTAAAAGCTGCGGTGGCGTTTGGGAGAAGAAGCTTTGGTTGGGGATGCTCAGAGTCTCAAATTCTTAACCAATGATTCTTGTACAGTGGCCCCGCTGTTATGTAAAGGGTATTGAACAGATCTGCTTTCACCCTTCAGACCTGGTTTGAAGATGCCGTGCGGATGTGTGGCTCGTGTTATCCGGCAAGGCGCTTTTGCGAACTCTCCTTGAGAAGCTATGTCCACGGAAGCTACGTCCGTTTGAGAAGCTGTGAGTTTTGGCTTTCCAATTGAACCGCAGCACCTTCCCACGCAACTTAGGCCAGCCGCCTGTGTCCTTACTCGTTGCGACCCTGAATGCCGACCAACGCCGGCCGGGCGAATAGGAAGCCCGGATGAATACACTCCCGGTTGATGAATAGGGGCTGTCCTTTTGGTGGGGGGTTCATCACTGGGTTTATGAATCCGGGGGCAACTCGTTTTCGGGTCATTTGGACAAGTGTGGTTTTGTGGGGGTGTATGCCAGGCTGGGACCTGATTTGAACCAACCGCCTATGCTGGGTCAAGTTGGTCCGGAACCAGCTGGGGCAGGCTTGCTCGGCTTTATGGCCAAGCCACGCAACAGCAAACAAATGAAAGAACAAACCAACCAACAAACACGTACTGAGTGTTGTGTCTGAGATTCTGATGGCGTTCCACGCAGCCCTTCAGACTTCAGACCTCTAAAGAAGGGTTTTTTGGTTTGCAAGTCTGGTCCATTGTGACCTGACAGCTTACGAGACGGCCCGAAAAACCGCACGCCATGTCTGTGCCTCGTGCGAATGACTGGGCCCCAGCAGAAGCAGCAGGGGGATGCCTACGGGATGTCCGCTGGAAGTCCCGCACTTCCTGTCCAACGTGCCAAGCGGTTCGTGCCAAGACCCCAGCGCCCTGCCAAAAGTGTTGCGGCTTTTCGCTGGTATCCACCTTTTTGACCTTTTGGTTCCGTGATTTGGTCCATAGTCAAGGTTCGAAGAGGGGATGACCTTCCATTTCCAGGTCTTCTAAGGGGCAGAGAATGGATCCCTTTCCTACCACCCCGCTGGCTTGCACACCAAACACCTCGTCTCCAACACGCCAAGAGAATCTCGGGTCAACCCCCGCCCCTACTTCCCATTTGCCCAAGAATAGGTTTTTATTTTCGCCGGTCGGCTTTAAAGGGAATCACGACTGGACATATTTTCTCTTTTTTTACCGGGGGCTTTCCTGGGCCCCCCCCCCCACCACCCCACCACCCCCACCCCCCCCAAGGGCCTCCACCAACGAAGTCCCAGCTTGGCGGCAGCTTCCTTCAGGCGAGCCGCGGTTCACGCGGAGCACGCGGAGCGCGGGGCTCAGATCTACGGGTGGCTCCCTCGGCCAAATTTGTGGCCCGAGATTCCCTTGACGTTGGTGGTTTTTGCTATTTGATTCCTCAGGTGTTTCGCTTTTTAGTTGGTTTAGTGGTAGTTTCCCCTGGTGATCCCAAAGCGAGTTTAGTAATAAACCCCTGGTTGATTAATAGGGTGTCCCCTTTTCGTGGGGATTCAGACCACTTTTGGAGGGGACACCCCCCCAATACTGGGGCGGGTCTATTAATCCTGGGTCAACATTCGACCACTCAAACATGGTTGTCGTTGGGACACATTTTACATTTTTGCTTATTGTGGTTTAGTGGTTGAAATCCAACCACTCAACTGCTAAAATTTAAACTTTTTTGCTCCCCTTCCAACGTCAACCAAGTTTAGCAGGGGATCCGGGAACAGCCCAGCCGGGCGTTGAAACGCCAAGTCCGCGCCCGCTTCTGGACTTGGAGCTCTCTTTGGATCGTGGCAAACAGAAAGTCGGAGAAGTATGTTCTCACCAGTCCACTCCGGAATGGTTTCCTTTGGTGCATTTCGCCAAGGGATGTTGGGACTTGTTTTACTTGTTTTCCCAAGCTTTTTTTCGGGTTTTCCGAATGAAACCACTAAAAGTTAGAAACTGTTGGCAGGGGAGCAGCAAGCAACCGAGTTTCCTTAAGCGTCTTAAGTTTCTGGAACCGCCTTGTTTGGAATCAAGACGAACCGTTTTCAGGGGCTCCTGATTCTCGGGAGCACCCACCTGCAATATTTAGGACATCTAACATCCGCTGCAGGCCATATGCTCCAAAGACCTGACGATTTGTGAAGCTGACGCCAAACACTCGTATGGGTTTGTCTCAAAATAGAGGGAACCGCAAAATAGTGGCGTTCCTTTGGTTTCCCTTTTCAAACTACACCAAAAAGTTAAAAAGGCCCCCCTCCCAAAAAAGAGCACGCCCAATGCTCGAACATCCCCCCCAGTTCCTGGAGCGGTCGCAACCCCCCCGCTACGTGTTTGAACGGACAACTTGGCTCAGCTGTTGCCTGCTCCCTCACCATGGCTGGTCTTTGGTGTGCAGCCTACAGTCTAACGACTGGAACCCTCAGAATGTTGGCCTCCCTTCAAACCAACCCAAAATACAGAATGGTGACCCCGCATTAATACACCAGTCCTTTTTTTCGGGGAGTCCGTTCCCTCCAAAAGTGATCTGAATCCCCGCTAAAAGGGGAGCCTCCCTCCCCTATCAATCAACCCTCTATCAAGACCAATGATCCGACTCCCCACTAAAAGGGGGCCCTCCCTGCGTCAAGAACAACCAAGGGCTTCACCCGCGGTTCAACCAAGCCTCTATCAAGAACAGTCACGCCTATCTATGGGGTTAATCAATCAAACCTATCCATGGGATTCATCCGCGGTTTCCCTTACAAAGGAGCCACACCCGGAACCATAGGTGTGCTTTTTGATTGGTTTGCTTAAACAAATAGAGGGCCCTGGTATAGATGTGTTTATTCCATTTACCAGTGCCCGGACCCCCCCCCCCCCTTCCTTCCGGTTTTTGGAGCCTGCCAGCCCGGAGGCTGGGCTCCGCCCCTGGCGCCTGGCGGCACTGGCGCCTCGATCGCATTTTTGCAAGCCGCTGAACTCTGTTTTTTCCGTGGAGATTTGGTGTCGGTTGAGGGGGTTTCCCTCCCAAGCGAGGGGTTTCCTTTAGTTTTCCGTTCACGCCTGCCACGAAAAAGGGTATCCATCAGCAAAAGGCACCCTTTTTGGGATAGACAAGGAACACCGCCGATGTTGCGGGTGCCCTACTTGGGGACAACCCATTTGCCGGATCGAAACCCATGAGCCTCCAAGAGCGGCTGTGGGAGGTCTATCGCCAGCTAAGCCCGTATGCACGGAAAGCATCATGCAACACCTAGAGGAGAAGCGCTGGTTACCTATAACGGGAAGCACGGGGAGAGGGGGGTCTAGCGTATTCTTGGCCGATTTTTCCAGAGTTCACCGCGGACTTGTAGCATTGGCCACGGCTTGGACCTGTTCAGCCCGTTCGAAAATGAGTTTCCGCGAGTCATGTTCGGAATCCCCCCAAGAGTTTTTGCTGAAGAAGCCATATTGCCCTTCCTGTTTGTCAACAGCCAAGCATTTCCATACATGGTGACTCCGGAGGACCCTACCAATCAGCAGAACACCCGAAACTGGATATCATGTCCTTGCTAAAAGAGGAACCGCCCCTGATTGGTCGGGTCCTTGGGATGAATCCGAAATGGGTATGTGTCACCCCCCAAAATGGCGTCGGTTTTCGTTTTGTTTCCTTCAGCACACCGCAAGGGTACCCTCAAAAAACACCCACCCAAATGAACATTACCCTCCCCAGGCGATTCCATGGAAGCTCCCAGAACCCTTTTGGAAGCCTGTGCAGTGGCCAATTGGGGGAGCTTCCGGCCGTTAGTCGGGAGTTTTACCCAAAATAGTTTGCCCTGGCAAATGGAACCAAGGACTGAAACACGCGTTCCAATTCCTGGTGGTTTTATCTTGACTCGTACCTCAAAACTGGGTTCCTGATTTGCAGCCTCAGAACAACACATTGGACAAAATCCTAATTTTGATCTCCCAAATGACTACGGGTGCGTGTTTTTTGTTTTTTTTCCCCGGACGTTTTTCGTCCGGGCCAGTAAAATGTTACACAGCATTTTCTCTCAACATTTTACGTATTTTCCTCTAGCCCGTCAACATCCCCAGCATCGTTTTCAACATCCCCCGCATGTCCGACTAACATCCCTAGCATCACCAACAAATCGTGGGTAACAGAATAAAAGTAGCTGGCGCCAAACGCCGCGCAGTTTATGGCTGTTCTGATTGAGTGCCTGACTGAATTAGTGCAGCAACACTCATTCAGCAATGGCGAGTGGCGGCTGTACGTCTTGGGAGTGGTCATGCCACTGTCCAGCACCACAATGACCTTGCTATTTGGGAGGCCGTCTTTGTGGGATTTCACGAAGGACTTGTTGTCACTGCAGGAATTCCGGTGGCCCTGGAGGAGGCTGAGCCAGGGGACAGAGGAATTGCATGAGCCCCACGAGAGCACATGAGGCTATGCTTCGCGGCGAAATGCATTCCATTCATTGCCCTCAATGAGCCGCCAAGGCCACTGACAGTTTGCTCGAACCTTGTGCAGGCAATCAACATCCACTTCGCCACCGGAATTTCTGTGGTCAGGTCTCTGATCAGCAATAGTCCACTGATTACCACTGACGTGGCTCTCGAAGGAGAGTGGAGATGGGAGCCTGGCCTGGAGTTCATGGCCTCACGACCTCAACTACGAGGATGGGATAGCGTTGGGGATTCGCGGGGCGACTGGGATACTATGCAATTGCTTGGCCAATGGAAGAGCGACGCCACCAACCCTGCTTGGTACAAGTCAGACTTGCCAGGAACCTTGCGGGTGCTCCCTGATGCTACTGGGAAGCAGGTTTGCAGGGTAGAAAGGCTTCAGTCCTTGTGTATCGGTGATAAGATAGCTTCGAGGCATGGCCAGAAGCATGTCATCACCATCGTCAGTGAAGAGAGCATGCCGTGGGTGGCGCTTTGACTTGGCCAGTGGGATGGAATGCCGGCTTCGATGTTTTGCTTGCCCCGTCCTGTTGCATCTACAACAGGTGCACCGTGGGGAAGATGGTCGAGGCAACCCTCGGACTGCTAGCAACAATGGGCGCTACCCAATGCAGGTAAGCCAGGCAGCTACTGGTGCTGGATGAGAGCAGCAACGCATTGCTTGATTCACTAGCTTCGCTGAGCCCCCCTATCATGGAGGTGGACTGCGGCAAGCCGAATCGAAGCTGTCAGTGTGAGCTGTATGATGGTGTGGCCGGGCTCCCATATGGCAACACTGAATATTTGGAATCGGGCATCCTTCGGCGCATTCCGGCTGCTTGCGTTGGCCCACCTCAGCTCTTGATGGGGGCATTCACTGAGTACCAGCGCTCCGCCCCCAGCATGGCCAAGCACCTGCGCTCCTCCTCATATCTTTTCAGCTCAGGCCGCAAGAGCCAGCGCCCATTCTCGACACCTTCTCTGCGCCGCGGCGGAGCATGGGTAGATGGGACGACACCGCTGAACCGAAGTTGACGGTCGTGCTATCCATTCCTGCCACATCGGCCATGAAGCGCAGGCCTTCAACGCTGCCGACTGGTACCCAAGCAGAGGAATTGGAGTGCCAAATGAGCACGCTGTCCCTCAACGAAATGACCAGGCGGCCATCGATGAAATGGCGGGCCAACCGGTGCGCAACGCTTCCAACGTTGCGTGGAACTCATTGTCGCCAACCACATCGTCATCCTCGGCTCCACCCAAATTTCCGCTGTCAGCAGGAGTTGATGTGAATGCGCGCGCCAATGCAGTCATGTTCATTGAGCGGCATTGAGAGGGGGAACAACAACGAGCAGAAACGCATCAGGCAAGTGCCTGATATTGCGGTATACTGTCCAGAGGACTGAATACCGCACAACACCCTGGAGGCCGCAGCACCACTCTCGCAGCAATGCAGTTCACCACTGAGGAGGAATTCTGGGCATTGACCCTCCTCAAAGTGAATGCCTTAGCCAGCGCAATCCCGGTACCTGCTGAATGAGGCAGAGATCCAGTCGAACCGGCTGTGTCAGAACATGCGTGGGATCGTTGGCGAGAAGTACATAAGGGTGGTGTGCTTCTTCTTGGCCAATGCCTCTTGGTTTGACCAGACACTCGGCCTCGGACTCTGCATGTTAGTGGCCCTGCGGCTGCTCGCAAATCTACCTTGGTCAGCTACATGTGCTAAGTTCTTGCGTCTAGTGGCGATCGGAGGACTACCTGGGCAATCCATCGACTAGCCTGACCGTGAGCGATGCCATCAGGCTAATCAGCTCGAACCTTCTGACTCATCCCGATTCGGCGGTGCGCCAAGGTAGCTTCAATGCTGACTTCCTGAAATTGGCCAACGGGAGCGACGCCATCTCCACACAGCGACCAGTATAGGCTCATCAAGTAACGACCTTCCCTACTGCACTCGGGAGGGGTGGGGCTCGGAGCCGATGGTCCGAAGGCTGCTATCACTGCCCCTCCTGGCTTCCTTGCCCACACCCCCGATCACATCCATTTTTGGGAGCGCGTGCAAAATGTCAAAATTTGGATCGCGCTAGATGTGTCACATCCATTTTTTGGATGCGACGGGTAGAGCGCAAGCTTTGGCGCACGCTGCGCGAGCATTGTTTTACTTGGGTTTAAGAGCGTCCGCCCACGCACGAGCTTTATTGAGGGCCCGCGTTGCCGACAACGCCGCGCAAGCTGGGCTTTGAGCGCCGCAACCACACAGCTCAAGGGAGATTGAGCTGACAACACCTAATCCGCATATAGCCGGCCGCCGCGAAAGCACTCTGCACAAGGGGGCTGTTGGTGGGGCCGGCAGACGGGCGCTATGATGCAGGGTCGGTGGCTTGCTTGGCGATGTACTCAGGAAACATCATTCAAGCCACCTTGAAGCTTGCCGAATGGTCTCCCCACACAATGTTTTCAGTGAGGATGGCACGGAATTCATCCGTGCTCCCGCTTTGAGGGTCCCCTGCTGCCTAGCTGAGAACAGCGCGAGCGGCCTTGGCAAAGGCGAGCGCCAAGAGGGCTGGCGTCATGGGCATTCTTTCAGCGGAGGCCAATGCTCGATGTCGCAGGAAGGTACAAGCCAGCTACCAGCCTGGAGCGCGCAGCCAATAGGGCTGGCGTGACATTGACCATCGATCCGGTGCCAGTCCGTTTGTCACCTACATCGGCGAGTCCCAGGATGAGCTGCATCCAATGGCTAGGAGAGAGTGGCCGAAAAAATGATGATTCAAATAGGAGGCCTAAAGCCGTTTTTTACGATGTTCGCAGAAGTGATGATTCGAATAGGGGTGCAATTAAATCTCTGTAGAAAATCTGAAAAGTAGCGGGGGGGTTGGTGGGGTGGCAGCCCCCCCTGATGTTCGAAGAAGTGATGATTCAAATAGGGGTGCAATGATTCAAGAAAGGGTGCGATAGAATATAAAAAGCAGCGGCCCTATGATTTCGAAGAAGTGCATACATACAAACATACATAGATTACATAGATTACATAGATTATATGAAATGTCGTATTTCACTGCATTTTCTCGCGAAATTGGATGCTCGGAAAAATGATGAACCAAATAGGGGTTCTGCAAGAAATCTAAAAAGTAGCGGGGGTTGATGATTCAAATGGGGGTGCAATCAAATCTTTGCAGCCCCCCCCATGATGATCGAAGAAGTGATGATTCAAATTGGGAGGCACTGGTGATGCCGAGGATGCGGGAAGCCAAAGCTCAAATCCAATGAGCCGGAGAGGAACTGGGCAAGCAGAGGAAAAGCCAAAGCCACCAAAAGCCGCGTAAACCAGCTGCAAACCTGGTTTGAACTGGGAATGCAGAGGATGCGAAAAGCCAAAGCCAAAAAGCCACCAAAAGCCGCGTAAGCCAACAAGAAGCAAAAAAAACAAAAAAGCCAAGAGGCCGAAAAGCCAAGAAGCCAAGAAGCCGAAAAGCCAAGAAGCCGAAAAGCCAAGAAACCAAAAGCGAGGAAAAAAGCGGGAACAAAACTAGAATAAATACCCCTCCAATGACTATTGCCCCCAGTTCAGTGGGCGTCTTCTCCTTTCTCCCCACTCGGAACCAAAACTGTGGCGCCGGCTTCCGCGCTTCGGCGAGGCCTGCTTCGCGGCGTCCGCTGCGCGCGCCTGGGTCGCGGGGCGGGCGGTCTCCGTGTCACAGCGGATGGAGGTCCGACGAGGTGAGGAGGGCGGGAGATGCCCAGTGAGTCCACGTTTTGGTGCAGGCAATCAAGGGAAGCAAGAGGAGAATGGCTGGCAACCTGCTCAGATCCGAGTATGACAAGCTGAATAGTCGGAACTTGAAAAAACCCCACTAAGCTCTGATGAATTGGACACATCTCAGGATTGAATTGCGCGTGTTTTTTGGGGTTTCTGAAGCACAAGGGGACTTCTCGTTGATTTTCTTCCGGTGGAATCCACATCAACGCCTTTGGTTCGTTGAACTTGGATCGAACGCAGGGGGGGCGCACATGGCGGACCCCCGCGTTTGGTTGGCTTTTTTTAAAGGGAGACCCAAAAACAACCCATCTGCCATAAAAAGCGGGTGTGGTTTTGAGACAGTCGGTTGCGGCAACTGTGAGAGAGAGATATATATATATATATATTTATAGGGAATGTGTTTTTTTTGTTGCCTTTCAGACTCGCAGAAGATTGTTCCAGTGTTTTTTCTTCTTTTTCAACAATGGCTCATAGGTATATACTACACTCAACTTTCAGACATGAGTCAAGAAATTTCGGGGCCTTGTCGCAGCGCCAACAGCGACAGTTGACATGACATGGTTGATTCCAACCAAGAAAGGGTAACAAAGACAAGCTCTGCCAAAACATATCATGAGTTTGGGCTGGTTTTTGAGGGACTCCCAACAATCCACTCATGGTCTTTGCTTGCTTTCATTTTTTGCATCTTTGGTTTTGTTCGTTTCGGTTGCACAGAAAGTGGCTTGACTCACCAGATGGGAAGGAGGCCTTGACTGTCTTTAGCGAACGGGAGGTCTTCGTTTGCTACGCACCCAACTGGGCCCATTTAACTGTAAAATCAGCGAATACCACGCTAAAAACTGGTGGGTGGACTGCACTCCCCGCATTGCTGGCCACGAAAGGGTCCAGCCAACTGAACCTCGTCGCGGACTCTGCAGATGGCGTCGGCGGGCTGGGGTTCCGCGGCCTGAGGAGAATGAGCCGGACAGGCGGCTTGCGAGGGGCTGGGCATGGGAGGCGAATCGAAATCCATGCAGGTCCCATCCGATTTTGAGACCTGAGCCACAACCAACACCTGGGCAGATCACATACCTGTCAGGACACTTCGAGACTTAGTGACTTAGTGGTTAGTAAAGTAAGCCTGGTTAGAACCCACTGAACGGAGACTTATAGGTACAATGAACACCTGGGTAGATGAAGGTAAGGGGCAGTCCACATGTCCTTGCATGGATTTGGGTAGACCATTTTATTACCAGGTTTTGATTGTGGCTCACCTAGCTTTCTTCAAAGTTCATCCGCAACTTGCTGTTCAACCACCTTCCGCCTGATTTTTTTGGGCGCCCACGGACTACGGGTTAGCATAAGGGATCTCGCTTTCGAGCAACAAATTTGAAGAAGGGGGGTGGTTTGCTTGGCTTTGGAAAATCCCAGACGGTTCCTTTGGGCTAAGGAAATTCGCAGGTTCCCCAACTGATTTCTATTTCCGGTTCGTGGATTGGCCCCTTGAACAGCTTAGCCTGGCACAGGACATCGAGCAACCCTCCATGGCAACTTTTGTTGGCAGTTTGAAGAGGCCGGCTTTTCCGCGCCGTGCTTCCCATGGGGATGACACCACTTGTTTGTCCCTCCCCCCCGAGGAAAAAAAAAGAAACAAAAAGCACACACACACGCACACGAAAAGCGAGAAAAAACAACACGGGGAAAAACAAAAAACGGCCCAATCGCCAGCATGCTGTGTTCCGACGAGGGCTACGCCCGAAAAAGCGCGAGTGAACTAGTGAACCACCAGGGATCAACGAATCACCAGGGTACCACTCTCGGTTGTTCTCACGTTACTTGAGCGTTGCCCGAAGGTCGCTTGGTCACAAGGGTGCCCAGCTTTTGCCAGCTTCTACCTGTTCAAGTGTCTGATTCTGCGACCATGTGACCAGGGGTAAATCGTGCCCAGCCCCCTTTGCAAAATGTTGATTGTCTCCAAAATTGTACTGTGGATGGACGAAATCCAGTACCGCTTTGCAACCATGGTTGAAACCATTGTTTGCTGGCATTTGCAGGGGATCGAATCATTCCAGGGTCTCTTAGGTTGCAAAATGGACTTCGCAACCATCCACAGTATCAAAGTGAGAAGCTGGGCTCGCTTACTTTGAGATACTTCAAAAAAGGAGCCTGCCTTCTTCAATAGTGGTGTCCCACTTCGGATGACGGAGGAGGATCTTTTCAAGAACTCGGGCTATCGCTTGGGTGACATCAATGGCAAATCACGGAGCTGATTCATTTGGGTGTGTCTGTTCTTTAGGGGACCCAAAAATGGCGGATTTACTTTGGTTTCCCTTTACAACCACTGTTGCGGGTGTCCCCTACAAAAAGGCAGCCCCATTTGGGAGCAACGATGGGGACTCGCGAAGTTTCATCCACAAAAGCCGGGGGACGATCAAGTTGCCCATGTTTTGATGACTCACGTCTTCTCGCCCAAAACGCGAGGTTTGGCAGCCCTGCAGCCTGGTAGGCACGTTCGGTCTGTGGTTCGGACGGATCGCCCCGTGGGGTTTTTAGGGTTCGGACCCTGCAAATTGGCGCGACGGTGTTCCGTTTGGGTTTCGTCTACCACCAAAAAGAGGTACCTCAAAAAATGGCACCCAGATGGATGACCATTTGCTCACGGAAGTTGAACATGGAAGTGCCAATTGCCAACCAGATAGGCATGGAGAATTGGATTGGGCTAGTTTCTGGGTACACTCGGCAGAACCGTGGCTGCGTTTGCGTGGGGGATGACCGGACAGAAAATCCAGAGTTTCTTAAAGCGAGAGAGTTCCTGACTTGAGAAGACGCCATCTTTTGTTCATTTCCAAAGGTATGCTTCAGAGGGTCTTGGGAGTAAACTGGCGCAGGTTCTATGTGTTTTTGGGAAAGCCCTAACCACAACTTGGATTTTTTCAAGGGAAACACAGAAAGAGGTTTTTCTGAGCTGGTACCCTTTTCAAGTCGGTTTACAGGGAAACCAAAAGGTCAGGGCCCATTTTAGAGTCCCATGCGTCCCCTATGTTGACACATCGGGGGCTAAATAAGCACTCTTTGTTTTTGTTCCTCCACACTCCATTCTACTGATTTAGGCCTTTCAAATACCAAAGGGGTGTGTCTTTTTGTGAGGGTGTCACTTTGTTTTCCGGTTTTGAAAGGGACACCAAGAGGAAAGCCAAAAATGTTGGTCTCCTAAAAAAAAACGGTGGTTTTTGTCCCCCGCGAGGTATCGCGCCCTCACCAAGATTCGCCTCCGAAAGGCCAGATTCAACCCGAGTGGATGGCCAGGTTTCTCAATACGGACCTCTTTTTGGAGTTGTTTACGGAGTGTCCTTTTAGTGGAAATAGATGGCCCTGGTAGATGATTGAACCACCAGGTAAACCAGGGCCATCTATTTTTCTAGCAAAACAACCAAAACGGACACCTATGGGTGCACAGCAGTGGTCGGGTTCTCGCCATATTCAGTCCAGCGAAGAGGAAGCAGCGCACCCATAGAATTGTACCCTGCGCCTAGTTTCCATTGCCATGTTACCAAGGATTTCATTTGTACGTGCTTGCTTCCCTTTGATGAGCTATGGCAACCGGAAGCAGTGTATGGAAATTCTCGTTGGAGGTCCTTTGTCGTCCCTTCGGGGCGTGCAACATGAAACCTTCGGGGTCCAAGAAGAAGGTGTAGGACGAGGCAGAGGGTTCCAACTGGTTGCCCATTTTCATGTATTCCATTTTGGGGTTTTCGGTGCACCCATTTTAGAACCTATTTTGGTTGGATTGAATCGGATGTTCACTGGCGGCTAACCGATTTGGGTTTTGACCCATGGCCATGTGGAGGGAAGGATTCCCCCGCGAGTCTTTCGATGAGAGCCCCTTGCGCCTGAGAAAGGTCCGATCGACTTGAGGAACTAGCGCGGCTAGAAGGCCTTTATTGTTGAAGCGAAGTCAAGCTGGCCAGAAACTGGCTGGGTCTCCCTGTTTCAGCTCGTTTGGTGGGTTTGAATTCGTGGAGTAGCTGCCCACTGCTGATTGATCAAACGGAGTTGGTGTTGCCCACAAGCAAGACCGTCAATCCAAACCACCGCTTAAGAGTAGCAATGGTGTTTGGACATCCCCGATGGCAGGGCACAAACTTTCAGAACACGTGGCGTCGTGGGGGTCGGTAGACGCCCTTTGGCTTTTGACAAGGGCGGACTGGTTCCCTGTCCCCAGAACTGGACTAGGACAAACAAGTTGTGCAAACCTGCTACCTCTGTTTTCACACCCTCTCGTTCCCTTGAGAGTGAGAGGGCTCCATGATCTCATTGTTCGGTCCCACTTTGAAGCGAATCCTGGGCAAGAATGAACTACAAGTACGGTACAGGTATACAACAAAACCGAGCCAATTCGCAGGAATCTGCTTCTGGAACGTGACCTAAAAGAAAGCCGTGCGAGTAGAAGTCCGTGTGTCAAACTGGTGCCGAATGTGGAACCCATGGAATCCCAGAAGTTCCCACAAAACAAAGTTACTCGCCCAGATTTGTGCTTGTTGGTTTGGACCCTTCCAACCCCCAAAAAATATGATCCCCCGCAAAAAAACGGAGCCTAAAAGTCCAACCTTCCAACCCCCCGCCCCAAAAACAGATCTGCTCAACCCCCCCCCCAATCTGCTTCCGCACTAAACGTGTAACATGCCCCACCTCCAAAGCTCCGGTGACTTCGCCCCGCGCCTCCCCGCCTTCCCGCCTCACCGCCCCACCGCGAGGAGCCGGACGTGGCCTCGGAGCCCACGGGCGCCACGGTCATCGCCGGGGAGGAGTTCGAGGTCTTCGAGGCCGGATCCGCTCGAGCAGATCGATCGGATCGGATCAGATCCGAGCGGAGCGGGAGATGGGAGCCCGGATTTTTCGAGGCAGGTCACGGGAGTGGGGGCCCCCGTCTTCTTTTTTTAAGGGTCGAGCCCGGAGTTTTTTTTGTTCGGAAACCCCATACTTTTACTGAAAGTGTCGGGGTGTCCAACTGGTTTTTAGTGGGGATTCAGACCACTTTTGGACGGGACCACCCCCATATTATGGGCCAAACTTAAACCACCAGAAATTGGACCGCAGATTTTATTCCTTGTGTCCATTTAGCAGGGTTCCGTGTTGGGTACCTATTTTTGACCCACACCCAAATGGGGGTTGATCAATAAGGTGCGTGTCCACGGCTGCCTTTTTGGATTTTGGGCCAACAGTTAATGGGGGTTATGAGGTGTGTTTTTTTTTGGAGTTGGTACCAGGGGTTAATCAATATTCCTTCGGCCCGGCCCCCAAAATGAGCATGGCTAAGTTTCGCAAATATGGGAGTGTCTTTGTTTGAGGGTACCTCGTTAAAAAGGGAACACTTGTGTGTGTGTTTTGTTTTTTGGGGGGGGGGCTTCCCCGAAAAACGGACCTGCCCATACAAGCCCTGAATTGGATGGTTTCCCTTCGGAGAGACCTTCAGATTCTGCAGTTGAAGCACGAAGACTCGTGGAGTCACCAGTCTCAACTGGTGGGCGTGGATTTTCGTCGGCTGGGAGTCCGGAAGGCCCAGGCTGGTGGCACTTGACAGCCCCAATTTCTTGCGGAGCTCGGGCCGGCCGAGTCTCAGCCGGCCCTTCTCTTTCCTTTTCACGAAGCTCCTGGACTTAGCAAGGGCTTGCTGCAAGAGCCAGGACCAAAGAGATCAGAACTGCAGGCTGGTTCTTTGGAGTCTTCGCGGTGTCACTTTGACGCTTTCTCGAGCTGGAGCCCATGAGCTGAGAGTCAAACCAAGTTTTTTTGAAGGAGCGGAGTTCTGCAAGGACATGCTATCAAAGCCGGCAACTGGGGTTTGCCTTTAGCCTACCACTTGGCGGTTGACTTTGGTAGAACAATTCGGCCAGTATTCCAGGGGTTGATTCTCCATTCTTTTCAATCAGTGTTGTTTTTCCTTCAAAAAGCCCCGCTGTTTCCTCTGGGTTCCTGGCGGTTTTCTGGAAAGATTCAGATCCCCGGGCTAAGAATGGGGAAATGGAAGGTACCTTTAGAGTACTGGTCCGAGAGACTTGAAGACTTGTGGGAATGAGAGAAAAGCCGCGTGGGCCACATGCACCAAATGCGCCAAAGAAATGGGCAGCGGTTTAAACCGCTGACTTGCCCAAGCTTTCAAGCTTCGGGGCTTTCGTTTGGGTGGTCCAAATGAGTCACCAGGAATTGGACCGGTCTTGAAGTCCATGTTTCCCTTTGCCTGGGTAACCCATTTTGGGCACCTATTTTTGACCCACAGCCATTTGTTGTCTTCGTTTGGTGGCTGGAACAAACATATATATATATATATATATGTATATATATATATAGAAGAGTAAACTTTTGTGGCGGGATTTGAACCAGGGCAATACCAAATTTAAAATCACATGTGCGAACACCTCGCTCATTCTACAGTTGTTGCAAGTGAATCCACCAACGATGGTACCTAGTTCAGTCACTCCCCAGAATAGCACGGATCCCCCAACATGATGCAAGAGAACTGCCCTTTTGCCCGACCTCCTTTTTTGGTTCCATGTAATTTTCGCATCCGCAAGCATTCACAGAAGGGGTGTGGAAGAAATTGTTTCCTTCAAAAGGCACCCGGTGGGTTCCATGCTGAACCAGAGGCTTGGGAGAGAGCGCAAACGCGTCACGTGTCTCTGCCAGGCAGTGGACGGAACGGGCGACCCAGGCTACACGAGTTGTCGGGGCTGCGGCTCGAGGGAGCCCAAACCTGGATTAAGCAGAAGCCCTGGTTGATGTTGAGAGATACTAGGTCCCCCAGTAATGTTGAGCCAGGAGCTAAGTAGAACCCGTCCCATGAAATTCGGGGGGTGTTCCCTCCAAAAGTGGTCTGAATCCCCACTAAACGGGGACACCCCCCCATTAAGCAACCAGGGGTTTATTAATCCGGGGTCAACATTAGTGCCCTTTTACCCTTTTTTGGGGAAGGGTTCCCCTACTAAATTCGAATATAGAAAAAAAGGTATTCTTCTAACCTCTCTACTGGAGGACCTAGGGTACTGTGGATGGTTGCGACATCCTCTTAGGCACCACCCAAGAAACTACCAACAAGCAATGGCTCCCATGGTGACAAGGTGGCAGGATTGCGTGCATCCACAGTAGGGCCTCGTTTAATGGGGAATCAGACCACTTGAGGGGAACACACCCCAAAAGGAACCGGTGTAGTATCTGGGGTCGACATTACCCACCTGTGTGCAGGCACCTGGAAGATCCATTTCCTGTTGCTTGCCCTTTGGGAGGGAGGATACCGCTACGGCCAGGAACCAGAAGTTAGCCATTCAGCCGTAGTTATACTTACCATCGGGTAGCCCGAGGAAACTGTCATGTAACACCTAGAGGTGAGAAACAACCTATATGTTACCTAGAGATAAGAAGCAACTGCATGTTTGGGAAACATTTTACATTTTTGCTTATGGTGGTTTAGTGGTTGAAGTCCAAATCCACTTAACTGCTAAGATTTTCTCAGAATTTCTGCTCCCCAAACCCAACGTCAAGACAGGAAACCATTGCCCTGGAACCTTTGGAGCTTTGGGGTCTGCCATCGAGTGGAGCAACATTTTTGGAACCTCAGAGCACATGCATGAGATGCCACACGCGCAAGATCATCAGACTTGGTGGCCTTGAAACCAGGTGTTGCCCTGGAACATTTTTACCAGAGCCCATCAGCAATGGTCAGGGCATGACCTCACCAGCAAGGACGGGGCCCGTGATAGGCCACTTCGTACATCATGAAGTTTCCATTCCTCTTAAAAAAAAGGCTCTCCGAGGAGGTATCATGAAACATGGGCGCGTTCGGCACTGTTACACCGTGGCTGGACTATGCACTGAGCCCGAACGGGACATGTCGTCTTGGGCTCTGTTTTGGACTATAGGGCCTGGGCGCAATAGGTGCGTCTCTCGCATCTACAAGGTTCAACTTTCATGCAGGTGTGTGCCAGCGTCCTTTTGCCTACTGAAACAGCATTCTGAAAATAAACGCACACGTCAGGAGACATCAACGCGAGTTTCGGAAAGCAGAAAGGCACGACTCAGGAACAGAAGGCATGAAATGTCAAACACTGGAAACGGAAAGGCAACAATCAGGAAACCGAAAGGGACATCGCAGAGCTTTTTACAAGTGGGAGAGGGCTGCTCTTTCGGCAAAGTGCTTTTCCACTGCGTTCTCTTAACGAATCCGCGAACTCGATGGCCAAATGGCCCATAATTTGGCCAGTTTTAGGGGCTTGCCGGGGAATCAGGGTGCTCTTCAGCCAGGTTTACCGGTGCCCAGCTGCCGTTTGCTAGCTTGCAACAGACGGTTTTTGGAAAAAAACACATGTCACGAGTACAACTGGGTCACCTCAGCTAACGGATGTCTTGGGTGCTTCCTGAAATTAGAGGACCGCAGAAACAAAAAGTTTGATCTCTTGTCCATTCCTTCACCCATCGCTAGGATGGAGAGTGTCTCCGCGGTCGTTTCGGAACGAACGCGGCGAGGCTATCTGAGACTGGCGGAGGGATGGGTCTTTGACCAGGCGACTCGTCGCAGAGCGCGCCAGGGCGAGAGCCACGCGCCGGGAAACGCCGAAACATGTGGACCCCATATAAAGTCAAGCAACCAGCTTATGAGATAAAAATGGCAACCAGTTCATGATATTTTTGTTTGGGGGTGCTTTGCTAACTGGTGAAATGTGGTGATTCTCATCACTTTTGGATTCTCCCTAAGAGTCCTGATGGATTTCGGGGCTAAGTTAAACCGCTTGTTTTGAGCAAAGCAACGTGGGGTGTACCGGCAATTCGGGTTCCGCATAGCAAGCCCCGGGACTCTTAGGGGTGATGTCGTTGGGATTTGTCGGTTTCCAAAACCCAAAACCCAGGCCGCAAGGTACTGGCGCTGAGTCAACATGGAACCGCCACTTGCCGTGTTTCCCCGAGTTGGTACGGGTCCCTTGAAGTTTTTGTTTAAAAGTTTAAAGGCCGAAATCGAAGGAACACCGAAATTTAGGGTGTCCAACGCCCAATTTTTCACGCATGGTTATAGCTGGGTGATTGTAGATGTCGAATTCAATTCCAAAGCAATTTGGTTCAGTCATCCCCTTTCAATAAAGGGAGTCTGGTGCCGTTTACTTTCTGCCTGGTGCACCTCCTCTGCTTTTTCAATGCAGCTGTTGGCTTTCAGGTTTCAATTGTCAGAAAGGGCTTGGGAAGGAATTGCGGCTCGCTTGCAAACCCGACGACCCATCACAGAGACCACCAGAGCCGTTTGGAGTGTAATCACCAGAGCCATCAGCTCGAGTTTCCTGGGGTGTGGGTTTGGGCATATATCAGGGGGGCTTAATAAGGCCTTATTTGAGGCCTATTTGGGCTCCCCCTCCCCTCCCTCTCCCCGGGCCCCCATGAATATAGGTCTTTTCATGCCATTGCCATTTCCAGCTGCTTGCTTTTGGGTGCTGGAATTTGTAAGCTGATGATGCATCCCCGCATCCACCATCACCTGTGACATAAAATCCCTACGTCCAAAACAGAGTTCAGTTGGAGCCCAGGCTGCGTTACCACCTAAGACATCCTTCCCAGTTTTCCGAAGACCTCCGATGACAGCCTGGTCCAGCTCGCCACTTGGGGACTTTGGGAAGCCAAGGAAACTTAGCAGCGACCAGCCTGTTGCAACTTGTTGCTTCGTTTTGACTTGGGCCTTGCAGCGCAACCAGTCTGCTTTTGTGTCGGATCCGACAGGCGGGTTTTGCGAGACGCACGGCATATATGGCCGGTCAAAACCCCGTACCCCCGTGAACATCCCAATTCCCACTAAAAAAATGACCAAACTGGGTGGTGCAGCTACCCCAAAATGGTACCCTTGGTTTTGACCCACAGCCACATAGCATCGACTTTCCGCCAGGGCATCGCCGGCCGGTGGCTGGGGAAGCCCATTGTGGAGCCGGTGAACTTGGCGGCGCCGCCGGCGCCCGAAGCAGCGCCCGCGCCGGAGCCGGAGCCGGAGCCCGCGCCGGCGGAGGCCGGGGGCTGGGGGCTTGAAAGTTGTGGCGGGGGAATGCTGTGGATCCCTTTTGGGCAGGGGTTCGTTGGGTTGAGCCAAAAGAATGGCGTCTGGTCTATTTATTCCCGATCCGACGGCCAAGGTGAGGCCCGAGTTTTGCTGAGGCTGAGGCTTACTCAGCAGAGGTGTAGGATTTGTTTCCCCTTAGCATGTTCGTCTCAAAAATAGGGAACCCCCCCCCCCAAGACTTCAAAATCTGGCAAGTTTCCCTGTGACCCACTCATTTCAGTTCCTTTGACTCGACTCATCTCAGGTGGGGGATTCGCATCACAAAGCGTTCTGAGCTGCACCGACTGTGGTTTTTTCCTGTGCAGGAAGGTAGCCGTTTGCTGCTGCTCAAGGGGCTCTCCTTTGTTGCCAGGGAATCTCAAAGCAGCTTCCGACTATGTGCTTTCCTTCCAGTGCTGGACGGTTGTGTTTCTGGCCCTTAGGACAAACGACCCACATTGAAGTAACTCGTTTGGGAAGGTGACACCTTTTTGGTCCAAGAAGCCTTCTCCGTTCTTATTTGACCTCGAAGATGGGAAAGAACTTTCTCCGATGGGAGCCTTTGGCTTCCTCGTTCGGCCAAATGAGCTTCCACGTGTTGGCCATAGCTCGTGGTATGCCATTTGACCATAGGGCTTGTCTGAGGCTCCAGAAATCAGACCCGCAAAAAAGGCCCTTTATATATTTCCCCCCTTGTCTCAGTCTCCGGGGATGCCTTCAACATCAATGAGGGTGGATGCGCAATCCCAAGCAGTTGGGACACGTGGCGTCCCTCTCCTCCAGGTCGCGGAAGCCGCGCCGGAGCCGGAAGCGGCACCCATAGAGCCAGAGCCGGAAGCCGCGCCGGCGCCGGAAGCGGCGCCGGAGCCGGCGCCGGAGCCGGCGCCGGAGCCCATCGCGGCGGAGGCCATCGCGGCAAGGGCAAGAGTGATGTCTATGGCAGTGAGCAGGGAATTTGGGTCGAAGTTGTTGTTTTGTTTTTCCGGACCATCGATGTGCTTTTCTCATCTTTGCCCTCCAAGATGGACCAATAAAAAGACACAACAATCCCAGGTGACGGTTGATTGAATGGTTGACCAAGAGCCGGGCCGAGCTGGCGGTCTCGGGTATCAGGTGGAGGTTGTGGAGCCGGAGCCGGCGCTGGAGCCAGCCGTGGCAGTGGGTGTGGCGCAGGCGGGTGAGGGCGGTGTTTTTTTTTGCCAAATGGCTGTGGTTGTCAAAACCGTTTTGGGATCCCATTTGGTTGGTAGGTGCACCGCCCATTTTACTTTATTTTAAAGGGGATTGGGATGTTCACTGGGGGTATGATTTGGATTTTGACCTTTGCCAAATTTTCTAGGGGCTTCATCTAGGTCCCCCAGTAGTGCCCTTTTACCAACTTTTTTGGGGAGGGTTCCCTTACTAAAATCACTACAGAAAAAAGGGTGCCCTTATTCTAACCCCTCTACTCCTAGTCATGGTTTGAAGTTCCTGAGGCTTGAAAGTACATCAACCCACAAGTCCATCGTTCACGGATTGCCACAGGGTTGGCCAGTTTGTGCCCAAGAGGGTGCTCCGGCACATAGTACTTTCCCTTTGGGTGACTAGTTGCAACGTGGGAGAAGGGAACACGGCAGTGGCATGGGTTCAACCACTTAGTGAGTGCCTTCAAGTGTTGTTCCTTTCTTTCTTTCTGTATGGTGTTTTTTCTTGTTTTTGTCCGTCTTTCTTCCTTGTTTGCTTTCTTTCTTTCTCTTTTCTTTCCTTCCTTCCTTCCTTCCTTCTTTCCTTCTGTCCTTCTTTCCGTGTTCGTTTTTCTGTCTTTCTTTCTTGCTTTCGTTCCGTCTTTCTTCCTCTCCTCCTTTCTTCCTTCCTTCCTTCCTTCCTTTCTTGCTTTCTTTCTTTCTTTCTTTCTGTTTTTCTTTCTTTTTCTTTCTTTTTCTTTCTGTCTGTCTGTCTGTCTGTCTGTCTGTCTGTCTGTCTGTCTGTTTGTCTGTCTGTCTGTCTGTCTTTATGTCTTTATGTCTTTATGTCTTTGTGTCTTTCTGGCGTTCGTTATTGCTGTCTTTCTGTCTTTCTGTCTTTATGTCGTTCCTTCTTTCCTTTTTTCAGTCTTTCTGTTTTGCTGTCTTGCTGTTGTTTTTGTCCCTCTTTTGTTTTGTCTTTCTTGCTGCCTTTCTTTCTGTCTGTCTTTCTTTCTGTTTTCTTTTTTGTTAAACAATATATATATATATATATGTATTGCTTTCTTTCTTTTGGCTTTATCTTTCTTTCTCTCTCTCTCTCTCTATCCCTTTCTTTATTTCCGTCTTTCCGTCTTTCCGTCTTTCTGTCTTTCTGTCTTTCTGTCTTTCTGTCTTTCTGTCTTTCTGTCTTTCTGTCTTTCTGTCTTTCTGTTTGTCTGTCTTTCAGTCTTTCTGTCTTTCTGTCTTTCTGTCCTTCTGTCTTTCTGTCTTTCTGTCTTTCTGTCTTTCTGTCTTTCTGTCTTTCTGTCTTTCTGTCTTTCTGTCTTTCTGTCTGTCTTATTTTTTTTCTTCTCCTGTTCTTTTCTTCTTTCTGTATTTCTGTCTTTTTGTCTTTTTGTCTTTCTGTCTTTCTGTCTTTCTTTCTGTCTGTTTTTCTTTCTGTCTGTATTGTTTCTTTTTATTACTGTCGTTCTGTCTTTCTAATTTGTTCTTTCTTTCTTTCTTTCTTTCTTTCTTTTTTTCTTTCTCTCTCTCTCTCTCTTTCTTTCTTTCTTTCTCTCTCTCTCTATTTCTTTCTCTCTCTCTCTCTCTCTTTCTTTCTTTATTTCTCTCTTTCTTTCTCTCTCTCTCTCTCTTTCTTTCTCTCTCTCTTTCTTTCTTTATTTCTCTCTTTCTTTCTCTCTCTCTCTCTCTTTCTTTCTTTATTTCTCTCTTTCTTTCTCTCTCTCTCTCTCTTTCTTTCTCTCTCTCTTTCTTTCTTTATTTCTCTCTTTCTTTCTCTCTCTCTCTCTCTTTCTTTCTTTATTTCTCTCTTTCTTTCTCTCTCTCTCTCTCTTTCTTTCTCTCTCTCTTTCTTTCTTTATTTCTCTCTTTCTCTTCTCTCTCTCTCTCTCTTTCTTTCTCAATGCGAATCATGGTCAAAAGACCAGGTTAGTTGGGGCGAATTGGTCTGCAACTCATTGAAAGGCCTTCTGGGGAAGCATGCCCCTGACTCGTGTATGTGTGAAAGGCTTTGAATTTGGACTTGGGTGTTTCGTGCAAAGGGCAACGGGAGTCAGCTGGGTGTGGCTCAAAATTAAACGATCGGGTTTTGGGGCAAACCGCAGGTGTTCCACTTACCGATCGGGCTTGCCCCATTTCGGAATTTTCCGGTTTTTTGAATTCGCCACAGCCAGCTTTTTCTTCTCCCTCTGGTGCCTTTGTTTTCTTCTTTGGAGAGGGGTTCCCTGACCCCACTCCGCAAGACCGGGCTTCCCCTTTCCTGGGAAGCCGGAGGTCTGGGTCACGCACCCGGGCCGGTCCCGCTTCCCAGGGCTCCTTAAAAGATCTCCATTCTTGCAAGCAGTTGAAACATGTTGCTTTTTCAACACCAAGATAAAGTTGGAAACCACCATTTACAAGTTGCAATGCTCAGGTGTATAATGTAAGGATCCCTGCTTAAAGGCGGGTCTTCTGTTCACCGTACGACTTTCCGGCGCAGGTGGAGACGGTGAGGCAGGTGTTTCGGCCTCAATTCGCCACAGTCAAAGCCCTGGCCCTGGGTAGATGAACTGGCTGCTTCTCTCTTTTTTCTTCTTTTTTCTCCCGGGGGGGGGTGGTGGGGGGGACGGGGTTGACGAGCAATGAGCAGGGGTTGTCCATGTTGCCAGGAAGCAACGGCGTAGATGAACTGTTTTTGTCTTTTTTTTTTGTCCGGGGGGCGGGGGGAGGGGGAGTTTCATGAGCAGGGGCTATCCATTTTAGCATTTACCACAAAGTAACGAGCAAACGAGAAGACGGGAGGCTTCATGAACCAGACAATGAAGTCGATTTGTTAGGGCTTGCATCTGAACCATAGTCTCTATCCACGGGTATGTTAGACAGAGGGTAAACAGAACAAGAGGTGAGTCAACATCAAAACCTGGCACTAAAGGGGTCTACCATCTACCAAAACATCCCACAACCAAGTAAAGAAGGAAAAGGGCGGCAGCACCTGCTTTTGTAGTAAATCGGGGCAAGAATCAAACACTTGTCTTGGGTTGGGGCAAGCTGGGATGCCAGCAAACCAAACAACCGCATGGGAACATCGCAAAAAAATGAACACTAGCCCTCCAAATTATGGTTTCGACCGCTTTTCCGTGGAGATCCCGTTGATCTTTCATTCGGCCCTCAATTTCCGGGGGTGGCAGCTTACCATTTAAAAGCAGTTGCCTTTTGCTCTTCTTGCTGGTTTGACAGGCAGGAATTGAGTGGGAATGACCGTATGGTTTCCTTTGAGGGACACCCCAAAACCGGTTCACTCCCAAAACCCGGAAGGTCATTCCCCACTGAGCACCAGCGAAGTTATATAGTGAGAAGCAGTTGACGTTTTGCAAAATTGCGACTGGGAAGCTTCTTAGAAAGCAGGTGAAGCCAGAATTCTGGCCCATGTTGGCTTTTGCTTCCCAAGGGAGCTTCTTGCTAACTTTCACACGACCTGGGTCATAATGCGCTACTGGAAGGGTTAGTTCCACTTGAGACTGAAAAGTGCGCTATGACGTAGTCCACCACCAACTTGCTAACTTAGCGCGCAACGCGCAAGTAAGGAAAGCCGAAATCCGTTGTGGGGAGCATGCCCATTTGGAAAGTCCCCTCTGTTGGATTGTTGCACAGGGAGACCAAAAGGAAAACCACCATTTGGGAGGGTCCCCCTATTTTGACACGTACGCGCTTGTGGTGTGTTGCCTGTTCTCGGGGTTTGAATCCTACGAAGTCCCTGAAAGGGACCTTTTGGTGAACGACTTACCAGAGTTATAACGCTTTTCACTGGTAGGCTTCCTCATGTAAGGCTAGTTCAAAATGACTGATCTGTGGTCCTTTGGGGAAAAACATTGGGGACCTCAGTACTTTTCCCAAGACCGTGCTTCACGTGAGTCGAGCGATGCAGCCGTTGGTAGAGAGAGTGGAGTACGCAAGCAAGCCCATTTCGTCTTGGCCCCAATGAAGATACTGACACGGGGCGGGGAAGACGTGGTGGTGGCATTCTCAAACTGGCAATCAAAAATCGTCAGCAGGTCAGATGACACGTGCACAAACAGGAAGCTTGCAGGAACAAGTGGGTATGTGTCAGAATAGAGTCTCTTCAAACCAAGATGAAAAGGGTTTCTTCAAAGTACACGCCCACGCACCTAAGTGGACATGGGAAAATACGTAGCTGCCGGTAAAACGATTAATTTGGAGAAGAGAGACATGAAGTGATCAAATGCTGAGATATAATGGATGCTGAGACCTTTCCTTCAAACCTAATCGCTTTCCTATCTTAGAAGTATCATGATTTTAATTTAATGTTCATCAAATTATGTTCATGCCATGTCTTCTTTATGACCATTCATAAGTTTGTTTTAGGTGGTTTTCAGTAGGCCAGATATTGGTGAGATGTACAGATATGTAAGCTAAGATAGTATTCAAGACATCATCACATAGGTCAGATAAGATTCAACATGTTGTGACATAGGTTTTGTTTTATCTTTTGTTTTCTCCTGTCTTTTCCTTGTCTTTTTGTCGATTTCTTATCTACTGCTATCTGGTTCTTTGCTATTGTTTCTCGTTTTTATGTCTATATCTTTCTCATATTAGTTCTTACATGTATATTTGAGTTATTTGTACGGCAATCATACTGTGGATGGACAAGCATCTGCACCTAAGAAACCCTGGGCTAATGACTCCCCTTCAAGTACCAACAAACTATGCGGTTTCAACCATTGTTTCATTTCGTGGTGTGAAATGGATTTCGTCCATCCACAGTAAGTTTAGAAGTCTTTCTTGATTTGTTCACTTGCACACCGCCCAGGCTCACTCTCTTTGGTGAACTGCTCCCATGTGTCAATTGTAGCCATAAGGGTTGTCTCAAAATCGGGAACTGCTCCCTCCCCCCAAAAAAAACAAAGAAGAAGACAACAACAAGAAGAAGACCATAAGAAGTGGGTTCTTCTCGGCGCACCCTTTTTTTTCTTTTCCCAACCCCAAGGAGGGCAATACAAAAAGGCGTTCATGACCACCGCACTACTCAAAGTCCCATAGGTTTTGGTTCACTCCTTTGCCAGGAACAAACCAAGCCAAGGAATCAGCTGAAGACACTCTACTTCCATTTGCCCCTGTTGGTTTGAGATGGAATCGATTCCACTACTGGAAAGATATTTTTCCCAGGGGACTTGAGCAAATGGAGGTCTAAAAAGGCCCTGCAACGAAGTGACACCAAACCAAACTGAAAACATGAAGGCCAAGCTCCAAAAGAAATTCGAGGACTTCTTTGGCTCGGTTGAAGTCCCAGCCGCGGACTTGGTCTTCCCCGCGCGGGTTTCGGAGCGAGCTCATCCGGCCAGGCTGCCGGATGAGCTCTTGGGCGCTGGCTTCGAGTTCGTGCGCCTGGAGGCGGACCAAACGTCGGGGCCCCCCAGGCGAAGGCGGTGCAGGCGGCCGTAGGTGATTCTACCTACTTCAGTTGGGATCTTTGAGTAGTGGGACTCTGAGTAGTGCGGGTTTTGTAAGGTTTTGGGCTAGTAGTTCCGTAAGGCAGGTTTTGTTTTTCAATGAGCTTCTCCCACTAGGTTCCATTTTTTTGCTTTTCTTTCTGGGGACTTGCTCGCAAATGGAGGGTTGGGAAGTCACCGGCGATTTCGCCAAGGAGTCATGGGATAGGAGTTCTTAGGTCAGCTTGGTTGAAGCTAGATGGATTCTACTGGTGTCAGGTTGGTTGGTTGTTCGACTGGTTTCTGGTTGGGTTTCAGCCGGTTTCAGCTGGGTTTCAATTTGGATTCAGGTTGGTTCTGACCGCTTGGTGTTCGACTGCTTGGTTGCGGGCTCTTGCGGAAAACAGGTTTCACATCCAGCCCCCCCGCCCCCCAGGGCCTCACGAGCGTGAGGCTGAGCAGTTTTAGGCCTATTTTCCCGTGATGCCAAGGGACCCCCGTTCCAAGTGGCAAAAATTGTCATGGGGATGGTCTAATATTGGCATCACGGAAAGGGCGATTTTCCGCAACCATGGTTTGCGGGGTGTAAACGCCTTGTTTAAAGCCATGGCTTGCACCGCCCAGTTTGGGGGCGTCTTAAATGTAGGAGATCCCCAAACGAGTTGCTTTTCTGTTGGCTTCCCTTTAACACCAACTGGGTGTGGCTCAAAATTAAGCAGCTAGGGTTACGCAGGTTTTAGTCTTTGGTTCCATTTACCAACAGAAAGGGCCATTTTGGGTACCTATTTTGTGAGCCACAGCCAACTAATAAGGGGATCCCCCTAGAAAAGAGACTTTGAAGAGGGGCTGGTCGTTGAGACAAACGCCGGGCCCCAAAATCGGCTTGACTTCCCTCGGGTATCGTTTTTTCCAGCACCCACACCCCCAACCCCCAAGGGAAAGGGGTTTGCAACATGCCTAGCCCGCTGTTGCAAACACAGATAGCAGATCGATCCGTGTTTGCTTCCTTTAAAACCAAAAAAAACCATACGTTGCCGCTTTCTGCTATATTTCGATGGTTTGCCCGGTGGATTCCACCCTTTACATGGTCCTTCTTCTTTTTGCTTTTTTGGGGGGAGGGGGAAAGCTTTTTTCTTGAAGACCGCCCTGGCCACGGGCGCCACGGTTTCTATGGAACTCCACTGGGCTTCTGACCGGGTCCATCTCTTTTTTCGGGTCTCCAAAGGCGGCGATCGTTTCAATGGCACCAATGAAGCGATCAACTTTTCCACCAGAACTCCAACTCAGGCCCTGTCCGATGAAGTTGACAGTGTAAAAACCGGCAACCACAAGTGGTGAGTGGGTTCATGATCTGATGTCCACCATTGCGGGTCCGGGTCTGGGAGCCATCCCAAATTTCCACCCCTAGCTTCCAGAGAAAAAAAAGAACGGGAGGCACCTTCCACGGCCCGAGGCAGCAGCCACTCACCTTCATGCTGGGCAACGGCTTTCCGGGCACCTGCTTGACCACGCGCGGGACCGGCGAAGGGTTTTCGAGTCGCGAGTCGCGAGTCAGCGAGTCACGGGGATTCGGAGGTTTCGAGCTTGGACCGATGCGGGATCGAGGTTGAGAACCCGAATTTTGAATTTGGAGGAGTTCCAGCTGATGGATTCTCGCGAGCGGACGAAAGTGAACGGACGAAAGTTTGATCTCCTTCAAAGCCGATGGGAAAGCTTTGCTTTGTGATTGCCAGGGGGCCAGGGGGCAACCCTCGAATGTTGAGCCCGGGCAACCCTCTAATGTTGACCCCGAGTTGAGAAACCTGTCCCATTAGGTGTTCTCTCCAAACGTGTTCTGAATCCCCACGAAAAGGGGACACCCTGCGATTAAAACATCAGCCAGGGGGTTGTTTTTTTTCGCTAGAACCCCTCTAATCGCCCAAGTTGGATACGCCGGCCACGGCCAAGCAAAAAGACAGTTCGTGCCACCAGGCCGTGGTCACAGTTTGTCCTCTGAATTTTACATGGTTGTTGCTGTGAACCATTTTTTCCCATATTTGCTTATTGTGGTTTAGTGGTTGCAATCCCCACCTAGCTGCTAAAATTTAAATCTTCGCTCCCCTTCCAACATCAACCAAGTTTTGGGTGTGACAAGAACTGGAGTTCATTTTGTTGATTGCTTCTGGGGATAAAAGTCAGAAACTGAAATAAACTTCGGGGGTGACTTTGGTAAATCATGGGCCAGCCAAAGGCAGGGAAATACCGGAAAGAGCAAAGGAGCCAAAGTGTTACACCCCTCTGACAACCCAATCCTGTGCCATCCCGTCAAAACGTCTGGGCAATCCCTTTCGTGATCTTGAGGGCTTGTCGCGAGGGTTCCAAGTGATCCTTTTGGCTTCGAGAAATTCTGCTGCCTGTGAATCTCATAATGACCAATCAGTATGACCTACCACTATGACCTAGCCTATCATTTTAACCTAGGTCCCCCAGTAGTGCCCGTTTACCCTTTTTTTGGGGAGGGTTCCCGTACTAAAATAGACTACAGAAAAAGGGTACCCTTATTCTAACCTCTCTACTGGAGGACCTAGTAACCTATCACGATCTACAATTCACATCTGCCGCGCCTTTTCCGCGTGCTGCCTCCCGGCGGCGGGGCACACGGGTTCTTTTGGTATTTGACAAATCCGATCCAGTCAGACAATGTGGAAGTTGTGGCTGGAGAAGCAATACTCAACACCAGTGCAACAAAGTCGCAGTTGAGATTTGACAAATTCATCTAGTTGAGCAACAGAGGAGTGAGTATCTGGGCTTCGCCCTGGGCTTTTTTGGGTTCCCAGGTGGTTTTTTTGCCGGCACGTCCCCAGGTTGAGCCTGCGGTCGGGGGAAAGAAGGAAAGAAGCAGAGCCTTCCAACACCAGACGCGGCCCTGAGTCCTGGGAGCCCGACGCAATGGGCAACTTGGGAATGGGTTGGATCTCACTTGAGCTCACGAACTTTAAGCTTTTTGAGGTTGGGCCATTTTAGTGGCAGTCATAAAGTTTGAGAACTTTTTTTTTTCGGCCATCCACTCAGCCAGTGAGTTAAGAAGGGAGGCCGAGTCGAAGCAGCCTTAACCCATCCACAGCCGCCCAACACGTGTTGGAGCAACCCTGAGACCAGTCCTGGGCTGGCAGCCTGGGACTTGCCTCAGGTGCAAGCGTCCCAAGTTTGGGAGGGCGAGCCCTATCCGAGGGTCCTTTCCACTGACCTTTTCGACGCGTCTTGGACATCATGGGATGGTCAGTCTAAGAGCCGCGTTTTGCTCACCTCAACCAGCAACCAAACATGATACCTAGAGCACGCACCCATGAAAGCTTGCTGGTGCTGAGCAGGGAATGATGGAATGCGCCCTACAAACAATCCAACTGCATGGTGGCTTCCTGTAATCCCCAAACCTGGTTCTTCCCAACACCCGGACAAGGTCATTCCCAGCCCGCCAGAAAGCTCGTGCCCTTTTTTCGGGAGTGGTCAAAACCGGTTCACTGCGAAAGAGTCCCCTTTCAGCGAAAGCGCCAGGAGCCTTCTGCTGGACGTGCAGGGCCCGGAGCCTCGGAATCGGATCTCTTCAGGTCTGAAGACGAGCCTTTGGTCTTCCTGGGCATCGGGGAAACGAATGGAAACTCCACTTGTGAATGTTGACCCCAGAGAAATACCACCCCTGTTTTTTTTTTTTACTGAAAGTATGGGGGAATTTTCATATGAATAAACAGGGGTTTATGAATCCGATTGAAAGACAATACAAATGTTGTGAAGTTTCTTTTGGGGAATCATGGGAATCCATGTTGTGTAACCCAAGAAAGTCCCCAATGGGAAATTCCTCTGCACAGGGTTTTCTGGGTTCCATGTCCACCTCTCTCCCTGAGCTCCCGGACTTTGCACTGTTGGGCCTGGGTTTGGACAATTTTGGTGTTGACCCTCTATGGGTTTGCCCACGCAACTTCAAAGGAACGTCCAACAAGCGTCCGACCACGCTCGTTTTATGCGACGCCAAGAGCTGTGCTTGGCTTTCGTAGGTCTCTAGTCTTTAGATGTTCTCGAAAGCCGTGATCAATAAACCGTAGAATGGGATGGTTTGTGTATGTTTTTGTAACACTACGGCCCTTTCTCAGGGCCCAAGCTTGGTCTTTGTGTTGTCCTATCCATATGTGGCTTGCTTCCCAAATCCAATCAGAAACTCGTGGCCTCACAGCGAATTCTCGTTCAACCCACTGCTCTATAGCCGTTAAGAGGTTCAGGATAACTCTTGGTTTTTTGGGCCGTCGCTTGCAGACATGTCTGCACCGCCCTTCTGCGCGCTGGTCCTGTTCGCCCTCGGTGGGGTCCGTGGGGCGGACACCAGCGATGGCCTCTGCGAGCATACCTCGCTCTTGCAGTCCTCTGCTTCTCGGGGTGCTTTTGAGGACCTGTGCTTCAAACAGGTTCAGCGCTTGATGCCCTACGACAGTCTTTTAAGCCCTCGGATTGCAACGAAGAATGAACTCTTCATGGCGGCCATGGCGTCGGGAAAGCCCATGGAAGACATCGTCAAGGACATCATGAATGAGTTGTCCGCAAAGAACGGCCATCCCGCAGACGGGACAATGTCGGCCTGCGGTCCCACAGGCAGCTGGCTTGCGGAGCTCTACATCGGCCTGATCGGCGAAATTACCTTGGGCAACCCGAGCGATTGGGAGGTCTACGGCTCCCAAAAGCTTTGGGACGCGTTCACCAAGGAGAGAAATGCGGGGAAGCACATGTTTTGGTACATGATGACCTCCGGCTCCCACCAGAGCCACATTTGGAGCATCGAGCAGTTGCCGAAGACGGAGGACCAGCCGGTGCGGTATCTTTGGTGCATTTTGCCAAGGGATGTTAGGACTGAACAACTTTTTGCCAACCAATTTTGGTTTTCCGAATTAAATCACTACAAGTTAAAAACTTTTAGCAGGGGAGCAGCAAGCAAGCGAGGTATCGCACCATGATGAGCTGCTTCGACCGTACACCCTCACCGCCTGGCTGGCGGACACCAGCGACAAAGCCACGGTGGGGTTTTTGAAGAAGCAGCGCCACGTGTATCCGTCGCAGAACGACACCGCTTCCCTGTGGAGGCGATGGCAAAACAACAACAAGTTCGACCAGGTGGGCGTCTGCATCATGGAGCCGGCGCCGGAATGGCCGAGTTTGCTCCAGGAGTGGGTCAGCTCCGCCCTCGAGTACGACGTGGACGCATCGATGAAGGACCTGCTCACGGCTCAGCAGAAGTACGGGGGATCGAAGGTGTTCACGGACAGCGAGTTCTTCGGGGCGGGCGGATACTTGAGCGCCATGGTGTCCTGGCTGCGATCCGCGGAAGAGGCGGCCACGTCCTTCCCCTTGGGCGAGTGGGACTTGAAGCTGCACGAGGGTTATATCCAGCTCTTCGGCTTCCCGCCGGTGGACCACTTTCCGGGCGTGCCGTACATTGCCTGGAACGGGGCGCACCGCGACTTGCTGGAGCTCCGCGGTCCGGAGAACATGGCGAAGAGTTGGAAGGCCGAGCGCAGCTCGAAGATGAGCGGGGCGAAGGGCGACGGCAAGTTCGGCTTCCTGGTGCAGGCGGTGGAGGTCGATGAGGCCACGTGCGAGCGCAACGCCAACATCATCCTCCAGAACGCCCTGGCTGGCAAGGCTCCTCCACACCAGGGGCTCGCGCCCAGCATGCGGCCCTTGACCAAGGAGGAGGTGTGCCAGGGGTTGAAGCCGTTCTCTTCTTAATGGGGCAGGCCAAATGTGCCGCCCTGCTTTGAAATGCGTTCGAACGCAGGCCCATACTATTCATCTGAGGACGCATTGTTCACCCCCTTTTGTTACATGGTCGCATTCTAGCAATGGCAGCCCCAGATTAACATCACGATCCGTTCGCGTGTTGACAAATGTGTTTTCAGAGGTGAGCAGTTTATGCCTGAAGGAAGTGCTGGTGCATGGATGCGACGAATCACTGCATGAAATTTTGAAGCATGACGTTCGACCAGGCAAAGGACTGGTGCGAGAGTCGGCACGAAGGAAGCTTGGCCCGGGCAAAGGCTTTGTGTCCTCGAGGGCAGGACCCCTATAGTTCGATTGAGGAATGCGCTCTATGGCAATTTCCCCCCCCCCAAAAAAAAAAAAAGAAGGGCAAAAAACAGCTCTCTATGACAATTTCGCCCCCTCAGAAAACCATTAAACCAGCAACAAACACACATGAGTAAACAAAAACACATGCTCAGCACGCCGAACGAGCGAAACAACGCCGAGCTTATTGACACGCGCAACGCGCCAGGTGCGGAGTTCAAGGGCGGGTGGCTCTCGCAGGCTCAGGCAGGGTATGCTTGGGTTTGTGTGTGTGTGTGTGTGTGTTTTGTTTAACAAAATAGCCTCCCACCTTCTTTACATGGAACCTGACAGGAGTCCCTTTAAAAGGAACATTGTCCAAACCAGGACCCCCCGTCAGAAAAGGGGAAAATCCGGGTCCGAATCTTGGCAGTGATGTAGATGAAGGGCCAATCAAAATTCACACCCGGCGGGTCAAAATGGTTGAAACGCCGATTTGACTTGGCTTTGTGGGGAAAGGAAACTAAGGAAATTGCAGGGGCCTCGAAACTCCTCATCGATTTGTGCCAAGAACCCTAAGGCTCAAATCGAAGCTTCGCGTGCTTGGGTGCTTGGGTGCTTGGTTTCCCTCCTTCAATGCCACCAACTTAAAGCCGTGTGGGACAACTTGTTCCCTCCGCAAGATTGCGGTGACCTCAAACAGGAGCGCAACGTATCAGATTATCTTCAGGTTTGCAACGGCAGAGCCACGGCCCCCAATTCCACAGTAACCCCAAGCCTCTCTCCTTGGGACACCTTCCAGGACTCCCTTGACTAAGACCTACGGTGTGGTTCGGGCCCCGAAAGGGAGAAAGTTGTTTTGGACGTTGCGTCACTTGCCGAGAGCAAGGGTTTGCCTGTTTGTTCCCGTGCTAGTCAGAGGGAGCTTACTAGGAAACCTGCAATTCTTCTGTTGGGGGCAGACCTTGTCCCAGAGTCCTTTCGTGGGAAAGTACTGCAGTCGGACCATGCACGCACGGATCCCGGAGACAAGGCCCAGATATTCTTGAAATGGCTTGCACGAACTGTTCACCCTTGCAGGCTGAAATGTGCACTGGAATGCATTCCAGGGGCTTGACTGATCGCAGATGCGCCGAAGTTCACCCATGCCCGAAATATCGAACAAGCTTGCGTATGGGGGATTTGAGGTTGAATCATTCCCGCTTTGTTTCATTCATACGAAAGGCACGGACATTTCCCCTTGAGGCTTCAGAGTCAAGGGGAAAAGCGGGCGAGGAACTACCGCTATGCTCGCGGCCCGCTGCCATGTCCATCCCCTTCCAACCGGAGAACACTAACGCTTGCCACGCGTGCAACGTCAAGCCCCCCTTGAGTGAAGAAGGCCCCATTGCCATCACGCGCTTCTAGTACCTTTCTGTGCTACGGCCTCCGGTTTTATCGTTTGCGACACTTGCTCGGTTGCCTTGCATCTGCGCGTGACCGAGACCCACGAGGCGTCTCCATTGAGGTTGCCAAGAAAACCGAACGTGCAACGAAATGCCTCAGACCTGGTAAGCGGAACTGCTGCCGAGCCTCAAAACGTTCTAGTTAAGGGGCGACTTGGCATGGATGGGGCCAGGCTGGCTTCAGCTTGCTGCAAATCTGGGCTTTTTAGTGGAACCCATCCATTTGTCCCACGAAGACCTTGATGTGCTGATGTTCTCTTCTTCTTGAGCTTTAAGCCGCAAAGGAGAAGATGAAAGTGAACCTGGAGAACGTGCGCTTCCTCGGCACAGGCCGGACTCCCTTACTTGGGGCTCCATGTGTACCGCCTGGACCCAAGAAAATGGACGTCTTAAATAGCGGGGCGCTGCCATATCTTTGGTGATTAAAGCATTTTTCTTAAAACTTTTAGCAGGGGAGCAGAAAACCAGCGAGATAAAACATCGTCTTGCTTTGGCTTCCATGATTGTATGTTGTCTTTGCTCGGGGTGTCCCATGAGGATGCGCGACTCAAAAACAAGGCCAGATAAAGCTCAGGGGTCAAGATGGGTTCCGGTTGGGCTCAAGCAGAAGCCCATGCTCTACCCATGGTTGAGCCATGGCGGGTCTTCAAAAACATCGGCCAACGTGAGTGCTTCTCCAAATTCTGAGCCTTCTTTTGGTATTCAAAGAGGAAACTAAAGGGAACCCACATTTTTCGGGGGATTGCTGCGTACCTTGGGACCCCCCCATATTTGCAAGCCTACCCTTGGTTCGCAATATAGTCGATTGTGAACCAAAAGGCCATGATCTTTGGGCGAATTTGAGGGATCCCTCAGACCTTTTGGCTAAGTAAATGGCCTTTCCGTTACACCCACGACGCAAGGTGTAAGGAGCTTTTGCTCAGTGCGGCTTGGAGCAACCCAGAAAATGGTACCTTCTCCAATTTTATCCCATGGCAATTGCGCTAACTTCGCAGCCCTGGCGAAGACGCGAAGCCTGCACGGAGAAGCCCAACCTGGGCTTCCTTTTATTTCTGCCCAGCCGCCGTAAAGAACCTGTAGAAACAATATTGACAGAAGGGGGGCACCCCACAAGCATTCTCCGTATCAAAACCACCTCCCAAATGTTTGGAAACCGCTTCCTTTCGGTTTCCAAGTTGCGTTCCAAGTTCGACCTCCTTCATTCAACGTCTCCTTGGAGTGATTTCCAGAGGACAAAACCCAAGTAGTTCGATCACTCCCTCCCCTTGAATCGTTTCCAGGGGGCGCCTGGTGTCGCCTGGTCTGTTTCTGTCAGACCCCGGCGCACTCTACGCCCAGGCACTGACAATTTGTGGTAGGATTGTAACGTGCCCCGGTTTTCCAGGCTTATGACTTTCCCCCGTTTTTCCAGGTTTTTCACTTCTACCGCTTGGGAGGAGTCTCAAGATGGTGGTCCCCATTTCGGGTTGGTTTCTGCTGGGAAGTCGAAAAGACACCAGCTATGCTGCTAGGAGACCCCTGTTTTGAGAAACACCTACTGCGGGGGGCAAAATCCGTTCGCCCCACCTCAGAAACCCAACGGAATGATTCGATTCAACGCAAATACCAACAAACCTTGCAGTTTCCCCCATGGCTTCCTAAAACGTGGTGCGGTCGAAGGGATGTCGCCACGGACTCGACCACAACACGCTTTCGCTCCGATCGGAGGCTCGCGGATCGCAGACCTCAAAGACCTGCAGGCGATCGGAACGAGACAGGGGCTCCATGGATTCGTTTGTTTTGCTGGTCATGTTGACCCCATATCAATCAACCCCAGTTCGTTAATAGGGGGCTGCCCCGAAATTTAGGGTGAATCAAACCACGTTCGGAGGGGAATATGGGGTCGGCATTGCACTTTCTGGGGCAGGTCCCCGATTTTTCAAACAGCCATACCCATCCGTTCCCTGGTCAGTCACATCGCTTACGCCGTGACAGGTGAGTTTTCCTTTCGGGGTGGGGAACGAGTTCTCCTCGCGGGACGCGGTTGGAAGCCCATAGGAACCAACAGGCGCCCAGCACCCCAACAGGTGCCCAGCGGATTCGGGAGCCCTTGTGAACTGGGCCGAACAACGTGAACCTTGGGGAGGTAACCTCCTGAACAGAAGCCACCAAGAGGGCGAGGCAGGATGTCTTACGAAGATGGAGGCAGTTGAAAGGGCCAGGCTGGTTCTCATTTTTGTCAGTGCTTGTTTTGCTCACGGCGTGATTAGCGACCATGAGCTGTCACGCCACTTTTTGGGGTTGGGGGGGGGGTATTGGGGTGGGTGGTTGGGTGTTTTTAATCATGTTGACTTTGCATCAGCCAATGCAGACACACGCGCAGACAGACACACAGCATGCGCAAGCCGGCCGTGCGTGCCGGAACCTCTGTGCACACCCCGTCCTTGCGCACGCCGGGCATGCATAGTCCGCTTTTCTCGCTCAAACAGACTGACCGCACATAGATTGACGGACATACACCGAAGTGCAAGGACGTTTGTTGTATATGCAGGTTGCCTTGTCAGAGCCACCAGAACCCAACGGTTGCTATGGTCAACTTGCATTGGCTCGAGTCGACAAACATGTTCAAGCCACCAGATTCCTGCGTCAACTTGCATTGGCTTGAGCCGATAGACGTGTTCAACAGAAGAAGAAGAAGAAGAAGAAGAAGAAGAAGAAGCTCAGACAGGCGTAGTCTTCAACTTGTGTAGACAGAAGAGCCGCTCAGACAGGCAAGAACGGCAGCCGAAAAAAGTTAGCTGCGCGGGAAGAGTGGCAGCAAGTGTGCTGCGCGCTATTGGGAAAGGCAGAAAATAAGATAAAAGTGCTGCAAAATACAGCACGTGAGACAATGCCTCAATTTGCACTCTTGAAATCGCACGGGTAATTGCCATAGGTTTGGCTTTGACCGATTCAATGATGGTGTTGCGGGGCCCCACGGTTGCTAACGGCGCCGTGACCTTGTTTTTCCAAAAGGGCTTTAGGGGGAACAACCCGGCGCCAGTCCAAGGGTTGCCCAGTGACAATGTCTTGTTGACCTTGGAGACAGCCAGATCATCGCGAGACGGCAACCACAAGCAGTACTCTGTGGTCGATTTGGCAGGACATGGGGGAATTCACTACATTTCCCAAAAGCCAGGGGGTGCGCTAAATTTCGAATGCCTACTTGAAACAAGACTTCGGCTCATAGGGAAACCCAAAGGTTACTAGAAAGAAACCAAAAAGGTACCCACGAGGTTTTGGCAAGTTGAAGATTCGCAGATCAGTTTCCTCCATATCCGAAACTTGTTTCTAAGCTTGAAGCACTGCAAGCCCTTTAAACATATGGCAGGCGACACGAGTTTCCTTCTGCCTCCTGCTTTTCTAAAGCTTGGCCTTCCCTTGACCCCTTTCCCGTATGAAAAAATGCGATCCGCGACTCGAGCCGGAGGTGAGTGACCCAGCAAAGTGAGCAACATCACCCATAAAAGCAGTAACATCGCCCAGAACCTCCATACATCTGGGCGGTTCCCAGCCGTCCGTTCCTTGGATTTTTAGGCTTTGAGTTGGCTTAGCGGGGTTTCCGTATTGAACCAACGAGCTCCTCACTTTTAGCGGATCAGAAAATGGACCGCCCAGTTAAATCACGCCTATAGAATCATCCACTGTGCCCGTATTTTTTTTTGGCGAACATCACCCGCAAAGAAAAGGAGCGGACATCTCACCCATCAACTCCTTACCCGCAAGCGGCCACGGATCACCCAAAGCGGCAGTTGATGTGGCCCATCTCCAGTCGCCCGCGTTTTGGCGCGCCAGGTGATGGACTTCCCCCAGGCCCAGCTGTGCGAGCAGCTGGGCATCGAGGTGCACGGCATCTTGGGCCCGGTGGCCCCAGCGTCCCCCGTGCTGCCGGCGTCGAGACGGGTCCCAACCGGGTGGTTTGGTTTTTTGGTGGTTGTTTGGTGTAGTGGGTCGCAGGCATGCGGTTCCTGGGCTTTTTGTTTTTAAAGCTTTTTAGATCGTTTTCATGTGTTTTTTTGTGATTCTAGTGCTTTAGTGGTTGGATTTCCAAATTGAACTTACTAAAAGTTAAGCTTTTAGCAGGGGATCTGAGCACAGTTCCCCAAAACCGGGTTTAAGTCTACCTCTTGGGGTCAAAAGACACGGACTCCGACCACGCCGCTGAGGCGCGTTCTGGGCGCGAAGAAACCACAAGCTTCTGGCTGGGCAGCAAGCTGGTTGCTTCGGGTTCCCTGGAGTTCTCCCTAGAAACTTCGAACTTCGGCGAGAAATCGTCGCTGTCCTTGGTCTGTCTCTGGTCTTTGAGCCCAGAGGTTTTTGGCGGAGTTTCCATTCCCCTGGCCCAGAGTCGATTCGAAGGAAGGAGCTTCAGGTCTTTTTGCAGGTGGTGTGCGCCCGATAAAAAGCCGCAAGCAGCCTTTGCCAAAGGTCATTTCAGCTTTTTGCCCGGTTGGTTTACGAGGAACACCACAGGGAATGCATACATTTAGGCCGTCCTCTATTGGGTATGTGCTTTAAGAGCAGCAACTTTGGAAGGGGTGTATCTTGAGCCCGTTTTGCGTGGCCACGCCCGCATTTCGCGAGCGTGAAGCGAAGCTCTGCAGCTGACTGAGGCATGCCCTTCTTCGAGGAGTACGATCTGGCGCCCAGCTCAAAGAGGGACGGATGAAAAGGCAAACGTGAGGGGTGTGGCTTTTTTTATTGAGGGGACCCCCCCGCGCGCCCCCCACATGTTTTTGAGGGGCCCCCAAAATGGAGGTTCTCCTTCCAACCAAAAAACAAAGGGCACCAACTCCAAAAGACCACTAGGGAAAAGGCAGCTTCCCTTCTTCCACAGCTGTTTTTTGGTAAGCAAATGGCTTCTCTATTACAGTAAGGCTACCCTCCCGTCCACTAACATGGAGCCTGACTGAGGGAACCTGTAAGACTACTTTCCATGCAAGTGAAAGTTGGGGGCTTGGGTTCCCACAATGGGAACGTGCTGTACCCCGTATCCCCTGTCATATACTTCTGAGCAATTTATACAGTCTACGCATTACAAATAATGTGTGGGTATCATATATATATATATATATATATACATATACATATACATACCTGTATGCATGCTTGGGGCGCTGCTTTCCCTATACTCAGTTACGCCCGACCAAACCACCTGATCACTTGTTGCCATTGGGAACTACTTACGGCCCTGGCATGCCCGTATCAACTCCCTAACTGGATGTGCCGCAATTTGTAGGCGGTCTCAGCAACTCGTCCCCTTCGGGTGTTCAAATTCAAGTCAACTGATGAACCAAAACTAGACCAACTGCAAGAAGGTGAAATTCGGCTGATGCTTTGTTGAGTGTCCTGGTGGCTTCTCCAAGGGGCTTGAAGGAGATATTGCCGTTTGCAACAGGTGCAACAAGCAGAGTTACATCCTTACATCCCGGTCTTGGGGAACAACTTTGTGCACCATGTCGCACACAAGGGCATGCATTTGGGGCATGTACACTGCCACGTGGAAATGTTTGACGGGACAGCAACGGGAAGCTTGAAGAGGAGTGGTGCTCAATCGCGACCCATATCAGGGAAGGGCAGAGATTTGCTTAGACACGATTTCTGAGAGCTTTGTTTCGCAAGAAGTACCAGAGTTTCCAAGTGAGGCTCCACGCACATGCTTGTCCAGAACATGTCCAACACGTTGGGCACGGTCTGGCTGCCTGCTATAGTTTGCACTTTGCCGGCTATTGGCTCATGAAAGACATGGGATCACCGCTGAAAGCCCTTCCCATTTTGCAACCAACCCACTGGGAAAAACAAAAAAAAACCCAACACCCTGCAAATTTGAACGGGCCGAAGAAGAAGAGCCAACTTTTCGGGGGGCAGATCCCTTTTTGGGGTTCCTTCCGGTGAACTTCTCGAGGAAAACCAAAAAACGCCGCCCGGGAGCCCGGTTTTGGGGCGGGGGCCTCCCGGCTCGCTTTATCTCAGTGGGTCAAGAATTAGTAAATGGCTTGCCCGGGCAAATGGCTTGCCGTGGTCTAAAAGCTGCGGTCTCCCGGTGATTTCCTTTTGACCCCATACCCACCAGAGTTCTCACCCAAAGGTTCCTGAAGAAACCCTTCCCAGGAGATGTCGAGGGGTCTTGGGGTTCTTTCCCGTGCCCTCAGGATCTGGACCGCTACCGGGCGCGGGCGGAGCTCTACCTGCCGGGAAACGCGGCCTCGCAAGGCGCGGAAGACCCGGGGAAGAGGAGCCCGGACGTTTTTTTGGGGGGGCCATGGGGGGCATAAGCTATGGCGATCCCGTTTTGGGGTGGATGAACATCCATTTGCCACCTATTTTGATGTTCACCAGGGGTACTGGGTTTTGACCCACGGCCATGTGTATAGCGGTTGGTTCACTGGTATGGTTGGATGGGAACAAACTGCTTCGGCATCACAGATCTCGGGTGTGTTCTTTTTCAGGAATCCCCCTAAAATGGTGGTGTTCCTTTTGGTTTCGCTTTAAACACAACTACAACAAGATCCCCACACCTTCAGCTTGCCAGCAATTGGTGGCTTGGATGGGTGGCTTGCTGGTTTTGCGGTTAGGGATTGACCTCTACACGAACAAGGGGTTGCACTCCCCAGACCACCAATCCAAACCACCAATCACCCTCCCCACCAAGTACTCAGTTGTTCAAAGCCGACCTTTTGACCTTTTGGTTTTCCCATTTTGGTCCATATTTAGTCATGGCCCCAAAAGGTTAACCTTTCAGTTGCAGGTCCTTTGGGCAACTGAAAGTAACTTGGAACCTGCACAGGAACCATTTTTCGCAGGAACATGGTCTTCAAGGAGCTTCGCAGGTTCTACTGTGGATGGACGAAATCCATTTCGCACCACCTACTGTAAGCACCCCCTAAATGATTCTTGTCCCTTTGCAGATACCAACTAAAATGGTTTCAACCATGGATTCAAAGTGGCGCGAAATGGATTTTGTTCATCCACAGTAGAACCTGCAAAACTCCTTGAAGATCATGTTGCTGCGAAAAATGGTTCCTGGTTCCATGTGGTGTGGATGGATGGTTTGGAGAATGCAACCCTTGTTCGTGTAGAGGTAAATCCGTAAGCACCAAACCAGCAAACCACCAACCCAAACCACCAATTGCTGGGAAGCTGAAGGTGTGGGTATCTTGTTGTCGTTGTCGTTGAAGGATGTTGTGGGGTAAGGGTTTTCCAAGACCTCGAGGCTTCTACAGCGGGGTGAAGCACCTGCCGGGCATCGAGCTGCCGCAGAAGAACCTGGGCCTGGCGGTGAAGGGCATGGCCGTGGATGAGGCGAAGACGTTTTCACACTAACTCGCGGTCCACGGGATTCCCCCCAGGTCAAAGGTTGCAGTTGGCCGCGGGGTCCAACCAAAACTACCCACTTTTGTGGAGGTCTTAAAAAGGGAAGTTGAGGGACCCCTGACCTCGCATGCGTCACCTTGGTTTTTGTTTCTCCCCAGTGTTTCTTGTTTTTGTTTTAGAATTATTATTTCTTTGGGGGGGGAACCTCTTGGATGCGTCTGTGCTTTAGATGCATGGCTTCCCTTCAAGACCACAAGCAAGGGGTAGCCTCAAAAATACTTTCTACTTCGAACCGCCCACTCAGAAGTCTGCTTGACCTAAGCTAAGCTAGTCAGCTGGTTGAACACGGATTCCACCGGTTCGATCTTCACTTGCTCCCAGGATTTGTTTTTACCTGTGAAGACTTAGGTCCCAATTCTCACGTTTGCCACAAGTTTCTCGCGGTTGGCGGGAGCAGAAAGAAAAGTTGGCACAATCTCTGCGGTTCTTGGCATGTGGGGTTGGGTTGGAAGTTTTGTGGGGGGGTTTTGTGGTTTGTGGGGTTGGCGAGTTGGGGGGTTGGGGGGTTGGGGCAAGCGGCAGGCAGCAGGGGGCAAAGTGTGTTTGTTGACCGCTCGCTTCCACTTCGAGTTGGACTTTAGCCTTTGTGGCAAGACCGCAAAATGGTGGCTAGCCCATCCACGCAGCAAGAGAAGGGCGAGAAAGCCATAGTCTTGGCATGACAGGAGCATTGTTTCCCGTGAGACCCATGACACGCCCCAGAGGCAAGCCAGTTTCGCGCATGAACCTGTCGGCTTCTCTTCCAAGAGATGTTGTAACATGAATCAAAGCGCACGGAATCCCTCTTCGACCCGTTCAAACTCTCAAACTGATTCTTGTTCGGGTAGTCTGAATTGGTGGTTTGGACGCGTGGTTTCGGGATTTGACCCCCCGGCTCTTGTAGCCTTCCATAGCACGAATCAGTCTAGGCAATTTAGAGCGAGGTCAGCCGAGGTGCGAGGTGGAGCAAATATTTTACGCGAGGCGAGTTAACTAAATTCAGAACAACGAGGTGCACACGTAGATGCAGCAGGAGAGGGTCCCACAGCAGGAAAAAACTGTTCAGGGCCTGAAAAGTTATTTTATACGGTCAGAGGTGATTGTTGGGGAAAATAACTTTTTGAGCCCTGCAAAGTTTTTTTTGCTCATAGTCTTCCCGTAGCCCTCCCGTAGCCTTCCCGTAGCCTTCCCGTAGCCTTCCCGTAGCCTTCCCGCCTTCCCAAAGCACCCCTAGTCTCATTGTTTCCGGCAACCCCTCAGCAAAGCCTTTGACACAACAAAGGCCAGCCACTTGCCTTTGGCCAGGGTCACATGGAAAGATATTCTGACATTGCTGTCATTTGGGATCCAGCGGCAACCGGACATGCAACGGATCCTTTCCAAGGTGTGTTTGGAGTGGGGAGCAAACGGAACGAAATTTCTGGAAATGGCATAGCGGCGGAAAAGTGAATAGTTTTGAGAGCTAAATTCAATGAACCATACTGCATTGCATATTGTATTCCATGTATATGGCAGACTTGTATTGGACATTGTATTGGTGTTTGCGAGCTGGGGCTGCCAAAGTTTCCTGTAGCGCACTTGTACTGGGACGCGGCGTTGTTGTTGGCAAGCTTGGGGCTGCCAAAGCGCAAAATAAATTTTCAGGGCTTGTAAAGTTGTTCTTCAGCACTCCAGGCAGCTATCCGGGGCTGCCAGCCCTCAGAATGGAAATAAGCGACCCTGCAGGCAGCTAGCGGCCGCAAACGTGCAAAGTAAACTTTTCGGAGCTTGAAAAGTTTTTCATCGCCTCCAACGGCTATCCGCGTTCTGGACTCGTACTACAAAATTGTGATCTTCGTGCTGGAGCTGCGGAAGCGTACTTTTTTGTACTTGGCTTGTACTACGAGTCGTGGAAGCGCGCTTCTTGCACTAGGCTTGTGCTACAAAATTGATTTTCGCGCTGGAGCTGCGGAAGCGTACTTTTTTGTACTTGGCTTGTACTACGAGTCGTGGAAGCGCGCTTCTTGCACTAGGTTTGTGCTACAAAATTGAGTTTTTCGAGCTGGAGCTGTGGAAGTGTGCTGGAACGTGGCATTGGTGTTGGAAGGCTCGGGGCTGCCAAAGCGCAAAATAAACTTTTAGGAGCCTGAGAAGTTTTTCAGCACTTTAGGCAACTATCCGCGTGCTAGACTTGTAGTACAAAGTTACGATGTGACGAGGGATTTAGCGAGGTGACGAGGTGACGAGGTGACCGCGGATTTAACGAGGCGAGGCGCACACTCCAAAACCTTATTTAGCAACGAGGTGACAAGGTAAGATTTATTGCAAATTGCCTAGATCAGTGAGAAGCTGATTTGGGGCATCTTCCTTAACGAGTCCTTCGGCAGGTCGGCCACTGGTTTGTGCCAATTCACTTGGTGAATGCTTCAGATCAGGTTCCGATCCACTCCGAAGGATCGACCCAAACCGAGGGGGATTTTTTTTGGGGTCTTCAATGGGGCTTTGTTGTGTGAGACTTCTCGGAAGTAGATCTCTTTTTTTTGTGTGAGGCTTCATGGAAACCAGAACATAATTGCTTAGTGCTTAGGGGACAAAGTGTTTGTGACATGGTTGGGGTCACATTTTTCTGATGTTGGGATCCTTATTGGACATTGCTAAAAGTGTCGGGCATTCCTATTGGTCTGAACGACGGCTCCCTGGTGGTCTATTGTCAGTTCGGGCGGCCTTCCACAGAAAAGGGGGCCCGTCCCGAAACCTTCGATCGACCTGAACTGGCCTTTTGCTTCACCCGTTTTGGTTCCAAACATTTTCAGAGGCACCAAAAGGTGAGTTTCTCCATCTTTTTGGTCAATTCTTATTGGCCAAAAGCGATCACCTTTCCTTTCATCTCTGGGTCCAACTTTTTGTTTCGTCCAAACCGGCTGAGTCATAGGTGTTTTTTGGTGTTTTTTTTTTTGGGGTAGGGGTTCCATAGGTCCATTTATTTGTCTGAACGCCCCCCCAAAAAAACAAACCAAACGGTGGTGTTCCTTTTGGTTTGCCTTGAAACCGGGGCTGTGGGAAATGACAACTTCTGTGATACAACAAAAAGGGCCTCCCAAAGACCAACTCCCCATTTTGCTCGATGGAATTCCTAAAAGTATCACAGTGGTTGGATAGACCTCGAGTGATCAAAAGCCAATCAAGGAGAACAATTTTGAGGGTTCCCCCTGGCCATGCAGGGCTCCATTTTGCGACCACCACCCAATTTTGGACAAAATGTCTGTTAAAAAAGATCTGACATGGAAGACAGGGTTCACTGATTGTCCTTGGAAACCAAAACTGGCACCAACCAAAGACACACACAAACACAACCACCACCACAACCCCAAACACAACCACAACCCCAACCCCCTGCCCCTAGCTTCTTTCGAGGCCGAGGAGGACCCCAAGGCCTTCATCGGCTTAGTGGACACCAGCGCCGCCCACACGGCCGGGGCTGAAAAACCGGGCGGTTCAGTTCCAAGCGGGTCGGGGGTCCCCCCAAAATGATGTGTCTTTTGTTAGCGGACCCCCCAAAGAGGAATTGAATAAACAAGCAAACACGTGAGTCCATAGATAGATAGATAAGTGAATAAGTAAATTAATGAATGAATGAATGAAGGAAGGAAGGAAGGAAGGAAGGAAGGAATGAACTAATATTATATGAACTAATGAAATGAAATGACATGAAATGGAATGGAATGAAATGAATGAATGATTGAATGAATGAATGAATGAGTGAGTGAGTGAGTGAATGAATGAATGAATGAATGAATGAATGAATGAATGAATGAATGAATGAATGAATGAATGAATGACTAAATGTAAAAATACTACATATAGCACATACATAAATCAATTAATCAATAAACAACGTAACTTCTTTTTTCTTTTTTTAAAGAAATAATAATTTCCTGGATAAGTAACTGCATTCAAAACCATATCCTCGAGCCCTCCTTTTTGCAACTCACTGTGTTTTTTTTGGAATGCGGGTTACCCATTTGGTACCCAAGGGAGCCACACTAATAAGGGCTGGCTGCGATCCTTTTTTTATGGGGCCCTGTGCATGTCAGTTCTTTCATTGCACCTTATTTGGGCGGTCCTTTTAACTCGGGGGGCCAACACTGATCGGTGGTTCCTTTGGTTTCCCTTCACCAACCAACGCGGGCTCCCCCACATTGATTGATTACCAGGTATGCGGTACCCCTATGGGTTTTCTACACCACCGAATTCGGCTCCAAACCAAGTGGAAGGAAGCTTTTTCAGGGTGCCGTTTCTGAGATTCCAACATGGATTTCGTTTTACCTCTTGGTTTCCCTTGTAAAAACCCTGCTAACATAGCCTCTGGGCGAGTTCCTGACAGATCCAGTTTCCTCTCAGGGAGTGGGGGTGCTTGTGGGGTACCAACTTGATTCCCCAAAAAGGATTATTTTTCCAACAACCCGGACAAAACAGTTGCAAGTGCAATGTGTAACATGAACCATGCTTGTTTTGATCGCTTTGCCAAGATGAATTTCTCTCTTCTTTTTGGATTCCCTTGCGTGGTCAAGCCCTCACACCTCAGAATGGCGACCTTGATCAAGAGGCTAGGCAGTTCCGGAGACGTTGGCCCGAACAACTACGTTGGGTGTTGCCAACTCAAGACCACTCAACTCCCTTGATAAATCCACCCACCAACACTTGCCACCTTCTTCCTTGTGGATACGTTAAACACCCACCAACACCACGCTTCCAGTATTTTAACACCCACCAAACGCCACAAAGGCTTCCAACCTTTCCCCTCCACCCTCCACCTGGCCCCCCTCCACCCTCCCCCGGCGCCTTTTCCACCCTTCCCCCCCCCGCCCCCACCCCATCGAATCCGAGTCGAGTCCCGACATCGACTCCGAGATCGAGTCCGAGATGGCTGTGGGTCAAAACCAATGGTATTATTTTGGGGTAGCTGCACCACCCATTTTAGAACCGATTTTAGTGGTTGGATTGAATCGGATGTTCACTGGGGGTACGATTTGGGTTTTGACCCATGGCCAGATGGCAGGTGGTGAACTGGGAGGCGGCGAAGCTTCTGGGCTTCGATGGCCCGGAGGACGGCCGCCTCGTCCAGGCCGCCAAGGCGCCGAAGCGGCGGCTGGGCGCCGGCGGGTTTTGGGGTAAAAGGTGGGGGTGGGGGGGGGGGTGGGTTGAGGGGGTTGAGGGGGTTGAGAGGGGTTGGGGGAAAAGAAAGTGGCGTTGGACTGCGGGGTGCGGTTCGAAGTGCGAGTAAAATAGGGGTCCCTGGCCATGGGTGGTGTCCTTGGGGTTGGTTAGTTTGGTGGTTGGAAATAGATGGGTTTCATTGGTTTAGATGCGCTGAGTGGTGTTGATCGGTGAGCTTGGTTGACAGATGGGGTTCCACTGGTTTAGATTGGTTCTATTCCAAAAGGACGCCTATCCCATGTTTTTTTTGGTGGTTTTTTGAATGTTCGCCTTCTCACTTGCAACCAAAGCGAATCGACCTGACATTGGGTTTCCCCTTTTTGGCACTCAATTTTTTGCGGCCCCAAAAGGTGATCACCTTTGATTCCTGAGGGACCAGGAACCGAGTGGCGGCTGGAACCGGTGCCAGGTGCTCGCAGCTTCTGCGGATGGCAGCGCCGAGGACCTCTGCGAAAACGCGAGCCGTCGGGCTGTCCACCTTTGTTTTCGCGGAGCGGGAGACAAAAATGCGAAGGGGAGACAGAATCCCCCCCAGAGAAGGCTTGGGCAAGAAGTTTGTTTTTTTCTTTTCAATCAGGCAGGGTTGGGCAACACGTTGGTTTAGTAAGAACAACCAGCCCACGGCGCCTTTATTTGCGGATTCATGGCTAAACAGCGGGGCCAAGAACAGAAGTTGTACGGGAACAGGAATGCCCCCTCTTTTTTTTGGCGCTCGCTGGTTGCTTGGGGAGAATGGTTCCGTGTGTTTTGTTTTGGGGGGGCAACACGCCCCGGGTGGTTTCCCTCGGGGTTATTTCCACAAACTTGAAGGGAGCCACGGAGACCAAAGTCTTTTATTCGTCCCCCCCCCCCCGCGAGCAAGGGGTTTGTTCTCATTGGAAAGTCCCACAAAATTGGCTGTTCTCCTTTTGGCTTCCCTTTGAAACTAAAGGGAATTCTCAAATTATGGACACGCCAGTTTCGATATGCCGCCCCTCAAAGTGCCAGATCACAATTCACTGCTCTTTGCACGTCGTTTAGTTGTTTAGGTTTTGTCAAGTCCTGCTTGCTGGGGGGGAGGGGGCCGGGAAAAATACGCAGGTTTATTTTATGTATGTTTTCTTTTTTTTCTCTCTTGTTCCTTTTTGTTTGTTTGTTTGTTTGTTTGTTTGTTTGTTTGTTTCTTTTTTGGGGGAGACCCCTGCAAACCCGCATGGAGAGTTCGTTTTGAGGACGGCACTTTGCGGACGGATCCTCTTTGGAGCGCGAATCATCCAACTTGACTGAACGACCGCACCAGGAATCTTTCAGAGCATCCCAGGTGGTAACCTCAACCGCAAAAGGCGCCTGTCAGGAAACCTTTCGTGGGCGCTTCGGATTGGTTTGGGGAGTACCCTTGGCTCTTGTGCAGGGTAAATGGGGAAACCCCCACCGTAAGCACCACCAATTCAAAGCAGCCAACAAAACTTCCCCCTCCGTAATCACCACACCACCAATTCAGAGCACCGAATGAGCGGGAGGCGGATCCCGCTTTTTCCCGGCGCAATCCGCTCGAAAGCTTCGGAGCTTCAGGGCTCACGCGGCAACCGCCAGGCAGTCTTTTGGTTCCGAACCCTGACGCCGGAGAAAGTGAGAAGCTGATTTGAGAGCTGAGAGCATCCCAAATTTGAGTCGTTTTTTTGGTTCGGATTTTGTTTTGAGAAGCTGATTTGAGAAAGCGAGTAGGTTGACGCCGCATCTCAAATCAGCTTCCCTCAATTCGTGGAGCCGAATCGGTTTGGAGGTGTTCCGGTGGTGTCCCATTTATCCTCTACGAGAGCCAGGATTAAGATCCCCAAACCACCAATCCAAACCACCAATGCAAACCACCAATGCAAACCACAAATTGAGGGTTCGAGAGCCAGGACTAAGATCCCCAAACCACCAATCCAAACCACAAATTGAGGGTTACCTTGTCAACATGTGGTTTCTTCTCAACATGTAAAACACATGCCGCTTCGCTGTTTCTTTCCATATTGTTGGGTGGTTTATAGTCTTTGGTTTCGGATCATGTTTTGGCAGGCTGCAACAAAAACACAGCTTTTGCTCACATGGTCCCAGGAAACTATTGGTTGCCCTTGCGCTTGTTTTCCAAATGATTTTAGCCCGCCTCCCAACCCCCAAAAAAGCAAATAGGGGTTTCTCAACACGGCGGACCCCTCTTCGCACGCTTCTTACAGAAGAACCAAAAGGAACAAGGTCATTTGGGGCTCCCCTATTTTGAGAAACACCCATGTGTTTTTCATGGCCCCTAAAAGAATCGACAGAATGGGGGTTAATTGGTGGTCTGCATTGGCGGTTTGCTGATTTGAACCCTTGGTTCTAGAGGATACATGGGGTTTGCCCCTGCACTTCACCAGCAAACCACCAATCCAAAGCACCAATCGGAGGCATGGTTGTTGTTGGGAAACATTTTACATTTGTGCTTATTGTGGTTTAGTGGTTGAAATCCAACCACTTAACTGCTAAAATATTAGAATTGTTGCTCCCCTTCCAACGTCAACCAAGGAGGGAAGCTGAGGGCTGGTCGTCGTTTTTTGTTTTGTTTCCAGCCTTCCGCGAACGGAGCGAAAGGAGATGCCGGTGGCATTGGTCCGGCTCAGCCTGTGCAGCGCGCCGGAGGGAGCCGCTTGGATGCGTCGAAGCGAGCGGCGAAGCCGACGTGCGGGGTGGAGTCTAGGTCCCCCCAGCAATTGGTGCGCTTTCTGACTGTTCCTTTTTTGGTTGGGAGGGTTTCCCCTAGTAAAATAGACACAGAAGAAAATTGGGTACCCTTATTCTAACCCCTCTACTGGAGGACCTAGGAGTAGAATTTGTGGTTTGGGTTGGTGGTTTGGACGTTCGGGGGCTGCCTTCCCCGTTTGGTTTCAAAAAGATACTGGGGTTCAAGTCCTAAGCCAATCCAACCGCCAATGAAGGGGTAGCTGAGTGGGTGCTTGCGAGCTCTTCTTGTATGGAACTTGAAAGGGAGGATTTGAAGGTCTCAAAATTCCTGAATTCAGGTTGGTGAAGCAATTGCTTGGTGCAGAAGTTATATGAAGCCACGGCCATTTTACGCGCCAGAGTGGTTGGCGCCCAAAAGTCAATGATGAACGATTACTTAGCCTCATTGAAAGCAACAAGCAGGCGGCGCCCGAAAAGTTGGTGAAACCTGAGGCGAAGTCTTTGGTTGCCATTCGCGGGCCTTCTCAAAGTGTAGGGTTCCTCTTCGATTCGAGGCTTGCCCACAAGCTTCTAAGCTTTTGGTGGCGATGGTGACAGCACTGAAGCAGTCGAATTCCTCAGAGGCGACAAGAGTGCACCCCCCCAAATGGATTATCAGGTTTCCGAACTACACGCGCCCACATCAACAAGGCTCCGATGCAGTCAGCGGCAGACACAGTCGGTGATCTCTGTTTCTCGCACACGTTTTTCTAGAGCATCATATGGGCGTGTCTTAAAAGTGGGCTACCCGAGAAATGGTCAGTTTCCTTTTCGTTTCCTTTCAGTTTCCTTTCAGTTTCCTTTCAGTGTCCTTTCAGTTTCCTTTCAGTTTCCTTTCAGTTTCCTTTTGGTTTCCATGGAAAGAAGAGTATCCTCAAAAACAAATGAAGGTCCACGCAAAAACAAAAACAGCTCTGGCACAAAACAATGGTAAACGTCTAACATCCGGACCTGTTTGCCTCGGCTTTTGTCTGTCTTCCGTACTCAAAGTTTTGAAGGTATCACGCTGCAGCTGACCATGCAAGAAGCACATAAAAGGACTTGTTAAGCGCGTTCCATGGTTCCAAATGTGGACGCGCTAAGCCTGCAAGCATCACACGCATGGCCTGGCACAACTTTGCGAGCCTGCTGTGCAATCCCACCCCACCCCACCCCAGGCCCCGCCCCGCCCCGCCCCAACCCGCCCCGCCCCGCCCCGCCCGCCCTGCCCCAGGCCTCGTCCTGGCCACGTTTCTTCATGAGCGACATGAGCTGCACATGTTTTTGTCCTTTTTGCCATGTTTCTGGTACCCGCGCCTTGTTCACAATGCCAAGAGCAGAAAGAATAAGATGAACAAACACAACATGATACGGCGTGGGGGCTCCTCCAGGCTCGGGTACCAAAACCAAAAAAATAACCCATCTCCTTTTGGATTCTTCTCTAAAGGAATGGGCGGGGAAGCCTCTTGCTTCTGTACCGGGCTGGAAAGGCCAAAGGATGTCGCGAGCAATTGAATGGGGCATTACTTATGTTGAGCAAAGAGTGATCTTAGTTGGCAAACTGGATGCTAAATGGCATGTATTTTGTTTGTTTACCCAAAGGGAAACCTAAGGGGATGGGCTATTGTTCAATTTTTCCAGACCCGAATCAACAGCCCGCAAGCTGCCAACATTGTTTCGAGCTGGCTCCCAGTGTCAAATTTGTGGCATTTTTTCCTTCTGGAGCCCACTCTTCTTCTTCATTTCAGACGTGAATGTGTGCCAGCTTCCTTCCCCCCCACCCCCTTCGCTCCCTCCCTTCCCCCCCTCCCTTCCCCCCCCCTCCCTTCCCCCCCCCCTTCCCCCCTTCCCCCCCTTCCCCCTTCCCCACTTCCCCCCCTCCACTCCCCCCGGGTGAAATGGGACTCAGCTGCCCTTGGGCTGGGGATGCCACAGGTCAAGCCCATGGTCCAGTCGGTCTCCAAGGCGGGTCGGCGAGCTGTCGCGCTCGCTCGCTTCGCGCTTCGGCGGGCTTCGCCTCTTCGCTGGTCGGGGCTTTCGTCGGGGTTGTGGGTGGCATCTTCGGAGCGAAAACCCTCCCACCCGTTTCACATGGAACCGTTCTTTCGGGGAGTCGGTCCTGGTTTGGACGGACGGATCAGTTTCCTTTCAAAGGGACAGGGTCCCGAACGTCGAACGGTTCCATGTGAAAAGGGCGGGAGTTTCCTTTTGGCGTCCCGTTTAAAAACAAAAAAAAAAAAAACACCAGACAAGGGCGTTAAGACCAACAAACAAGAACTTCCAACTCCAAAAACGACATCCTATTTCACCAACAGGACTCCATTGCTTGCACCACCGTTCAGAAGCGGTTTCTGGTTCGATTCCCCGACGTGAATCAGGAACTGGTCGTGGATTCCACCATGGTGTCAAGTTTCAGGATTTTGTCCATCCACAGTAGGGATCCCGTTCGGGTATTTGAAGGGACACCAACAATTTGACCCCGGCCATGTTGGCTTAGTTTAAGCCAAGAATTGACCAGTTTTCGTACCTCATGCGGATGTCGGCTTTTAGCGCAAGGCCCGAGGATCAACATGCGCCCAGGATGCGCAGGTCTAGCTTCTGAGGGAGTCTAAAAAAATCTACCTAACCTAACCACACGAAGGAACCCGCTAAGCCGTGGCTGCTTGAAAGCCCTCCAGGAAGCAGGCAATCGCTTGGCACCCGTGCATGGCCAGTTCTAGCGGATTGGGCCCGGGGTTTGGAACAGCGATGTTTTCTTTGGCGCATTTTGCCGAGGGATGTTGGGACTTTTAAACTTTTTGCCAGCTCATGGAGGTTTTCCTGAATTAAACCACTAAAAGTTAAAAAGACTTTGGCAGGGGAGCAGAAAGCAACCGAGTTTTAGTGTGGTGACTTTTAGGGGGGGACCTGGTAGGCCTCCTCCCGAAACAAGGCCGAGCCACCTCCAGATTCCATTCCTCTGGTGGGGATGGGCGGGTGTGCCTGGCCCTAACTGGGAGCTTGCCCCCCAACGAACTGTCGCAAGTTGGAGGACCATTTTAGTTGATCCAAGTTTCCATCATCCACTGTTGGGGGCAGGGTCCAACCCCTAACATCAAGAAGTGCAGGCCCAGGCCCACGGCCAGGGCCCATGCCTCGACTTCCTGCGGCCTCTAGGGAAACCAAGCGGGTTGCGGGCATACCCTGTTCGTCTCAGACCAAAACGGGGGAAGACGGCATGAACCCATGGCAAGATCCGAGCTCAAGCGATGTGGTGCCGTTTTTGCCATGTCTTTGAGAATTTGGACGAGCTTGGTGCTGCTTTGGTACCACTGCCAGGCTCAAGCAATCCTTTTGCCTTTTGCACTTGTTTCTTCATCTTCCTGTTTAGCCAGCAAATAGGTAAAGTTGGATGAAAGCACATGGCACATTTGGTTTGGTCAGCCCCTTCTGGTGGAGCTTTTTGCGGCCTGGCGAGGTACAGTCAAGGCCACAAGAGCCAACTCAGACCTGGTGCACTTGATCCACCCGCGCAATGCCTCGGCTGTGATTCAAATGCAATGCTTCAGACAGAGAGATGGCGGCGCGAAGGGAACGACAGAGGAGTTGGATGCTTTTCGAACCCAAGAAAGCCATGTGCCGTGCCGTTCCGGGCTTGGAAGTGCTGGGTGCTTCTTTAGCCCACTGGGAAACTGTTGAGTTTTTAGCCCACGTTTTTTTGTTACTTAACAAAGGAAAAACACATTTTTTGCCCACTGCAGGGGCCTTGCTGGGTTGGAAGTGCTGGGCGATTTTCCACCAGGCAAACCTAACCATTGGGTGAGGCTCAGCCCTTGGCCGCACGCGTTGACAGGAGGCGGCAACGACGAAGCCCGGTGTCTCATCAGCGCAGCTTCGAGACATATGATTCTTCCAAGCTGCACTGGAGACAACATCACGAATTTCCAGTCAAGTGATGGAAACTCCACCGTTATTGGTTGCGTGTGTGCTTGCTTATTACATTTTAGGTTGTTTCCGCTTCTGCTTTTTGTGGCAAGTGCTTGAAGCAAACGACTCTTTTTCCGCTGAGCTGTGCCCCACAGGAAACTGGGCTCTCCTCCTATATTCTTTATATGTCCAGCTTGACCAAAGTAAAATCTGACAATACGATGCGTCAAAATATGGGGACCCCCCAAGTGAGTTTCCCCTTTGGTTCGGCACTAACACCCCAAGGGGCACCGAGCCTCGCTTTACCCCGAACCCAGGATCGGATCTGCGACACTACGCGTATCCAGCCCAGCTGAGACTCTCGGATGTCCTGTGGGTCCATTTGCCTGGATCCATGGATGCATCGCTGGACTCATCGGAGTTGATGGCTTCTCGACTTGGTTTGGTGCTTCCTTTTCTTTCCACGTTTGCTTTTGTATGTTTCTCACTTGTCGTCGTTGTGTTTGTTGTTGTTTGTTTGTTTGTTTGTTTGTTTGTTTGTTTGTTTGTTTGTTTGTTTGTTTGTTTGTTTGTTTGTTTCTTTGTTTGCTTGTTTGTTTGTTTGTTTGTTTGTTTGTTTGTTTGCTTGCCTGTGTCCCTTTCAACCATCAAGTTTGCTCGCTTTGTGCAGGTTCACGGCTTGCCTTTTCAACCTTCGGCCCTCCTTCCAGTTCCCTTTTCCAGGATTTCCTGCCACTTTGTGACCAGGATTTCGTGCCAGCTTGTTTTTTCCGGCGGTTTTCCCTGAGTTTCCTATCGTGGCAGCTGGAAGCACGAGGACATGTGAACTTTTTGGGGCTCTCGCCAGCCCAGGGCTCTCGACCCAAGATCCATCGGATCGTTTTGTCCTATGACAACGTGGTTGCCGTGGAAAGCGAGTACTGCTTGAAGCCGGAGGTCGCCTCCCTGGTGGAGTACATCGAGTCAGATGTCAATGAGACTTTGGCGCATTTTGCTTGGATGTTAGGACTTTCACTTTTTGCCAACGAATGGGTTTTCCATTAAACCACGAAAAGTTAAACTTTTAGCAGGGGGGCAGAAAGCATCCGAGGAAACTAAGAATGAATGCTGGTGGGCTGTGCGCTACCAAATCGTCACCGGCCGGGTCTGGAAGAGTGGCTGGGTGACACAAATCAACCTTACTCTTTGTTCGAGTTGCCTGAAGGCGGATGGACTTGCCTGTTGTGTTTTTCCCCGATCCCCCCCCTCCCCCCCCGCGGGTGGATCCAGTTGCCCTTATAGGCAACCAGGGAAACCCATCCATGGTTAAAAACGCCCTTTGAGATGCCGAGGTGATTTGAATTTGTCTCTCAAGCAGGGGGTCTCTTCCAGAACCATGTTGTATTCTAGACTAACCGCAATATGAAACAGAACCTGAGGATAGTTTTTTCTGTGTCGTCCAGATAGGCAAGTGTTCTTGGGCATCATGTCAAAGAGAATCTGAGGATTTGTTTGTCCAGATACTTGGGCACCCAGGTAGTAATTCCAACGCGACCATTCGAGATGCCATCGACACCATCCGCATCGGTGATGGCTTCCACCTTGGAACCGATGGTATTGAGAATCGGCTTCTGAGGCGCGGGGCATCGGAGGAAAACCTGAGTTTTGCCACCTTTTTGGGTACGTCGGTGAAGGCGTTCCTGTGGTTCCTTAGATTCAACGTGGTTTTTGCCTTTGCCATTGGCTCCCCTGCGCCCAATGTTAAACGAACAAACTTGTCGCGGGCGCCTGCAGGTTGGGATTTTCAAGCAAAAAGGGGCTTACCCAACTCATCAAGGCGGGTTCTCAGAATTGGCCCTTTTCGGTTTTTCCTTTGACAGCCGGCACCGAAACGGGCCCCTGTGAAGAGGGACGAGGGAACAAAGGGCCCCCGGCAATTGTTGTGGCTGACTCTATGCCAAAAGTCCAAGGCGGCTCCTTGGTTTTTCTTTCCCACGCTCACCGGGGCCCAAATTTTAGCGACCTTTGACTTTGGAGCACCCCTGACCGCAACCAAACCCAAAAGTGAAGCTCAGGGGACAGTCGCCAAGTGCAGATCTCCGCGGGATCCTGGGTTTTGGGTCGATTGACCAGCTTCAGATACCACCTTTGGGACACCGGGACAAGCCATGGGAAAACCTGGAACGACCATTCACAACTGCTCGGAGGATTGGGGAAAGGCAAGCCCTGATAGCCTCTCAAGCTAGAGGTTAGACCCCTCTGAGGCTGCTGCGGTACTTGCACTTCCGGAAGCCCCGAGAGTTCTGGGACCGATTTCTGAAGCATGGAGCTGTGGACTGGAGCAGGATCATTTTCTCAGGCGCCCAAAGTTGTGGAAACCATGGGTGGAGGGGAGAGGAAAATGCCCCCACTTGAAAACCTCATTTTGGCGGAGGCATCTTTTCATTTTGGCGAAACCATTGGCGAACACATTTTTGACAACCATGTTTGTATTTTGCTGAAAGACCAAACTGGGATGGATGTGTGTTTTCCCGAAAGCATTGCAATGGGTTTTTCCGCCAAGCATATGGTTTTCTTGCACACAGGGCCTGCATAGAGAACTTGTGCATACAGAAAAGACCTGCGGAGGAACTTGCACAGACAACTTGCACAGAGAACTTGCGCAGAGAAGTTGCGCAGAGATCTTTGGCAGAGAACTTGCACAGAGACTTGGCAGAGAACTTGCGCAGAGAACTTTGCGTCTAAATTAATCCATTTTTGATTGGCGGGGAAGATTTGTTCGTCGTGAGCAACCGTCTGCTGGAGTCGATGTGCAACAAGCGAGGACTTTTTGCCACTTTTCAGCATGGCGCGCGACACCCTTTGCGGGGATCGGCAAGGTCGACGTGCGCGAAGGCCTTTCTTAGCTTTTAACATCCCCGCGCGGCCCTATGCAGCGGCCATGCGCGCCGGACCGGGCGTGAAAGTTTGTCTCGCGGGCGGCGCGGCGGCTCTGGGAATTGACCGGTCCCAGGCTTGAGCCTCTCCGGTGGTTTGCTCCATCGACGGAAGCACAGTACGGAGCGCGCTTCTGCAGAGGCTTGCGCCAAGATGCTGGCGCCCAGCTACCTCGCCCAGAATGGAGAGCGCGCGCAAAATCTTGGAGACAGAACGTGCGCATGAACGAGAATTGCGCAGGGAACCTTCGGCGAGAAGCTTGCACTCAGAGCTTGCGCCCAGAGCTTGTATTGAGAACTTGCGCCGACAAACTTGCATAGAGAAGCTTGCGCAGAGTGCTTGCGCAGAGAAACTTGCATCGAGAACTTGCCCAGACAAATTTGCGCAGAGAAATTTGGAACTTGCAAAGAGAGGTTGCACAGACGCGGGTCCCGCCCGCAATGGAAACTTGCTAACGCATCTGGGAAAACTTGCGCAGAGAACTTGCCCATTGCCCAGGGATAGCTTGCGCAGAGCCTGGCGAGAAGAAACCTTTGTATGGGCAGGGCGGCGTCTGCTATTTAAGCATCCTGCTGGTGACCCAGCAGTCGGCTGTGTGTTTCCATGCCGCAGGAGACCTTTCCCGTGTCTTCCCTTTTCTGGACTTTTGTTGGTTCCAGTTTTGGTTTCTATTGCAGACTTAAACTGGTTGCCTAAGGACAATCAGTGAACCCTGTCTTCCATGTCAGATCTTTTTAAACAGACCTTTTGTCCAAAATTGGGTGGTGGTCGCAAACCCTCAAAATTGTTCTCCTTGGGTTGAGGGATCTTGCGGTATATCCAACCACTGATACTTTCGGGAATCTCCTCTTCTGGGGGGTTAGTCTTTCGCCCCTTTTTGTTGTATCGCAGAAGTGGGTTCCATTTTCAACCACAGCCCTGCTCCCCTTTCAAACCACATCAGGCTAATTCGCCTCAGGTGACCTTTCTTGCACGTCAGGTCACAGCCAGGGAGGCGGTCACGCAGCGATGCTCAGCTTCTTGCATCCGCTGCGCCGCGTGTTTTTCCTCAGCTCTCCTTGCGACGTGTCCTCCTGGACGACTGGACACTTGCCGGTTCCCAGTCATGCCCGAGTTTAGTGGGATTTCTGACCATGGCCCACCAGAAGTTCAATTTTAGCAAGGAACTGATGACATATCTGGCTCAAGTTCAACGTTTATCAAACAGTCAATGACAAATCCCAAGAACTGGCAATGACTTCATTTTTGAGCCAGGGATCAACAACCCACTGAGGAAAGTATTGCGATGGCGCTCAGACTGCCACACCCTGCACAGCCGCTGCGAAGCCTATTGAAGGTTACTACGGCATGGTGCAAGCACATGAGATAGACATTTGCAACTTGGTGTATTCTAAACTTCCCTAGGAGATCATGAATGAATGGGTCATTTGAACGTTTTTGAGATGCATTTGTAACTTGGTGCTAAGCAGCAAACGCACAACCTAGGCAATTTTCCATGTCGTTTCGGGAAGTCATTTAGTCCTTGGCGCAGTCTAAATAGCAACCATTTTCGCAAAAGGAGACCGCAACAGAATGTCCTTTTGTCGATATTTCAAGGCCTGCTTATTTGGCATCCAGAATTTGTGGCAGTAGACTTATCTCACCTTTCAGCCGTTTTGCTCTTTCTGAGCATGCTTTACTTTCCCTGTCAACCAAGGAAAGAGTCAACCCCTTTCGGCTGGGTTTCTTCTCCATCTCCTCGCTCTCTCTGGATTTTTCTTTCTTTCCGCCCCGCTGCACGCATTGTGCCTGTTGACCCCTTTGAATTCCTCGGGGAAATCCCTTTTGTCTCTTGCCCCCAACCTTTCGAAGATAAGACTTTAGGATACAATAATATAATGCTTAATAGCTGACCAGTGGGAAGCGATGGCATGACTCTTTCACTTATCTCCCACTGTCGTGTAACTCATGGAGAAGGCTTGCCATCACTTGTTTCTTTCCCTTTTCTTCTTCATCAACACCAGGCAAGCCACACAAAGAAGAAAGAAGATAAAGAAAGAAAGAAATAAACAAGAAATAAAAAGACAAAAAGCTAACCAACATTCCTAATCTTTTATTTTCCTTTCGTATCTTTGCATTTCCCATTCCTTAACCGTTCTATCTAAGATTGTAAACGAAAGAAGATTCCAAGATTAAAAGAAGGAAGTAATAAAGAAGCAAATAAACACAAAGTGATAAAGAATGGAGAAAGATAGCCTCTAACCCAGCTCTTCGCTCCCTTTGTCGCTACTTTCGGGAGTTATAGATCCCTCGTTCTTCAACTTTCGTTATCTCTTTTCTTTATTATTTTATGCTTCTTTTCATCTCTTTATCATGTAGGATTTCTTCGTCGTAACAGCTAAAGGGATTTCTCTTTTATATTTATTGTTCTTTTCCTTTTTCATCTTTACAAGCATTAGAAATCCATTCACAAACCAGATATTCCTAGAGATGGGATTCCGTCTCCTGTCGGTTACTTCCTTCATTCTTCCATCCATGTAATTCCCTACAATCCATCTCTTAGTAATAGCCTGTTAACCATTATATTGGTGGGTCTGGCCGGGCGTTTCTCTTCAGCGAATTCTATCGTTTGCCCTGGCCACGAAGGACCAACCAGACTGGTCATGAACTCACCAAACAACATAAATCCTAAAGTCATAGATATGACAGATAATTAAATAGAAAATAACATGAAAATAAATATTAAATATAAAATAAACAAGACATATAACCTCAACAAATAAACACAAATAACCAAGATAAAAGAAACATAAAAGATAGACTATAAGACTTCTAGTTATTACGGAAAAGCAAATTAACTACAAACAAAGAAGAAGTAAATAGATGATGGAAAGGCCCAGAGGCCAAGAACCTACATTTTATGGTTACCTTTTCCCTCGCTTTTCTCGGTTTCCATTACACCTTTTCCCTCGTCTACAATCACAATGACGAGGAAGGAAAAGTAACCTCTAACCCGCTCCTCACCTCCGTTCGTCTCTAGGATGTACCTCTCTCTCCGGTCCCTTTCTGACCCTTTATCTTCCCCACGTCCTAACCAAGAGACGGGGAAGAGGTCAGGGACCGGGTTAGTGAGGTGACGAAGGAACAGGTTGGCACCATATCTTCATTCCTGCTCTCTCCGCTTCTCGCGGTCATATGATGAAGAGAGCAGACTGCCAACCCTCCGTCCTAACGACGAAGCCAAAGAGCGAGGAAGTGAATGGCGCCGGAATGAAGATGGAGGCAAGAGAAGGGAAAGGTGGAAATAGAGTGTAATCTCCCAATCCATTCCCTCGTGGTTATTGGGATTACACGGCATGGCCCACCTCTTCCCTTCCTACCCACTAAGCCTTGACCGGCGAGGGAAGGAGGTGGGTGGGGAGATGGGATAATGGGAGAGAACGAGGAAACGAGTGAACGGTGAGGAGATGATGAGCTGTCCCTTTATTTTCGTTCATTCTTCACTTTGGGACAGTCATTCACCTCCCATCTCTCTCTATCTCTCTCACCGGACCCTCCAATCTAAGAAACAGAAATGATAGGAAAGAAAGGGTCCGGAGAGATAGAGGGGGATGAGTGACAAGAAAGACAGGTCCTTGAAGTCTTTTATTCCTGTCTTTCACTCATCCCATACACACCCTTCCTCCACGCTGTCGTGTCGTGGGTTGAGAGGAAGGGAATGGTGGGTTGGGTCTGATAGAAATTCCTTACGACCCAACCAAATAGACAGGTTATAGCGACCAGTGGGAGATATAGACTGGCTATGGGGAGGCCTCTAATCACAGTGAATGACCATGAGATGTGAAGAGATTAGGCCTTCCCTCCCTATCTTTCCTTTCTCTACTCCAGCCTCCTTCCCGCCTCCGGCTCCCGGCTGTCGACGAAAGGAGAAGAGAGGGAGAAGGAAGGGATGGAGGAGGCTGTATCTCTTTCTCTTGGCTGGTTCATTGTGTCGTAAGGAATAAACACTGAGAAGAGACTTACCAGCCAAGAAGAGAGAAAGAGAGGAATGGGAGCGTGGGTTGGGTCATAATGTGATCTTTCTTCTCTCACCCAACCTTCACGCTCTCCCTTTCCTTATCTCGTCTCCCTCCTCTCTACCTCCTGTCCACCGTCGGTGATGGAGGGTAACGACGAGACGAAGGTAAAGGACAGGAAGAGAGGAAAGGGATGGGAGGTGAAGTGTGGGAGTGGAAAGAGATGCTTCCCTTCGCTCTCGCTCACCACTCCACACACTCACCGGTCAGGCCTGTCTATTCCCATTCTCTTCATTGGTAGGTAATGTTGGGAAGAGAATGGAATGGAATAGACAGGTGAGAGCGGTATCTTCGCTCTCCATCTCCCGTCCCTCAAATTCTCTAGGTTGGGACGGGTAATGATGGGAAGGCTTCTCTTTTATCTCTCTTTCTGAGCCTTCCCATGTCAGCGAGTTAACGAGCGAGCCCTATCTCCCCTTCCTGTCCAGAGACGCGACGGAAGGGAGGGCTCTCGCCTAGACGAAGGAACGAAGTGAGTGAGGAGGTGGGATGTGAACGGGAATGAATGTCTTTCCTATGACTCACCGTTCACTCCCCACCATGTACTTTCCATTCCTCACCTTTGTGGCTCGGAGAGACGAAGGAACGAGGAAGACGAACAAAGGAAAAGGAATGGGAGAGCGAGTGAAGGAGCGGGAACGTGTCTCTGAGAGCCTGATGAAGCCAACGGCTGGCTCTCTCCTATCTCTTCACTCCACCGCGAGGAAATAGGATCTCTTAATCTCGCGGTCCCATTCCTTTCTCCCCGTCCCATCTGTAGGTGAGTTAATAGGGACGGGTACCCAAGCCCTAGAAAGAGAAGAGGGGCTTGGATGGGAAGGCATGAGTGAAAGGAATGGCTCTCCCCATCTCCCGTCTATTTCCCAAGACGGGGATGTGATGAGAGCGACGAAGCGAGAACGAATGAAGTGAGAGAACGGTGAGGGAAGCGAAGGGAGGAAGGTGAAGGATAGATGGGTGCAAATGAATGAAACGAGAGGAGCGAGGTGAGTGAATGAAGATGACCCATCTCTCCGCACCACCTATCCCTCCCCTTTACCTTTCCTGGCGACCATTAGAAATCTCTTTACTGTCGCCTCATCTCTTCCCAGCCCTTATAATTCCCTTCGTGGCTGGGTTATAGGTGAGAGAAGAGATCCCTTACCTCTCACCGTTCATTCTCTTCTCTTCCTTCATCCTTCTTCAACTTCCGCGAGAAGACGCGACAGACGTAAGGACGAGAGGAATCGAGAGAGAAGGAAGAAGGAAGGAAGATCCACTCTCTCTCCTGACCATGTCCTGGCGGTGGGAATCTGAGGTACGAGGAAGAGTTAGTGAGAGCCAGGACAGGGACAGAGATAGGAGAGAGAGTGAGTGGTGAGTGAGTGGAGTGAACCGCGAGGAAAGGACTTGACCGCGGTGAAAGGAAAGACACACACTCACTCACCCTTTCCCTTCTCTTTGTGGGTTCTTTCTGCACTCGCTAACTCCTGCAAACCCACGAACGAAGGAGTGGGAAAGGGAGGTAGTGAGTGGCCCTTCTCTCTCCCTTTCCTGGTTATTTGGATGGGTTCTTGTGTCCAAGTGAATGAAATGAAAGGAAGGACACACAAAGAACCAGACCATCCAACTAACCAAGAAGAGAGAAGGGAGAGATGGGACTCGCTCCTTCCTATGTCCTTTCGGTCTCTCCTTTCCCTCTCTTGACCATAGGAAATCACGAGTCTTAAGGACGAGGCAATTGACGGGAAAGAGAGGAAGAGAAAGGAAAGACAGGAAGGGATGGAGATGGGGTGTGGGGAAGCGATAGAAGAGAGCGCTGACAGATCTTTGAGAGCCCACACCTATCCATCTCAACATCCCATTCCTCTTCCTTCCTCACCCCTATTTCCCGGTCATTCGTTCCTCATCAATATTAACGTACGAAAAGCCGGGAAATGGATAAGGGGTGAGATGAAGGGAATATGAGGAAGGAATGTACGCTGTCCCATATCTTTCCCATCACCAACTATTTTATGTTGGAGAAGATATAGATGGGAAAGAATGGCTTTGGGGACAGCATTTCTATTCCTTCCATCACTATCTCTCTCTTCCTTTCTCACCCTTTCATGTCCTCGCATTTAGGATGTAGAAATGCCTTGAGGACAAGAAAGAGAAAGGGTGAGAGAAACCGAGAGTTGGAAGAGCGAGGTGAGTGTTCATTCGTTCCTTTTCCTGCCATTGGATGCGGGAAGGAGGTGTAAGGACCTTTTCTTTCCTCTAACTCCACCTCCAGGCACCGCATCATGGCCTAACCACTCATTCACAATGTAACCTCTCCCTCTCTCACTCTTTCATCGCCTCCAGGCACCGTCTCTCCATTAGCTAGTA